GAAAAACGCTTCTATGTAAAGGGAAGTAATAACTAAATCCAAATGGAGCAAAGGATTGGTCACCTTCCCTTTGAACAATAAAAAGTGGTTTTGGTAACTTTGCCATGTGATAGCAAAGAAACAATTATTTAATGTCAGGATGACAACAGAATTTTTAAAAAAAATCTTTAACCCACCATGTTTACACTATGCGGTTGCAGGCAGCACAAAGCTGTCATACAGGAGTACCGGGCACTATGCAAAGTTTTCATTTCAACCAAAACAAAGCAGAAAACCAGCTGTCTCTAGGTGAGAAGGTTAAGAAGAAAACACTGCATTGTTGTCAGATAATTTCTTCTTCTTGTAAACATATCCGCGATGGTGGCGCAGGGATCTGGATTATCAGCTTGAGGAATCGTTAAGGCGTCGTGATATGTGTAAGGAATACCACATCTCAGGTGCCAGTAGGCTTCGTGCTGTTTTTACGAACCCTCAAGCAGGACTCCTGCCAAAGGTCCACGTTGTGCGCTATGAATAAAAGTTCTTCTTTGTGACATGAACAGAGCTGGTTGGTAATCTCAGTTGGTGGCCCTCAGAGATGTAGTGTCCAGTCTGGCTGTCATCAGCTCACCCACCCTTCCCCCCCCCCCCCATTCAAACGTTTGGAACATGAATAATGCTCGCTTGCCAGATATACCACTAAATAACAACTGCCAGTTAAAACACCTGAACATAAAACTGCTGAGACAGTCCTAGACCAAGAGATTTGCTTGCAGCTTAAACAAGCTACATATGATGTGGATGGTTTCTCACAGTTCAGTCCTGTCTCTACATCCTATTTTTCTTTCTTAAGGACTGGGAGATAGTCCATGACATACTCCGGTCGTTAGGCAGAACATGATGCCGTGGCAGCACAGATGTATAAGTTAATCACAGTCCTAAATAACGCACTATGATATTACCATGTCCCTACATGTTTTGTGTAGAGCTATGCATAGGGAAGTTAACCTGGAACATCAGACAAATGTCTCGATATCAAGGCTGGATCGTGTTGTGTTGGCAAAAAGCACAAATTCTGCACCTTTGTTGTAAACAGGCACATCGCAATAATGTCACTCGGATTAACGAAAAGAAGAAGATGATATCTGTGATGTTTACACCGACAAGTTATTGTGCTCCAGGTCATCCAGGTGTGTTGGGAAATGAGCAGGCAGATAGACTAGCCGGCTCTGCACTACTTGGTGGTGAATTGATGTATGACAATTTAGATATTGTGAGAGCTCTTTGGGAGCAAGTGAACAGTGCGGAGGCGCAGACAGATCATCTACGGAGAATGGCGCTGCAAGGAGTTACTGGGGATCTGGCTGACGCTCAACACTCAGGGGAAGGATGAGACGGATATACAATCAGATGGTAGCTGGTACCATCGGAATTGGAACTCTTCGCTTGCTGCTGAAGATGGGAACTGAACACTTATGGGAGTGCTGTGATGTTAATTCTTAATTCAACAAGTTATTGTGATAAAGTTGGCTGTTTTTTGGAGTTCCTCTGCAGTTCAATACAGTTTTTAGCATGGTGGTTAATTCATTAGGCAGACAAAGGTCTCTTTAGTCATATTAAAAGACCTCATAAAGAAGGGTGCCCGGCATTAAAAATGGAAGGAAACATGTCAGAAGAAGACAAAGTGACAAGTGGGTGGACAACATCAAGAGATAGACTAGAAAACAACCTGTGTGAAAGCATCATGAAGAAAGAGTGCTTGATTCTTTACAACCAACATTCAATGCTGAGGCAACACTTGATGATAATAATAATAACAAAGATGTGTTAAAATAAAATGGACGGAGTTGACAAAAGCCACAGACAACACCAAGAACTTTAGATAATGACAAGACTCACCTTCATCTTTGTTCACCGGTGGTAATCCCTAGCAGAATGTTCATTTATCTGGACTTTGGCTTTGTGTCAGGGCCAGAATTTTGCACGTGCATCGGTTTTACTGACTTATTTCTGTGAATCCTGCTGGTTTTTCCTTGTTGGTCAGGTAGATGCACTATTGCTTCGAAAGAAGCCGTCAGTTAGTTGACTCTGACGGCACACTTTTTTCTGTCGGCAGTCTATTCTTGTTTTTCCCACACTGAGACCCTGGAACCCACACAAGGATAATGAGATGATATAAAGTTGCTACAAATATTGCTCTTTAAAAGCTTTCGTCCTGGAGGATCACAAGAAGGAAAATCTTCTTTGTATTTTTCCCACAACAGGGAAAAATCATGTTCTTCTTTGTTTGTCACATGGAAAATCTGGTTCTTTTTCTTGTCACATGAGGGGAAATCTTGTTCATCATTTGTCCCAGAAGGGACAATCTTATTCTTGATATGTCTCATGGGGGGGGGGGGGGGGGGGGGGGGGGAATATTGTTCGTCTTCGTCTGTGACTAAGAGTGACAATCTTGTTCTTTATTTGTCTCATAAGGTAACTTCTTAGCTAAGCAGCCAAAACAAAAACAAATTAATGAAGAAGTAAACTTGTAAACCAATGTCAGTGAATCAACACAATTTTATTCAACAAAAACTGCAGTTAAACATGATAATACCACTTCTGGGAGTTGCTTAATATTCTCAGTTCACACATGCAGCTTACTTAATATATCCTAATGTATCCAGTGATTGTTAAATGTCTTGATGTGATATTTGACTTCAAACTGTGTCCATATTTTCCATAGCCTGCCATTTCTGGGTTTATTCAACGGATCAACACCATGGCACAACTGTGTAGCCCATCAGTGCTCCGTTCTACTTACATGTGTAGCCCATCAGTGCTCCATTCTACTTACCTGTGTAGCCCATCAGTTCTCCGTTCTACTTACCTGTGTAGCCCATAAGTGCTCCGTTCTACTTACCTGTGTAGTCCATCAGTGCTCCGTTCTACTTACCTGTGTAGCCCATCAGTGCTCCGTTCTACTTACCTGTGTAGCCCATAAGTGCTCCGTTCTACTTACCTGTGTAGCCCATAAGTGCTCCGTTCTACTTCTAACTCAAGCCTGAGTCTGAAGCAGCTCAGCACAGTGCATGAACTCAGTTGCACTGGTGATTATCCTGAAATACTTTGGGTAGATTTGTAACTCCAAATTATGCCCTCTTATGCTACTCTTTTCAATTTCCATCTGCCAAGGGATTTTTTTAATATGCACAACAATACACACGGGCGTCTGATCTCACTACCCAGAGACCAGGAGAAATTAGTGAAAGTCCACATGAAAAAGAAATCCTAGCCTTCACCGGAGCATAAACCCGGAACTCCAGCAGCACTCGTTATTGGACACCATGCCTCGAGATCATACAGCCACTCCAGTGACTCTTATTTTTCAAATAACCTGCCACTTTCTAGTGCCTGTCATTTTCCCATAATCTGCCACTTCCCAGTGCCTGTCATTTTCCCATAACCTGCCACTTCCCAGTGCCTGTCATTTTCCCATAACCTGCCACTTCCCAGTGCCTGTCATTTTCCCATAACCTGCCACTTTCTAGTGCCTGTCATTTTCCCATCACCTGCCACTTTCTAGTGCCTGTCATTTTCCCATCACCTGCCACTTTCTAGTGCCTGTCATTTTCCCATCACCTGCCACTTTCTAGTGCCTGTCATTTTCCCATCACCTGCCACTTTCTAGTGCCTGTCATTTCCCCATAACCTGCCACTTTCTAGTGCCTGTCATTTCCCCATAACCTGCCACTTTTTAGTGCCTGTCATTTCCCCATCACCTGCCACTTTCTAGTGCCTGTCATTTTCCCATCACCTGCCACTTTCTAGTGCCTGTCATTTTCCCATCACCTGCCACTTTCTGGTGCCTTTCATTTCCCCATCACCTGCCACTTTCTAGTGCTTGTCATTTCCCCATAACCTGCCACTTTCTAGTGCCTGTCATTTCCCCATAACCTGCCACTTTCTAGTGCCTGTCATTTCCCCATAACCTGCCACTTTCTAGTGCCTGTCATTTCCCCATAACCTGCCACTTTCTACTGCCTGTCATTTTCCCATAACCTGCCACTTCCTAGTGCCTGTTATTCTTCTATGACCTGCCACCTCCCAGTTCCTGTTATTCTTCTATGACCTGCCACCTCCCAGTTCCTGTTATTTTCCCATAACCTGCCACTTCTTAGTGCCTGTTATTTTTCCATAACCTGCCCTTTCCTAGTTCCTGTTATTTTCCTAAAACCTGACATTTCAGAAGAAAAAATCTAAAAGATTAATCTGAAAAATGGTCTTTGTTTTTTTTAATAGCTATATGCAATCCCATAGTAATTTCTGGTGACACAAATATTTTGTCAAAGATTTATGAAGTTAGATACCAACTTCTCTTTCTCATTGGCTTTTCCTGAACTCTACAGTAAAGTCACGCACAAACAAATCACAAAAACCCATACCATTACTATTTTCAGATCAATCACAAGGCACTGCTCAACTGCTGTTTTCAGATAAATCACAAAGCACAATAATGTTAAATGTATAAATCTAAAAAAAAAAAAAAAAAAAATTACAGAAAAGTTCTATTGTTCTTCTAAGGATCTTACTGTAATAAATTCTGGGAGCCGCCATGGTCTAGTGGCTAGATGCTCGGCTGTGGATTACAAAGTCGTGGGTTTGATTCCTGACGAGGGCCCAAGCTTTTTCGATCTTGGCTCCCAGGTCAACCCAGCCTTGAGTGGGTATCAGGTGCAGTCCTGGGAAGTAAAGGCGGCCGGCGTGATATTGACCACATCATCCACCAAGTGCCATGTGGTCTTAAAAAATAGAGATCTAGCCCTATATACCCAATACGCCTAAAAGGCGTGGAAAATGTCCTTTACTTTTATTGTAATAAATTCACAGAAAAGGCCTGTTGATTTTTAAAACTCTACCCCATTTCATGTTAATTTCAGTTAGTTTAAGAGGAAATGTGGTGAAAATTAGTAGTAAGGTATTATATTTATAAACAATAAAATATAAACATTAATGTTGCTTTTGTTTTTGTTTTAAACAATTCACAGCACATCAACATTAATGTTATCGGCAATGAAAAGTGACCCAAGAGTAGCATCTATACTGGAAAGTCTGGTGCTGCCAATAATGACCTGCAAGAATAAAACATGCTTGTATTAGTGATAAACACACACGCACGTATGGGGGCATGCATGCATGCACACACAAACACACACACACACACACACACACACACACACACACACACGCACACAGATGTCATATAATAATTATATAAGCAAAGCATTGACTTCATTAACTCTTTCGGTCCTCGGCAGTTGTGACTATACCAGTGGTTTTTAACCTGAGGGCCAGATGAAGTGCATAGGGGTTCATAGCAAAAGCAAATGGACGTCGCTCAGTGCAACAAAGTCTGGCATACGATATCACAAAGTCTAGTTTGAGAATGGAGGTGGAGGCAGTCACTGCTGCCTTACGCTGGCTTGAGAATCAGCAGTACACACATGCCGGGATTGTCACTAACTCACAAAGCATCAGAGTGGCATGCATCATTTCAGAGGTCCCGGGTAGTTAGTATCCTTTGGAAATTTTCTCCAGGTAATGCCGGTGTGTTGGAAAATGAAAGGCGAATAGACTTGCCGGTTCTGCACCACCTGGGGTGAAATGATGTATGAAAAGCTATATGTTGTAAGGGCACTTTGGAAGTGACTGAATGGTGCAGAGGCACATAAAGATCATTTTGTCTGAGGAGAATGTCGCTGCCAAGAGTTACCAGGGGATCTGGCCGGCGCTCAGCACTCAAGGAGACGAACGAACAAACGAACAAACAAACTTTATTTTCAAAGGGTTACAAATTGGGCACGCAGGCCCGTCTGACTTTCGGCCCTTCTAAGCACTCGTTTTTCAGAGTACCAATACCTGTTATCTAAAATGCATGTTATAGATATAGAATAAAAATATACATTATAGAATTTAATACATACATCATGTGTACACAATCTTACACACTTACACACATATATATATGCTCTCACATTCTCATACATGCACACTCATATACAGACATACCTAACACATACATACATACATATATACATCTACATATATACACAAACAGAAAAGACACACATATACATATATGGACATATACACACCTACACATGCATGCATGCATACACACATACAATCACGTACAGACACCCACAACCACACATTTATACTCACATGTAAACATACATACACACATATACATACACACATCAATACTTACACCTACATCTTTACACACATACATGCATATAGACCTAAATACACACATGTACACCCACATACTTATACATCTACAAATGCATACACACATCCACAAACATGCATACATTCACACACCCATGCCAACACACATTACATACATACCCACACATGCATGCATACACACATATACAATCACCTATACAGATACTCACATACATACATACACTCATGCATACATACATACTTGCCTACATTATGTACACACATACCCACAATCACACATACACTCATATACAGTCACACATACTTACAACATACATACATACATACATACATACATACATACATACATACATACATACATACACAAACAAACGTAAATATACATTCATATATCCACATGCATGCATACACACACACATCTAGATAATACATACATATATACACACATATAGATACTTTTATACATACATACACATACATAATACATACCCACATACACGCATACTTGCACACATTCATAAATACACACACATCCAAATACATACATAGCTACATATAGCGACAAACAAGGGAAAGGTGAGACAGATATACAATCTGGCCGACGCTCAACACTCAAGGGAAAGGTGAGACAGATATACAATCTGGCCGATGCTCGGCACTCAAGGGAAAGGCGAGACAGATATACAATCTGGCCGACGCTCGGCACTCAAGGGAAAGGTGAGACAGATACACAATCAGACAGTTATTGGTGCCATCAGAATAAGAACTCTTTACTTGCTGCTGAAGATGGAGATGGAGCGCTTATGGGATTGTCCCAAGTGCAGTGCATGATGGGCTGTGGTGTGAACCCTTGGTTAGCTAATTGGATGAGGGCATCATTGTTGGAAAGAACAGTGCTATTTTGTTTGGGAACATGGAGATCAGATCCAGTACGCATGTGCCCAAGCCTTCCCCAGGGATCACCATTGTTACCTGTCTTGTTTAACATACATACAGCAAGTCTGGCTAAAATTCAGCCCGCTGGACCAGGGCGAACTTTGACATTTGCAGATGATGTCCTAATGTATCGAAGTGGGTCAGACAGGCATGACATAACCAGAGACTGGAAAGTGCTGTGTGAATAGACAGGGTCAAGGGTAAATCCAGAAAAAGCCAGTATTTTGTGGTGCTCTTTGAATAACAGCATTGGGAAGGAAGACTTGCCCAATATATCCATGAAGGGTATTAATGTTGAAAGAAGAGATAAGTTGAAATACTTAGGTTTGAAGTCTGATTGCAGTCTGTCCTACAACTATCATGTGGAGCAGACTGTGATCAAATGCCTGGGGGCACTGAAGACGATGGTGGTGACACACATGGAACAGAAATTATTGGTCTGATTGTTCAACCATGTGTCCTCTCTGTAATCGATTATGGCCTAGGAATATTAACTCAATCTATTTCACAGTGTACAAAGCTTGAAAAGATTCAAAACAAAGGAATGAGAATCATCTTGGGTTGCACATGGGACACCCTAATTAGAACAATGAGGTAAATGCTTGGACTGACATCAGTAAAGTGTAGACTGTCACTGGGGCAAGTCAAGTCCTATATGCGAGTTACCAATGATGAAGGGCATCTGCTACATGGTAATTTAAACAATTTAAGAAAAGACTGGTTGAAAGGAGGAAAGTCATGGATGGCACTAGCTCAAGATACCATTGAGACGGCGGCCTCAGTCAAGCAAATACACAGGAAGCAGGAATGGGTCGACACAAGCACCCACAACAGCAGTTTCCATCAGGTCATTATCACGTTAGGAAGAGAATGTAGAGAGTGGTGTAACGGTATGGCTGAATTAGAAGTACAACAACTGATAGATGGAAAGGCTGGGCTAGATGATGCAGTAATGTACACCGATGGTTCTGTTTATGGGGGTGTAAGATCTGGCTGGGGATTTTTTTAGCTAGAATTAAGGGAAAAATTGTGGACATTTTTCTCCAAGTTCTTGTTAAAACTGCTTGGCATTTTTCTTTTTGTCCTCCTTTTTGTAATCACATTTCTTTTATTTGGGTGGGGTGGGAGTGGAGTAGGGGGGGGGGGGGTAATGGTGCCATATATTCGGGGGCGAAAAAGGGAGGTGGGGGTGTGCGACTTTTAAAAAAAAGGAAAAACCACTGTTTTTAAAACTACAAAGCGGTGATCTCAACCTCTTTAAGCTCAGGGACGGAGAAAATAGTAAAAATATTACACATACCAGCTGACAACTAAGACAGAAATATACCTAAATATAAATATGAATTTACTTATTAAATAGTGTTGTAAAATTAGAATTAACTTATGTGATATCCACTGCTTAAAGGTGAGAAAATCTGATACAAGTAGCTAGAGTATTTTTATTGTTGTGGTTTTGTTTTTGTTGGAAGATCATCTGCATCAGAACTGATTGAAAGTATATGAGGCAGAAGGTTGTGAACGGACATGACTACCAATCCCACACAGCATGGACCAGAAGAAGAAGATGACGATGATGATGATGACAAAGAAGAAGAAGAAGGAGGAGCAGGAGGAGGATGAGGTGGTGGCTAGCATAACCAAAAGAAAATGAGGCATAAACAGTTTAGAAATGAGTATAATATAAAGGAACCAACAAATACTAGATGAGTTGTTTGGTAATGAATGTGTTCCGGGGGGTTTAGTATCACAGGCCCAAAGATAGTAAAGAGAGACGTAAAACTGGTGCATCTTTGGTTCACTGGGCTTTTAGATGGGAACCAATGAAGCAATGCTGCCCATTATACGATGGAACCGTTTCTCCCCACAATGCTTAACCGCAGAAGTAGAAATTGGTGATGATGATGACTGAAGAAGTTAACAAAACAAAAATAGAAGAAGAAGAAGAAGAAAAGAAGAAATCTCAATTCAGAATTGGTGTAACAGTCTACTTTACCTCAAACTGTGGCTTAGCCTTGTCAACAACATCCCTGATCTGCTTCACCTTTCCGGCTGTGATACCTCCGACAACAAACAGTATCAGAAGTGGAGCATCTCCAGGCCGTGGCTTGCCGGAACCTTTGAAAAACCTAACAAAGAGACCATAAATAAACTTAACACAGCAGTTCCCTGTGTGGGTTCCAGGGCCCCATTGTGGGGAAAACCAGAATACACCCACTGCCTGCCCAAAAGCATGTCGTAAGAGCTGACTAATTGGGGGTGTCCTTTGAAGCCGGAGTACATCTGCCTGAAAGGCAAGGAACCAACAGTCTGCATGCAAATGAGACCTGTGAAATGGATGTGCACGTAATACTCAGTTTCAGAAACAGGACTAGAGTCCAGAAGTGGACAACGAACAACCAGAACTTTCTGCCAGAGTTTACAGCTGATGAACGTTAAGAAGAAGAAGACATAGCAATGTACACATGTCTATAGCAACACTGTTTGTTTGTAGTTCCCTCTCTTCTTCTGGCCGGCTCACTACACTCAGAGGAAAGGCAAGACGGACATATAACCAGATTGTGACCAGTACCATCAGTATTGGAACCATATGCTAGCTGCTGAAGATGAGGATGGAGCATGCATTGGAATGCCCCAAGTGCTGTGATGTAAATTCTGGACTCAACTGAACTCTCTTCTTCTTAACATTCACTGGGTGTGAACCCCAGCAGAAAGTTCTGGTTGTTTTTCTGATTTCTATATTCAAGAACTTGAGTTTTGCATGCACATTCGTATCATAGATCTAGATTATTTGAACGTTAACTATTGACACTCCGACTTCAAAAGGAAAGATCTTTAATTAGTAAGTTTTTAGGACATGCTTGTTTTTACGCTTAATTTCTATATGTATAAATTTATAAATTTTCTCTTCTTTCAGTATGTAACAAACATTTCATTGTTACTGATTTACCTGTAAAATTAAACACAAAAGAACTGACCACTGACCACTGACCACTGGAAAGGCAACAATAACAGCTTAGAATGAAACATGCTGCAAAGCTGTCAGATCAAAACAGTAGTACTCTGCCTGTCGGATCTTCCATCCTAGGAGGGGCTGGGGGGGTGTGTGTCCAACCCACAGCATTTCATACGAGGCAACTAATTACCTAATTAGGGGTGTTTCCTGTAAAGCTGGTGTGCATCTGCCTCAGAGGCAAGGAACCAGCAGTCTGCATAAAAATAAACCAGATCTGGAAAATGGATGTGGACACAACACTCAAGTTATGGAACACAGTCTAAGTCCAGAAGGGAATGACCAACCAGAACTTTCTGCCAGAGTTTGCAGCCGGTGAATGCCAAAATAAGATTATTATTTCACTTTTAACGTGCCAGTGAAAGTTGGAACACAATAAAAGTCCAGAAGGAAATGACCAACCAGAACTTTCTGCCAGAGTTTGCAGCCGGTGAATGCCAAAATAAGATTATTATTTCACTTTTAACGTACCAGTGAAAGTTGGAAAACTAAAAAATACCTGAAATGAAAGCTAAATGCATTCAAAAATAAATGCCTAGAAAGCTAGGCATAAAATCGTATCAACAGTTATAAGACAAAGAATATGACGATATTGGGCACAGTATGAGCAGAAGTTGACAGAAAATCATTAAACAGGCACTTCAATGGGAAACAAATGGACTGAGGTAGAGAGGACGCCCTAGAGAAACCCAAAGACAAATGCTGGTGAGAGAGGCCAAGGCTACTGGAATGAAATCTGACAATCATATTAAAATAATTGCACAGGATAGTAACCGACCGGAAGAAGACAACAGTCAGTGATAGCTAGAAGTTAAGATCATATACTGTGGAATGAATGAATGAATGAATTTCTACCCCACCAGGACATCACACAAGCGATAAACACTCGATGACACCAGTGCCACCATGTGGATGAGGATCACCGTGGAGAGGTCCCAGAAACCGCGTTCAGACATTAAATACAAGAGGTTAACATCATATATTGTGGAATGTACAAGGTCCTACAATTAAGTTATGAGACTAATTCCATAAAAATTAAAGTAATCAACAGTTGAAGATATAACCTGAATTTTATTAAAAGTTATCCCCTTGTGCATTGATACAGCAAGGAGCACGATCTAACAGACTTTGGAATGACCTCTGTAGTTCTTCTGTCGTTATGGCCCTTATCAATGTTACAGCCCCTTGGATGTCATCAAAGAAGTGTCCTTTCAATGGCAACTTTAATTTTAGGAAGAGGAAATAGTCGCAGGGAGACAAATCCAGGGGAATAGGGTAAATGGTTGAGAACACGCACTTGTTTTTGGGCCAAAAATTCCTGTACAAATACCACCCTTCGAGCTGGTGCATTGTCACGAAGAAGAAACAAATTGCCAGGTGTTGAATACAAACCCGCAAGCAACTTTTTTTCTTGCCCAAATATTCCACTAAAATTTTACAGTCTCTGTATTACCACCAAATTCATCTACCATCATCCTCACAGTCGAGAAATGATCTTCTTGTATCCGGCCTCGTATTTTGCAATGAGTTCCTCATTACGAACAGAAATTGGGCGTCCAGGTCTAGCTGCATTAGTAATCATTTCCACACCACTTTTGAATCGTGAATACCAGCTGAAAATCTGTGCACAAGATAAACAATTAACTTGCCGCAACAATTCAACTGTCTCAATGGCGCTTTTTCGGAGTTTTAACCACAATTTAATGTTCTAATTTTTTTTTTTTTGCTTCATGCTGATTACGTAACTATGCACCTCTGACTAGGGGGAAAAAATGGCGGCTTGTTTGTTGTCTGCTTATCGGGCAGCGATAAAAAGTTGCCAGATTATAGACGAAGATTGCCTCTTTGGATTCCATGAAGTGATTCATATATGGCATTTTTGTCTTAGCTATAAAAAAAATCAGTCCCATTACTTAATTGTCGGACATTGTAGTAATTAATGCCTTACCCAAATCATGGTGATAGCCAGTGATAACATTAGAAGTCCACATCATACATTGTAGAACGTAGTAACATTGTAGAATTTAGTAACATTGTAGAATGTAGTAACATTGTAGAATTTAGTAACATTGTAGAATGTAGTAACATTGTAAAGTTTAGTAACATTGTAGAATGTAGTAACATTGTAGAATGTAGTAACATTGTAGAATGTAGTAACATTGTAGAATGTAGTAACATTGTAGAATGTAGTAACATTGTAGAATGTAGTAACATTGTAGAATGTAGTAACAGTGTAGAATGTAGTAACAGTGTAGAATGTAGTAACATTGTAGAAAGTAGTAATACCCTACCCAAATCCTGACTTCAGCAGGTCCTTCAATCCTCCAGACTTGTACTCTACATCCAGAAGCTCAGGTTTACCAGGATCCACAATCTTCTCCACAATCTGACGCAGCAGGCCTCTGGTGCTGGCTGGGGTCATAGCATCCCCTGGGTCAAGTACACACCTGAAAGGGAAAGTTCCAGCTGTTTAATTCAAGTACTAGGGGAACAAACAACATATTGCACAATTTATTAGCTAGATATTTGGCAGCATCTTATCATTATTATCATCCATCCTATCATGCTATTATATGTCACATGGGGCTCGCAGTCGTGTCCTCCGTTCCATTCGGTCCTGGGCAATAATTATGAATATATAATCAATGGAATCCAGTCCATCACCTTTGGTCTCCCTCCCCTCCCCCTCTCTCTCCCCTCTCTCTCTCTCTTCCCCCCCCCCCCTCTCTCTCTCTGTGCACTGTTAGTTTTTGGGGCTCTTTAGAAATTCTTGTTTCCTCAAACTGCTTGTTTCACACTTCAGTGCCTGTTTGGTAATGATTACTCTCTGCCTGCTTCCTCTCAGGATGTGCCTGATAGAAGTGCAACCTTCTTCGTCTTATAACTCTTGACACCAGTGTTTGTCTAGATATTTCTACAATTGCATTTGTAACTTTCTTGAATTAATCTCATTCAATGTTCATCACTTTCCTTGTGTAGATGTTGTCAAATGCATTTGATTTTTCTTCGATATATCTCACAGGGTGCATACTAAAGAATTTTTATCCATTTAAAATGAAGTGTCCCCAAAAAATGTAAATATACACTGATTAAGGGAGTCGCCATGGCGTAGCGTCTAAATGCTCTCGTGTGGATCGGAAGGTCGTGGGTTTCACTCCCTGGTGTAGCCGGGCTTTTTTCAAAAATGGCCTTGACTCCCAGGTTGACCCAGCCTTGAGTGGGTACCAGGTGCAGTCCTGGGAAGTAAAGGTGGCCGGCGTGATGCTGACCACATCACCCATCTTGTGTCGTTTGGTCTATAAAAAAATATAGACCTAGCCCTATATGCCCTATACGCCTAAAAGCATGTAAAAGGTTCCTTTGCTTGACTATACACTGATTAAAATATACAAATAAAACATGCATTTGACTGTTTCACTACACGTTTTACCATAGAAGTCTTAGATAACCACATGTCTCTGTTGTCTGCTTAACACTGAACTATGTATATTGCAACCGCTTCCATTAATTTCAATACATGTTGGCTGTGTGTATAGTATGGCATTCTGCACACATGTCCAAACCATCTCCATCTTCTTCCTTTGATAATGTATGCTGGTGATGAACATTGTATTTTCTTCAACAGTTATTCATTTGTGATTTGTTTGGGCAAAATATTTGCAGGATTCTCTTTAGCATTTATTTTTTTTGAAACCTCTCTAGTTCACGTGTAATTCCCACTGTCATTTTCCAATACTCACTGTATGTAACAGCATTCTCAAAATATTGCTGTTGGATATTGTGATAGGAGATATCATGGAAAGATATAAAAACAAATGAAAAGTAGATTGGTGAGCTTCACCATATGATAAACGCAAATGAAAACTTTAACCTTGCGGCTAGAAAGCCTTCATCAGCACACACATTAATCAAACAAAAACACAAGAATACACAAAAATACTTGACTGATCTATCCTGAAGCAGCCAGATCGATGTCTTGCCAGTGCAATGATAGGAGACAATCTTACAAATAAATAATTATACAAATATATTTTCTTTGGATTAACTAATGAACACAATTTAGAGAGAATGTCTTGCGACACCATAATACAAGGCGTACAAAAAGATGAGAGGGATGCAGAACACGAGGTAGACCAAGAACAAGACTGAAAGATAAAATCATAGAAACTCACCAGAAAAGCAAAAAGCAGAATCTCATTTCTAATCTATTTTATAACCTGAAACAGTAAAACAGGAAGGGAAGAAGAAAGTTGAAAATGAAACAAAAAATAAAAAAGATTGGAACATACAGAACTACATTTCAAATAAATAAAAAAACTTAAATCCTCTTAAATGAGAATGGACATGGGGAGATAATAAAGTAAGGTTCCACAAAAGAAACTCACTTAAATTGTTGAAAACTTGCTAGTGTGTCACCAAGAGCTTCCAGACGTTTCCACACACTCTCGATCTGGTCTGAGAGAATGCTTTCTGTCACCTTGTCTCCGACTGTAATCAGTTAAAGAAAATTTAACATGATCTTGCCAGATAAGTTAAGAGCTTGCAAGCGTAACTACACAAATTAAATTAACATGTGCGGCTCAGTGGCTCAGAGATTAGGAAATGCGGCTAACAATTTCCTGATCCTTGAGTACTGCAGTTCGTTCTCTGTGGTGGACTAAAAACAGTTCTTGTGGTTCTGGACAATGGTATGAGAGTTGCACTGTGGAAGAGACTGCAGCCTCACCAGGTAATATTTTCCAAAGACAGCAATGATGCACCGTAGCCGACCTTCATGGTGGAGATGGCACAGAGAAGAAAAGGAAATTCTACAGATGACTAAACAGTAATGAACCATTTTCTCCCCTTAGACACATCAGGTAATAAAGCCAGTCTTACAGGCCATCAAAGAACAACAAATCAAGTGGTTTGGACACCTAACAAGAATGCCCTGGTACTATCTACCACAAATATTACAACGGGTATAGAGCGAGCGGAAGACCCCGGAAAAGATGGAGTGATGGCATTAAGAACAGCTGTACAGAAATGAACATTAGTACTTTTGACAGAGCTCATCAACAAACATTACATCTCCCCCCAACACTTCACTGAGGTACAAGGTGGAAGAGAAGAAGAAGACACATCAGGTACAGAGTGACAGACCTATGTTTTTAGAAACCCACTGGCACTCAATGAATAATGTGGTCGCCTTTACCTCCCCAGACATTTACACAGTACCCATTTTAGACTGGGTTGACCTGGCAGCCAAATAATGTGGTCGCCTTTACCTCCCCGGACATTTACACAGTACCCATTTTAGACTGGGTTGACCTGGCAGCCAAATAATGTGGTCGCCTTTACCTCCCCAGACATTTACACAGTACCCATTTTAGACTGGGTTGACCTGGCAGCCAAAGTCAAATTTGAAAAAAAAAAAAAAAAAAACATCAATAAATAAAACTGCCACAATGCACATCTGCCTTCAGGCCAGTACACAGCCACTACACTGCCACAGCTCCCCACAAACAACATGCACACAGCCACTACACAGCCACAGCTTCCCACAAACAACATGCACACAGCCACTACACTGCCACAACTTCCCACAAACAACATGCACACAGCCACTACACAGCCACAGCTTCCCACAAACAACCAGCACACAGCCACTACACTGCCACAACTTCCCACAAACAACATGCACACAGCCACTACACTGCCACAACTTCCCACAAACAACATGCACACAGCCACTACACTGCCACAACTTCCCACAAACAACCAGCACACAGCCACTACACTGCCACAACTTCCCACAAACAACATGCACACAGCCACTACACAGCCACAACTCCCCACAAACAACATGCACACAGCCACTACACTGCCACAACTCCCCACAAACAACCAGCACACAGCCACTACACTGCCACAGCTTCCCACAAACAACATGCACACAGCCACTACACTGCCACAGCTCCCCACAAACAACCAGCACACAGCCACTACACTGCCACAACTTCCCACAAACAACATGCACACAGCCACTACACAGACACAACTTCCCACAAACAACCAGCACACAGCCACTACACTGCCACAGCTTCCCACAAACAACCAGCACACAGCCACTACACTGCCACAACTTCCCACAAACAACATGTACACAGCCACTACACTGCCACAGCTTCCCACAAACAACCAGCACACAGCCACTACACTGCCACAACTTCCCACAAACAACCAGCACACAGCCACTACACTGCCACAACTTACCACAAACAACAAGCACACAGCCACTACACTGCCACAACTTACCACAAACAACCAGCACACAGCCACTACACTGCCACAACTCCCCACAAACAACCAGCACACAGCCACTACACTGCCACAACTTCCCACAAACAACAAGCACACAGCCACTACACTGCCACAACTCCCCACAAACAACCAGCACACAGCCACTACACTGCCACAACTTCCCACAAACAACATGCACACAGCCACTACACTGCCACAACTCCCCACAAACAACCAGCACACAGCCACTACACTGCCACAGCTTCCCACAAACAACCAGCACACAGCCACTACACTGCCACAGCTTCCCACAAACAACATGCACACAGCCACTACACTGCCACAACTTCCCACAAACAACCAGCACACAGCCACTACACTGCCACAACTCCCCACAAACAACCAGCACACACCACCACTACACTGCCACAGCTTCCCACAAACAACCAGCACACAGCCACTACACTGCCACAGCTCCCCACAAACAACCAGCACACAGCCACTACACTGCCACAGCTTCCCACAAACAACCAGCACACAGCCACTACACTGCCACAACTCCCCACAAACAACCAGCACACAGCCACTACACTGCCACAGCTTCCCACAAACAACCAGCACACAGCCACTACACTGCCACAACTCCCCACAAACAACCAGCACACAGCCACTACACTGCCACAACTTCCCACAAACAACAAGCACACAGCCACTACACTGCCACAACTCCCCACAAACAACCAGCACACAGCCACTACACTGCCACAACTTCCCACAAACAACATGCACACAGCCACTACACTGCCACAACTCCCCACAAACAACCAGCACACAGCCACTACACTGCCACAGCTTCCCACAAACAACCAGCACACAGCCACTACACTGCCACAGCTTCCCACAAACAACATGCACACAGCCACTACACTGCCACAACTTCCCACAAACAACCAGCACACAGCCACTACACTGCCACAACTTCCCACAAACAACCAGCACACAGCCACTACACTGCCACAACTCCCCACAAACAACCAGCACACAGCCACTACACTGCCACAACTCCCCACAAACAACATGCACACAGCCACTACACTGCCACAACTTCCCACAAACAACCAGCACACAGCCACTACACTGCCACAACTCCCCACAAACAACCAGCACACAGCCACTACACAGACACAACTTCCCACAAACAACCAGCACACAGCCACTACACTGCCACAACTCCCCACAAACAACATGCACACAGCCACTACACTGCCACAACTTCCCACAAACAACCAGCACACAGCCACTACACTGCCACAACTCCCCACAAACAACCAGCACACAGCCACTACACAGACACAACTTCCCACAAACAACCAGCACACAGCCACTACACTGCCACAGCTCCCCACAAACAACATGCACATTAAAAAACAAGAGCACTGCCACAGCTTCCTACAAACAACATGCACATTAAAAAACAAGAGCACTGCCACAGCTTCCTACAAACAACATGCACATTAAACAAAAGAGCACTGCCACAGCTTCCTACAAACAACATGCACATTAAAAAACAAGAGCACTGCCACAGCTTCCCACAAACAACATGCACACAGCCACTACACTGCCACAGCTTCCTACAAACAACATGCACATTAAAAAAAAATGAATTCTTCTGTGAATAAGTGACCACTGCCACCAGCTGAAACTAGTGAGTATAATCAGCGTGCTACGGGAAAAGTTAGCATCTACATCTTATATCATTTGCTGCAGGAGACTGAGCATCTATGGGTTTGCCCAGTGTGCTATGATGTCGATTCTTAAATCAGTAATCAGATACTAGTTCACCCTGATCCACATTGGACTGATACACTAGGGTAGCAGTTGGTATAACTGTTATGTAAAAAGTAAAGGACCCTTTTGTTAGACATATATTTTTAGAAAACAATCGGCATTTTGGAGTTTTAATGTGGTCAACATATGTTGACTTTCAAGAACCTTATTTGTTGTCAATTTTAGACTAGGTTGACATGGAAGCCAAGTTCAAAATTGTTTTTTGTTTTTGTTTTTCTTGGTAAAGTTCCCTTAGATGCAGATTAGAACCAAAGACCTTCAGACTGCCGCTCCCTGTAACCATTATAGATGCCCTAATAATTCCCTAGGTGGTTGAGTGGGGTATCTGGGGTTTGAGAATAGAGAATGGGAGAACAAGATTTTTTTTTAAACAAGAGGAACAGCAAGAAAAATAAGAACAAGAAGTGAACCTTACCAATTTGTTTTACCAATGGTGACAAACACTCACTGTCTTGCTTGATCCAGCTGATAAACTGTTCCTTTTCAAATCAACATTCAAATATTTAAGTCAATGTTTCTTTTTTGATGTCATTATCTTTGAAATTCTCTAGTAGGCTAATTTAAAAATTCTCTGTGTGCATTCTGGTGTCCCACTGTGGGGAAAACTAGAACAGACCCTCTGTCTCCCCAACAAGCATCTCGTAAGGGTCAATTCATTGGGGGTTTCCTTCAAAGTCAGAGTGCGTCTGACGGAGAGGCAAGGAGCCAACACTCTGCATATAAATATGTCAGATCTGTAAAACAGATGTGCACACAGAGCCCAGGTTCATGAACTAGACTAAAGTCCAGAGGTGGACGAACAATTAGAACATTCTGCCTGAGTTTTCAGCCAACAGATAAGAATCTTCACAGTTTGTGGTTACTACTCTAGCCACCCACAGAGCCTTAAATGCTCAGGCTCACACTCTTGACCTATCATCATCAAGTGCCTTGGCCACTGGCAATGGCGATCACCTCTCCACAATCTGCAACTACGTGTATCAGTTCATGCGGTGACACCCCTCCATGCCGTGACACAAGACTGTCAAGAATCTTCTCATGTTGTCTTTCTCTGTCTTTCTTTCCACAGATCTTTCCAGTGGCCACAACATGTTCCAGTTTCCCTCTTCTAATAACATGACTGACTGTTTCTTTCTTATGTGTGAACGAGGAATTAGAAGTGGATTAAGTTAGGAAGGACATAGGAGAAGAAGAGAACAACACGTATATAAATAGTCTGCTGCAGGAACAGCATGTACACCTTAAGACATTTGCTGCGAGAGACGAAACACCAATGGGTATGCCATGTGTGCTATGATATTGAATCTTAAATCAGTAATCAGTAATCACTGTTGTTATAAGCTGTCTTCAAGCACTCGCCTTTTTCAAAACATCTGGTTTGCTCTTTTTGGTTGTCCAACGAATTCTGAGGATTCTTCTGTGAAACCACATTTCCAAGGACTCAAGAAATGGTTTTGCTTGTCTATTAATAGCCCAGGATTCACAGCAATATGTCAAAACTGGCTCTATTTAGAATGCCAGAATTCTTGTTCTATCTTCTTTTTCTTTTGTCGTCTTACTAATACCAGTGTCTTGCGCTTCTCAGTTGGTTTGGGTAATGTGTTCATATTTTTGCAGGTTTCGTTTACAACATTTATCTATCTCTTTCTTGTTCTTTCTTTTGCATTCCTCCTAGATGTTCTGTTGTAAAAAATCTCATATACAGTTTGGCATGGCTGCATTCTCGCTAGATGGTCGAACCATTTCATTCTTTGTCTGTCAATTTAATCCAGACATGGTCTTATTCCAACGTTCTCTCTAATGCTGGTGTTCGTAACCCTGTCTGTTCTAGTGTTGTTAGTGACCTGGCGGAGACAGCGCAATTCACATGTAGTTATTTTTCTGTTCTAGTGCCCTATTCACTGTCCATGTTGGACTGATAACAGAAAGTAGGGATAAAGATGCTATTAATCTTTGCTGTTTTGCTAGGTGTCTAAGCAGTGGGGCTAAGTGGCAGGTGACAGCATTTGCCTTCTGTACTCTAGAAAATATCTCTCTATCGAGTCTGCCATCCTCCATAAATATGCTTCCGATTTATTTGAATTCTCGTACTTGTTTGGTTGTAGTACCATTGTCCTATTCTGCCCTATAAGTGCTACGCTAAACACTGCCTGTAAAAACAAACATCTACCACTTTTAGTGCTATTTAAGATGAAATGGAGTTGGTAGAGGGGAATGCCAAGATGTAGAGTGTAATGTTGTGTTACCTGCAACTGCCTTGTTTCATCTTCATCACCACATTCCCCATCAGCAACAGCATACAAGTATGTGATCAAACACAGCATGTCATCCAGATCCAGGTTTCTGGCATCATGAGACAAACATACAACAATAAGTGAAAATCCACAAAGTGATGAAAACAAGGGGAGATGACTGCAGTCAAGCTAATACCCAGGAATTAATCCTCTGAGCTGTCACTAAGAAGCTAAACGAAAGGGGGAAGAAGAACAACACACACATACAAAACAAAAAGTCATTTCGGCTAGATTCTTTCTTTAAGGATAAATCAGCCCCTTGTTGTTGGTGTGGTTCATGTCGAAAAAGGCTCCAGCTGAAAGTCTTTCTGTTTCCCTTTTTCTTTAAGCTTCTCAGTCACAGTTCAGGGGATTATTTCAAAAATAAAAATAAATTTAAAATACAGAACAACAATTAGAGACATATCTCGGGGGGGGGGGGGGGGGGGGGGAATAGGGAGACTTATGACAAAACACATGTGGCTCAGCCAGACACGGTTCTCTTTCTATTTCTTTAGTGCTCTCTCTTAAGAGCAGCTGGCATGTAATGTTGTGGTTTACAGCTAGGCTGCGATATCTGCACCTTTTAGTCCAACTTATCCAGTTTCAGCAAATCCCTAGCATTTTGCAAATGACCCCCCCCCCCCCCCCCACACCCATCCACACACACACACACACACAGATATATATATATATTTATATATATATAGAAAGAGAGAGAGAGAGAGTGAGAGAGAGAGAGAGAGAGAGAGAGAGAGAGAGAGAGTGAGAGTGAGTGAGTAAGACAGAACATTAACAGAGTACTAACACAGATACTAAGGCGTTGAGAACGCGCTTCGTAATACCAAGTGCCGGTTTCAATCCCAGCTGTGGACGATTTGTCTTGCGTTGGTTTCGACATTCGTACTGAGAGCTGACCAATCAGAAAGCAATGGCAAACTTCTGAACGTAAAATATGCGTAGAGAAAAACCACAACGGCCAAAAAATGCTGTGCTTGGTTCTGCAAACGTCCTGTAAAGGATTCGCAACTAACTTAACTTAACACAGACATACAAACCTTTCATTGCGTGGTTTATTCACTTCTTGCATGATCAACCTCAACAAAATGGACACTCCACTTGGTGTGGCATCATCATTATCAGCTACAGCTTGGATTAGGTTCTTCTCTGCGACCACGGCACTGTCATGGCAACTGGAAACTGGATGCTTCAGGGACTGACTTGTGGCCAAAGCAATTTGCAGGGTGTCCAGGTGTTTCTTCATGAGGGGGTATTTTCCTCTGGGATGGTAAGAATATTAAGAATAAATCACACAAACAACCTAATCTTTCTTTGTGAAACTGAATCACATACCAAATTAGGCAAGCAGATTAAAAATGAGATATGAAGAAAAGAATACACAAGGAAAGAGGAGGCAGATATCAAATCCCTGTGCGGGTTCCAGTGCCCCATTTGGGGGAGGGGAGGAGGGTGAAAAGGTCCACTATCCCTGCCCCCCCACTGCCCAATAAGCAGGTCAAAAACGTAACTAATTAGGAATGTATCTTTCAAAGTTGGGGTGCATCTGCCTGAGCGGCCAAGAACCAATAGTCTGCATACAAATAAGCCAGATCCATAAAACTGATGCAAAACTCAAGTTCAGGAACAAAGTCCAGAAGTGGATAAACAACCAGAACTTTCTGCTAGAGCAAGGGTTCTCAAACTTTCTAATGCCACAACCCTTTGATACAGAATCCTCCTGTTGAGGCGACCCCAAAACAATTATTTTCCTTCATTACGTCAATGAATATGTGTTTTCCTATGGTCTTAGGCGACCCATGTGAAAGGGTCATTCGACCCACACAAAAAAGGGTTCTGACTAGCAGGTTGAGAACCGCTGTGCTGGAGTTTACAGCCAGAGAAGGCTAAGAAAAAAAGAAGAAGATGCATCTATTTAGGCAGTAATGTAGATACAAACTGGGGAACCAATAAAGTCAAGATGACGTTTTTGTATCAGTAGGAAAATAAATCAAAAGTGAAAGGAAAAGAAAATGTACTAAACTTATCAGATTTAGCTCTAATGTCAAATCAGTACTACTGTGTGAAGCTGAAACATGGAAAACAAAGAAAAACAATTACTAATAAACTACAAACATTCATTTACTGGTGTTTGCACAAAATACAGGGAATCTTTTTTTTTAAGTATCCAGAAACCAAGAAGTTGTAAACCCTTTGGCTCAGTAATATGGATATCGCAACCCTTCGGCACTGATTCAATTATAGGTACCGTATATCTTGGAGAAATGTGGCTTTTCTGCCTACTCCCGGGAGTGAACCTGGACCACAACGAGTTCGTCACCTGGCCACCACGAATTCAGCTTTAACCAACTACGCTAGTGAGCCGGGCAATATACAGGGAATCAAAAGATATAGAATCACTAATGTGGAGTTTTGGGAAAGAAACACATTCCAGTGAGTCAAGAGGTGAAAAAAATAATACTGACGCTGGACAAGGCACACGTTAAGAAAACCCGAGAACAATAAAACTAGACCATCTTTACAATGAAACCTGCAAGAGAATAAATTTTTTTTTAATGTAAAAAAAAAAGGAAATATGAGTAGGGAGTGAGGTTAAAAAAGATGAATGGAGATGACATGCAATAGCAAAGGATAGGATTTTAAATGCTATATCCCTTTGCATGAGCTCATTGAGGAACTATACTCCACTGGGGATAATGAACTGAAGAAGAAGAAATGATGGTGTGACAAAACACATTATATTTATTTATCAGCAAGACCTAGAATATGCTGGATAAAGACTCATTTGAATATAGCTACAATTGCATCAATGTAAAACTGTCTTGACTTGAACAAAGCAACAGTAATATCAATGTAAAACTGACTTGAACAAAGCAACAGTAATATCAATGTAAAACTGACTTGAACAAAGCAACAGTAATATCAATGTAAAACTTACTTGAACAAAGCAACAGTAATATCAATGTAAAAACCTACTTGAACAAAGCAACAGTAATATCCATGTAAATCCATGTAAAACAAAGCAAAACTTGATCAACAACTTGAGCAACAGCAACAGTAATATCAATGTAAAACTTACTTGAATAGAGTAAACAAGTAAAACTGATTAATGTAAAACTGACTTGAACAAACAAAGAAACAGTCAATCAGTTGAACAAAGCAACAGTAATAAAGTCACTTGAACAAAAAACAGTAATATCAATGTAAAAAATTACTTGAACAAAAGCAACAGTAATATACAAAAAACTCACTTGAAACAAAGCAAGAAATCAGTCACTGTGAACAAAGCAACAGTAAAATATCAATGTAAAACTCACTTGAACAGAGCAACAGTCGTATCAGTCTAAAACTCACTTGAATACAGCAACAGTCGCATCAATGTAAAACTAACCGGCACAGAACAACAGTCACATCAATGTTAAACTCACTTGAACAGAGCAACAGTTGTATCAGTCTAAAACTCACTTGAATACAGCAACAGTCGCATCAATGTAAAACTAACAGGCACAGAACAAAAGACACATCAATGTTAAACTCACCTGAAGAGAGCAACAGTCGGATCAATGTAAAACTAACAGGCACACAGCAACAGTCGCATCAATGAAAAACTCACTTGAAGAGTGCAACAGTCGAATCAATCTGATCAGCGGTGATTCTACCAGGTCGAGCAGACAACCGTAATGGAAGTTTTTCAGCTGAGGCTGTCTCCACAAGTTTCCGGTTAACATCCATCAAAGCTTCCTGGAAGAAGACCATCTCACTCTGAGTATAACAATAACTAGAGGATAACTATAACAACAACCAAATAAACAACTCATTATGGTCTGCTGTGTTTGTAAATTGTTGCTGTGTTTGTTATTCAACCTGATATGAAAAACATTTCATCTTCCGAGACAAGATGCTGTTAAGCAGCTCTTGTACATCAATTAACAATGATAATAACATGGATGAATACAGTTTTCTGATACACAGAAGCTTATGTGACAGTGCTAAGGACAGACCTATAAGAGCTTCTTCTCCCTCGTCAGGTTATCTTTTACTTAATGTTGATCAGCTGTAAACTCTAGCGGAAAGTTCTGGTTGTTCATCCACTTCTGGACTGGGATCTTGTTCAAGAACTTTGGTATTGCATGTACATCCTTCTTTTTTTAAAAACAGATCTGGCTTATTTGTAGGTAGAATGCTGATTCCTAACCTCTCAGACAGGTGCTTTCTGACTTCACAGGAAACATGCCTAATTAGTTGATTGACTTGTATGATATGTTTCTTGAGGGGGGAGGGGGGAGAGTGAGAGTGGCGGGGGATGTATTCTTTGTCTTACCTCAGGATGGATACCCAGACATACCCATGCAACAGATAAAATAATCTAGGTGAATACAGACTAATAATTTCACACAGACTTGATACAGACTAACAATTTGACACAGACTTAATACACTTGCAATTCTTCTACATTTCATTTCTCCCTGTGTGGGCTCCAGGGCCCTATTATAGGAAAAAACAAGAATAGACCCACTGCCTACCCAAAAGCATGTCGTAAGAGTCGACTAACTAGGAGCTTCCTTCGAAGTTTTATTAATATTTCAGCTTTATTGAAACAAAAAAAAAAAACAATTAAAAACTGTTTTTACTCATTTTGTTTTCTAACTCTAAGAAATAATGTTTAAGGGATCAGGATACTAAACTACAAAAACACAAATTTCTTTTATTTACAATGTTAGACGAATTATTTTTTTAAATAGTCGTTAGTGATGTGAATTAATACAGTTTAACATGTAAATCTTAAAAAAAAAAATGGTTGCCATAACAACAGCCACATTGTGGGAGGAAAAACATGCATGCAGAATTCTAAAACTTCAGAAACAAACATACATATTAAGAACTAAATTACTGATTCACGAACTTAATCCTACTTTGTGGCAATGCACTAGTTTATTTTATTTTAAAATGTTTCTAAATATTTTTTTTTACAGTTTTACATTTCAAGTTTGTAAAGTAGGTCACAAAAGTAGCATCATAAGGCAATATAATTTTATTATTTAAAAAAAAGGGATTTTATCAAATGTAATTGTTATTTTTTTTTATAGTGTATTACCTATTATATTGTTGAAGAAATATCCACACCAAATTTCATGTTTCTACTCTTTATATTAGTCAAGATTTTGGAATTTTAAAACTGAAAACAGAAGTGTGAGAAATAACTGTCAACTTTGAGTGTCAAATAAAAGAAGGTTATAAAACAACTCAAGTGTTCTAGAACTGTTGTTGTTGTTGTTGAGAAAGAGAGGGAGGGGTGGGGGAGGGGGGGTCATCATGTACATAGACAATGTCACATAGATGAGAGACCAGAGAGCGGAATAGGAGGAGAGAGAGAGCCTTCTTTCATGAGAGAGAGAGAGAGAGAAAGAGAGAGACAGAGAGAGACAGAGACATTGTAAGTTGAGTATTAGAGTGGGATCAAGCAGGTGTCCTCTCCACAATGAACCTCTGACTGCTGCCTGTCCATCTCTTGATGTTGTCCTCAAATTTGTATCGTTGCCCACCACTTGCTGTCTTGCCTTTGACTTTTCCCTCCAGTATGGCTTGTAAAAGCCTGTAATGTCTTTTAATGTGGCCAAATGATTTCAATATTCTCTCTTTCATTTGTTTCAGTAATTCTTTTTTCCTTTGTAGCCTTTCCAGAACCTCTGTATTGGACTATTTCAGTTTCCATGAAATATGACCAATTCTTCTGTATACCCACATTTCTGGAGACTCAATTCAAATTTTTTTTTGACTTTGTTTATGGCCAAAGTTTCTGAACTATATAGCAGAACTGAGTATACATAACATTAGACAATTCTTATTTTTAGTGTGTTGTTTATCTCACTAGCTAATTTGCGCATCTTACTGAAGACAGTTTTAGCCATTTCTATTCTCTTTTTTTGTTAAAATTTCTGTTTCACTTCTGCCATCATCTGTTACTGTGTGTCCTAGGTAGGAGAAACTTGTTAGTTGTTCCAACTCTGGCCTCCACTTGTCGACTTGATCCATTTTTTCTTGCTCCTGCTCGCTTTCTCTACTAGGGCGTATCTCAGATTGTTTACTGTTCTTCCGTTTCTACTGAGGTGGAAGTCCAACAAGTTGATTCATGATCTGATTATCTACACAGATGGTTATGTATTGATAGGGAAGAGAAGTGCCTGGGGTTTCGTAGCGAAAGCCAACGGGAAAATCTTTAGTGCAGGAGAGCCTGGCATATGATACTACGGCATCTAGCACGAGAATGGAGGTGGAGGCGGTCACTGTAGCTTGCCGGTGGCTAGATATCAAGATACATTACACATGTCACAATTGTAACGGACTCTGAAAGCATGCTGAAAAAGGTGAAGATAAAATTGCTTCGAGCAGAGTGGCAAGCTTCAATTGCAAGGTCACAGGTAGTGAGCACACTTTGAATCTTTTCTCCAGGTCTTACCGGCGTGGTGGGAAATGAACAGACAGACAGACTGGCTGGATCTGCATTGCTGAGTGGTCAATTGATGCATGACAAAGCAGATGTGGTCAGAGCCCTTTGTGAACAAGTAACGAAGTCAGAAGAGAAACTAGATCATTATGGGCTAGAGAGAATGATGCACTTGGGTGTGACCAGAAGGCTCGGCCAGCACACTACGCTCAGAGGAAAGGCAAGATAGACATACAACCAGACTAAGACTGGCACCATTAGTATTGGAACTCTGCACTGGCTGCTGAGGATGGGGATGGAGCGCTCATGGGAATGCCCAGAGTGCTATGATGTCAATTCGTTCGTAACTCAACTCAAGTAAACCCGTTTCATACCTTTCAAGTAATAAATTGTTCAGTCAAAAGATAATCAAAGAAATCTTGTCTGTTTCTAAGAGTTAAGCAAAATTTGTCTCTTTTATCAGTTTTGCTAGGCAAGTGTTGCTGATTGCCAGAAAGGAGTATATATGACTACAACTTCAAGTAGGAAAACTGAGAAGGCAAGGGTCAGTGTGGCTTCAAATTGCCAGCTGAAACTGAATTTACTGTAGCATGGCATCTTACAGAGACTTGAGACTCAGTAACCAGATGTGACACATGTTTGCTTTTACCTTTTGTTTCTTGGCAATCAGAGGCAACAAGTGGCTGGACTGCCTGGAAAAATCTGTAGGGGCTAAACTTCCTGGCAAAACCACACGGCTGGCAGAATCACTCCTGCAAATGTGTTCACGCCAACATGAAGCAATATACTTTGATTACAAATCAGAATGGTTTTATTTCTTTCATTTTCCATGACTATGAACCAGTTATCCATAAAACTACCTTCTTTTTTTTCCCCCTCTACTCCCTGAATGCCTAGTGGCGTCAGAGCAGGAAGAGATCTCTGGAACGGGCCCTTCTGTTCGCTTCGTATAAAGTACCTTTTAGTGTCTCTGATATGTCTGCAGTCCATATTCTGCGTGGTCTACCTCTGGATCTGTTACTGTTGTATCTGTATAACATTGCTCTCTGTAATCTTGTTACATGGCCAAACCATTTGATTTGTTGTCTAGCTATAAAGTTCAGTATTGGTTCTGTGCTGACTCTCCTCCTGATATCATCGTTCCTAATTCGATCTTTCCCTCGTTACACACACACACACATGCATGCACACACACACTCATAAATCACTCATATGCACAGTCCATGGCAACAGCAGGCGCCATGTGACTTGAAATGCTCAGGCTCAAGACCACCATGTCCTACATCGCCCTAAAAAAAATCTGTTGCTTGAACATAATTAACATTGGTATTTTGTTGTTGTTGTTGCTGTTGTGGTTTTTCTAGGCAAATTTACGTTCAGTAGTTTGCCATTGCTTTCTGAACAAGTCCGCGTTCGATACTACTGTCGAATTGACACAAGTGGTCTCTGCCACATCACCTGCAGCTGGGATCAAAACCAGCCTCCCAACACTACGAAGCCCGCTTCCAATGCCTAAGCCACAGAAGCATAAAAAAGTGGTATACACAGACAGTAATGGAAGATTTCTTTGTCTGAGATATCCTTGACCCATAATACCCAGTGTGGCCTAACAATATGGAATTTACCTGCACTTCACACTTGCCTGTTGAAGACAATGGCCAAGAGCAGAGACAAATCAATAGCAACAGTGCTATTACTTATATTAATTTCTTTTCTTCTTTTTTTTTGGTTCCCTAATCAAGCAAAGGCCGTCAAATAATTTGTTAATCCCATCTCTTGCTAATTGCTTGCAGTTCACCCTATGTCATATCCATTATTTCACATCACCTGTATTTCTTTTTCCATTTGTTTCAGGTCTGTCTGTATTCCTCTGATCCTATCTGCTCTAGTAAAAATGTATTCTAGTTATACTGTCATATGATGTATCCTACTTCTGGCCTAAAATGGAGGATAGGTATGGCAGTATGTTAGGCTGCAAAATTATTTTTTCCTTCCGACAGGGCTTTGCTAATAGAGTTTCCTCATATGGACGGTAGTCTATGGTTTCACTGCCTGAGGTATTAAGTTTAGTGCTTGGTGCAGCCCTGTGAGCTGTGTTTTTCCTGTGGAATGCCTTTCATTTGTGCAGCAGCTGTGTCATGGTATTCAATATGGCCGGCAGCCGGTTTTAACTGTGAGCTGGTGAAACACCTTATGTAACAATTCTAAGCATATATAGCCAACTTATCATGCCCGTCTGCTTCCATCACTGGCAAACTGCATTTCTGGTGGCGACTTTTAGCTTTGGCACCTCTAGCAACTGAAATATGTATTTATTGCATGTGCATATTTCTGGATTATTCTAGGACTAATTGTTTGTTCACCAGTTTCTCAAATGCAACAGTAAGGGACATTTCAACTGATTTGCACTGGCAAAGAAATGGAGCAAGTATGGGGAAACCCGACTGCAGTAAAGTTGAAACCTCGACTAAGACTATGATGTATCTTATCCAACGCCAGCATCTTTTCCTCACCTCTTTATTCCCTAATAGTACTGTTAATCTGATAAGAAGGTAAACACAATATGACAATCACAAACTTAAAATTATGGTTTCTCTTTAAAAAATGTCTGTTTATGGTTGTAGTGTACAGACAAGTGGACCTGGAATCACTGCTAAAATTAGCAGAACACTGCCCTTACCTGCAGACATTAGAAAGTTCCAGAAGATCCACCTGGCAGTCATTGTTATGTCCCTGCAGGGTTGGTAATGTATTCCTTATTCTGTCCATGAGAGTATCAAACTGATGTGTAACAGCTGAAGCAATATCTAGTGTTCGATCAACAAGCACCAGGGACGCTCGGTTCTGAACAGTCTGCAGGCAAAACATACAAAAATGTTTTCTACTTTTAAACATTGTTATCCCTGTAGGGAACCAATGTGTGTGTGTGTGTATGGTATGTGTGCATGCGCATGCACGCATGCACACGCGCGCATGTGTGTGTGTGTGTGTGGGGGGGGGGGGAGGGGAATAGACTCACTGCCTCTAACAAGCAAGTCGTGAGAGTCCACTAACTAGGGATGTTGCCTTCAAAGTCAAGAGTGTATCTGCATGACAGGCAAGGAACCAAAAGTCTGCAGACAAATTAGTCAGATCAGTCCAATGAGTGTGCACGCAAAACTCAGGAATGCTTCTCTCCTCCCATTATGACCCAAAAAACTGCTCAACTCTTACTTATAGTTGTATATAATGTTGTACAGTTGCATATAATGTTGTATAGTTGCATATTATGTTGTATAGCGGTGTTGTACAGTCATATATAATGTTGTACAGAGATAGATAACGTTCTTTATTTGCATATTATGTTGTATAGTTGAACCTAATGTTGTGCAGTTGCATATCATGTTGAACTGTTGCATACAGTCTTGTACAGTAGAATATACTGCTGTACAATTGCACACAATGTAAGTTGAATTTAATGTTTTATGCTTGTATAAAATTGTGTACAAATGTACATAATGATGTTCAGATGCATATAATGTTGTACACTTGCATATTATGTTATATAGCTGTGTTGTACAGTAGTATATAATGCTGTCCAGATATATATAATGTTGTATAGTTGTACATAATGTTGCATCGTTGTAAAAAATGTTGTAGTTATAAATAATTTTGCACTGTTGTATATAATGTATAGTTATAAATAATCTTGTATAGATGCATATAATGTTTAAGTGTATATGTTTTATATAATGTTGTATATTTGTATATAATGCTAATGTAAAAAAAATATGTAATCATATAGAAAACAAAATGCTGCACATGGGTTTACCCACTTTAAAACTTGAGGAACTTTTACTGCTGTGCACATCTCACATCAACTTCAACTACCTTAGGCAATCTGGCTTGGCCATGTGAAGATCTCTGGGTCCTAGCTCACATCTAACATCAACTTCAACTACCTTAAGCAATCTGGCTTGGCCATGTGAAGATCTCTGGGTCCTAGCTCACATCTAACATCAACTTCAACTACCTTAAGCAATCTGGCTTGGCCATGTGAAGATCTCTGGGTCGTATTCTAGCTCTTATCTAACATCAACTTCAACTACCTTAAGCAATCTGGCTTGGCCATGTGAAGATCTCTGGGTCGTATTCTAGCTCACATCTAACATCAACTTCAACTACCTTAAGCAATCTGGCTTGGCCATGTGAAGATCTCTGGGTCGTATTCTAGCTCTTATCTAACATCAGCTTCAACTACCTTAAGCAATCTGGCTTGGCCATGTGAAGATCTCTGGGTCGTATTCTAGCTCTTATCTAACATCAGCTTCAACTACCTTAAGCAATCTGGCTTGGCCATGTGAAGATCTCTGGGTCCTATTCTAGCTCACATTTAACATCAACTTCAACTACCTTAAGCCATCTGGCTTGGCCATGTGAAGATCTCTGGGTCCTATTCTAGCTCACATTTAACATCAACTTCAACTACCTTAAGCCATCTGGCTTGGCCATGTGAAGATCTCTGGGTCCTATTCTAGCTCACATCTAACATCAACTTCAACTACCTTAAGCAATCTGGCTTGGCCATGTGAAGATCTCTGGGTCCTATTCTAGCTCACATCTTTATGGCACACTTAGAGGAACAAATGTCCACTGATATTGAGAGTTTAGTATTTTACCGACGTTATGTGGATGACATAATTAACATTGCCACTAACAAGCAACAGACACAGTCATTTCACATCTAAATGAACCAATTAAACAAAAACAGCACAGTATCCCTACAACATGAAAGTAGAAATGCCTTGGCTTTCTTAGTTATTTTAATTAGACATGGAGATGATGGCCCTACTGAAAGGTCAGTTTATCGTAAACACACAAGCTTTTCTTCAAAACTGACCTTGGCTCCCAGGTTGATCCAGCCTAAAATAAGTACCAGGCAATGTATTGGGAAGTAAAGGCAGCCAGTGCAATATAGACCACATAAACCATAGAGTGCCAACCGGCCTATAACACTATAACGTCTAGCAATAAATTTGTGATCTGCAAAAGAAGTGAATTTAAATTTTTTTGAAGAAGTATAGACCACATAACCCATTGTGCCAATCGGTCTATAACACTATAACGTCTAGCAATAAATTTCTGATATGCAAAAGAAGTGAATTTAAATGTTGAAGAAGTAAAAGAAGAGGACTGGTTCTTAAAAAAAAAATCACGCACCTTTCTGCGAGCTCTTGCAGGTGGGTATGAGTCCAGCTCTGTAGCCACAAGTCGACTGGTGTTTCCAATGGAGAAAATATCCTCCCTGACATCCATTCCTTGAAGCCAAGCATGAAGTCCACTTGCTAGCAGCTTATTTGTTTTTAAAAAAATCATTACAAACAAATTAAATAACTTTCTTTTAAAAAACTGAGGTATAAGTTCCATACATAGAAATAATAAATAAATCACCAACACCATTACAAGCATAAATCCAGATGTGTTTATACAGGTTTCTCAGCAGTGGAGGAAACGCACTGAACTTACTACTCAGTCGCTCCTCTTCTACCCTGGGGTGTAGAGGTTTGATAAAGAGGTCGCCAGACATCTCTTTTAGCAGTTTTCTTTCTGGCTTTGTTCCATTCTAGTCCTGTATCAGTTAAGGACTGTCAGATGTTGTCTTCCCAGCAGACCGTATCATGTGTGACTGCACTTCTTACGTTTAGAATACTGACAATTAACTGAAAATTGTTTGTAACATCTGAGACTGGCTATTATTCTGGTGTCCCACTGATGTGTCAGGTGTCTGTGCTTCTTACATCCAGAGAGAGTATATTAAAAGTATGATAATGTGTTTGTATAAATATGAGAGATTGTTAAATGAAACCTGACTCCATGGCTGTTTTACAAACATATGAAAAGTACATTAGCAGGTGTGGCAGAATTGAACAAAGCAATTGTTAGGAACCACAATTGTACTTAAGGTCATCAGAAACAGTTATTGTAGGCATCCTATTGCATGAGCAGATTGTGGATACCATTATCAAAGAACGACTTTTGTTGCAATGCATCCCACTGCAGGAGGAGACTTTTGTTGCAATGCATCCCACTGCAGGAGGAGACTTTTGTTGCAATGCATCCCACTGCAGGAGGAGACTTTTGTTGCAATGCATCCCACTGCAGGAGGAGACGATAAATACCAACATCAAAGAAGGACTTTTGTTGCAATGCATCCCACTGCAGGAGGAGACTTTTGTTGCAATGCACCCCACTGCAGGAGGAGACGATAAATACCAACATTAAAGAAGGACTTTTGTTGCAATGCATCCCACTGCAGGAGGAGACTTTTGTTGCAATGCATCCCACTGCAGGAGGAGACGATAAATACCAACATTAAAGAAGGACTTTGGTTGCAATACATCCCACTGCAGGAGGAGACGATAAATACCAACATTAAAGAAGGACTTTGGTTGCAATACATCCCACTGCAGGAGGAGACGATAAATACCAACATTAAAGAAGGACTTTTGTTGCAATACATCCCACTGCAGGAGGAGACTTTTGTTGCAATGCATCCCACTGCAGGAGGAGACTTTTGTTGCAATGCATCCCACTGCAGGAGGAGACTTTTGTTGCAATGCATCCCACTGCAGGAGGAGACGATAAATACCAACATCAAAGAAGGACTTTTGTTGCAATGCATCCCACTGCAGGAGGAGACGATAAATACCAACATTAAAGAAGGACTTTGGTTGCAATGCATCCCACTGCAGGAGGAGACTTTTGTTGCAATGCATCCCACTGCAGGAGGAGACTTTTGTTGCAATGCATCCCACTGCAGGAGGAGACGATAAATACCAACATTACAGAAGGACTTTGGTTGCAATGCATCCCACTGCAGGAGGAGATTGTGGATACCAACATTAAAGAAGGACTTTGGTTGCAATGCATCCCACTCTTTGAGTCCCAAGGAATGCATCACACGCTAATTTGTTACTACTTGGCGGCCCAAACAGCGCAAGACGTGTGACGGTTTTTAATTCACCACTTATCGGTCATTACACGCAAACCGCTCAATTTAAACTTCCTTTCCGGTTCTCAAGTGTGTAGTGAACACATGTGGAGTGCATTCGTTTAGGTCTGGTGAGTTTTTAACGCTTTAATACGATATTTGTGTGGTCTACTGCGTTACCAAACAATTGTCTGAAAACAATATGTCCGATCAGTCATCGTCTTCACGCCCATCAAAGCGATTTACTGCTTTAGAATCATCAAATTTGATAAAACAGTGGATCAGTTAAAGTAATGTGGAGTTGGATAATGATAGTAGCGACGTGAAATTTCCCCAAACCGTTGACGAGTCAAGTTTTGATGAGGATGTGTGCGTAATTTACCTCCTGCTAAGAGGACAAAACTGACTAATTCTGCCATGGCACCTCGTAACGCGACACCAGCTAGTCCAAATGTCAGCGCTTCTAGTACTACTATCCATATCATCTAAAACCATAGATATATATCTATGAACAGGTTGACATGTTTACAGTGCCTTTGTAGTTTTTTCTATGTGAGGAATTCAATTGTTTTTAGAAAAGTCACTGTTTGTGCCACTGGAGAATATATTTTCACGTGTTATGGTAGTGTTATTAAAATTGCTATGGAACATCAACTATTGCACATTTTGCTTTAATATTGGCTGTGCATACTTATAAGTGGTGTACCTTCCTTTGTGATGCATTTTGGATATACTATATGAAGAATTTTGGGATCAGCTTCTGGGTAAGTGGAGAAAACTTGTTCATAATTTACTCACCTCTCAAACTAAGTCACTGTTTTCTCTACTAAATACTAACTAACAGTATAATTGTTTGTTGCAGAAGTATGCTAATATTAATCCTTATCCATTTATGTTTAATTTCATGTATGATATGTGTATGTTGGACATCAGCTGCAGTTGTGTGGTTTGTTATAAAGTTCTGCATCTGTTAAAAGTCAAAATCATATCCCCCCCCCCCCCCCCCTCTTGGGCCTCTGATGCAAAACCTCCTGGGATTCAAAGAGTTAAGTGCTTTTTAATTAATAATATTAACAATAATAATGATGTGTTGAATGAAAAATAATAATATCATCATCATCAAGTGCCTTGCCAGCTGGCATCTCCACAGATCTTGGTCTTTGGTGTTCTGGATCAAACACTCTGATGATATTTCTCCAGGCTACTGACTTGAGCCATCCAACATAATTTCTCTTGGTCTGCCTCTGCCTCTTCTACCAATGATCTTTCCAGTCGCCACAGTATATTCCAGTGCTCCTTTTCTCATGACATGACAAAAGAACTTTGTCTCCTTCTCACTGTTGTATATAATGTTTTACTTTCATTAGCCATTTCCAGACAATCATTGTTAGATATTCTGGCAGTCCAAAATATTCACAACATTCTTCTCAAGAACCACATCTCAGGTGCCTAAAATTATGACTTGAATAAACAAAACATTTAAAAGAAAACTGGGGGCTGAGTGGTCTCGAGGTATGGTGTCTGCCTCGAGTGCTGGAGGTCACAGGTTCAAGCTACAGTAAAGGCTGGGATTTTTTCACGTGGACAAGTAATTTCCCCTGGTCTCTGACTAGTGAGACTGGACGGCTGTGTGTATTCTTGCGCACGTAAAAAAAATTCCTTGGCAGTTGGAAATTGAAAACAGTAGCCTAACAGCGATGCCCGGGCAAAATTTGGAGTTGAAAATCTAATCTAAGTATTTGAGGATCCTCGCCGGTGCAACAGAGTTCGAGCTGAGATTCTTCAGGCTCAGGCTTGAGTTAGAAGTAGAACGGAGCAATTATAGGGTACACCGGTTTTCCATGATGTTGATCCATTAAAAAGACATTTTTAAAAAAGTTTTATGTATGGTTGGGGGTGGTGGCGGAAATTTAACACAATTGAGGGGTGGGGGGGTGAGGGTGAAGCGTTCTGAGCCCCAATACATGGGAGGTGGGGGAGGGGGGGCTCGAACAGTCTAAGCCTCCAGGTTCCGGCACCCCCAGCTCTAACAGTACCTGGTGGGGGGGGGGGGGGGGGGGGCTCAAACAGTCTTAGCCTCCAGGTTCCGGCACCCCCAGCTCTAACAGAACCATCAGTATTTCAAGCCTGGAACAGTGAGACACACCTGGATCTGCACCTGAAGATTGTCTGGCAGGTGGAGAAGCTCTAGATCCTCTAAGGCTGCCATCTTCTTTGTTTCCTGGACAAAGAATAGTCAAAACATGAACTGCATAATCAAAATCAAATCATCAAAATAAACAGAATGAAAAGATAAAGCTCATGAAATGCATACATCAGCATCTTTTGTACATCGCATTAACAGTCACAGTAAGATGCATGAATACAGATGTTGGTTTCTGATTTGTTATCTTAGTTAGTTATAGAATTAACAAAAAGACAAGGTATTGATCGGCACCCATAGAAAGAAGTAGAAAGATAGAAGGACACACTAGACAACATAAAAATCAAAAGCTATTGTTACCGTGCCAGGAATCAAACCTGTCACCTGCAAATGGCATGTGCGCCTCGCCATGGAAACAAGCGTACTAAGAACACAACCTACTAGACACTCACCAAAAAAGTTGGTTTGAGATGAACTACCCCTTTTTGGGGGGAGGGTGCCTAGTTATACATCAAAGTGACCAGGGGTTGTTGAGGAATCATTATAGAATACAGCTACAACAAATAATTGTGTTAGTAAATAAATATTAGTAAATAAACAGAAGGTATGTTAACAAAATTTAGTAAAATGAAATGAAAAAATTTCACTTACCACCATAGCACTCAAGGAAAACTGGTTAAAATATATCCAAAATGAATCACAGATGAATATGAACCACTTAGTAATTTATAAGTAAAATATAAACAAAATCTATACATTAGATTCTGTTTCAAAGAATCTTTGGAAACATCATAACAGAGCACCATTTTTTGGTAAAGAAAACTGACTCCCAAAACAATAAGAATCTTCACACAAAACAAAGTTTATGTAACACTCAATTTGCCAGTAATTTTGTAGCTATGTTCCTAAATAATAAGGGAAATAGCACTAGAACTAACTGACACTGAAGAAAATTGTGTTTTCACTGACATTTATTTTATTTGTGCCAGCTGACTTTTCTATTGTTGTACCCTTCGTGTGAGGTACACATTAGACATATTCCTCACCAAAGTTTATCTCTTTAAATGACTCAATCACATCTAATTCGCAACATTACCTAAATTCGGATAAATCAAATAAACACGTACTTTATTTAAATTTGAAGCCTCTAAAGCCGTAAATCATGTTGGCATGCATGTAGAGTGCTGCTTGGTGGCCATATTCTTTTAAAACAAACATTTAGTAACTCAGTAAACATCGCAAATATACTAAACTTTCAGCTTTCAGACCACATCTCTAACTAAATGAGCACACCTGATATCAGACACAAAGAACTCAAAAGAAAGTTGAAATTGAGCGGTCTACGTTTTATTACCGGTCAGTGGTAGATTAAAAACCTTCACTTGTCACGTGTCGATTGGGCCACAAGGTTGTAACAAGTTATCGAGTGATGCATTCCCTGGCGCACTGGTGTGCAATTCCCTATGCTGTGCGGCGTTGGTAGTCATGTCTATCAACAACTTTCTGTCTCGTGTAATTTCAATCAACTCTGATATAGATGATCCTCCATGCCATGATGTCAAACTGTTCAGTCTCTTTTCTCTCAGTCTTCCTGTGTCTCTCCTTCCCTCCAACTTTCCTATTGTCACGATGTACTCCAGTTTTCTCCTTCTCATCACATGACCAAAGAATGTAAATTGTCTCTTTCTGATGTGGGCAATCAGTTCTCTTTGTGAGTCAGTTTCTTTCGAGACATCTTCATTTCTCTTTGTATCTCTCCAGGTTATTCTCATCATTTGTCGATTAAACCCCAACTTCATAGCTTCCAAGTAATTTTTCACTAATTTACCAACTCTCCATAATTCACTTCCAAACATCAAGATAGGATTTCTATAGCTGTTAAGAATTCTCTTTCTCGTCTTAACTGACAAAGAAAAACTGCATGAAATAGTCTTCATGTTGTCAAATGCTGCCTTTGCTTGAGCTATTCGACATTTTACTGTATGCTGTGTTTGGGGCTAATCTTTTTCTGGCTTTTTGTATTCACCGGCTGTAAATTCCAGTGCAAATTTCAGGTTGTTCATCCACATTAGTTTTGCTCTAGGATTTGGGTTATGTGTGCACATCTGTTATACAGACGGCTTATTTTAATGCAGAAGGTTGGCTCCTCACTTCTCAGACAGATGCACCCTGAGATCGACAGTAGTGAAACAGTTAATTTACAGTCAAAGCGGTATTTAAAAAAATGACACATCACATGTGGGATGATAATGTATGATTATCTGGACATCATTCACTGGGAAATGAAAGACTGGAAAAGAAAACAAAATCAAAGCTATTTCTCAAATGCAAACAGATGGCTAAGACTCCCCCTCCACCCCCCCCCCTCCCCCCCCACCCCAACCCTTTTTTTAAAGTATGTCATAAAAGGCAACTAATTAACAACTAATCAGAAGTCTGGGCTGAAAGTTGCAAGTATTACAGCCTAGCTGTAAAACACAATACAACATGCCAACTGCTCTTGTAAGAAAACAAAATTTAAGAAAACAAAATGCAGTATTTTGTCAAATGCAAGTAGATGTCTAAGAACATACCTACCACCCATTCCCCCCCCCCCTTTTTTTTTTTAACAAGCATGTCATAAAGGACAAATAATTAGCAACTAATTGGATGTGAAGGCCAAAAGTTGCAAATATTACAAACTAGCTGTAATCCACAGCACAACATGCCAACAGCCCTTGTAAGGGTGACTACAGAAGAAGAAGACCAGGCTTACCATATGACAACTGCTATATTGGTAGGCAATCTGTTTTACATCTGACTGAAGTAGAGGAAACATGCTGGAGAATGCTGGGGCAATGACAAACCCTGGACAGACTTCGGCACAAAATAAGGGAACATGTATCACCTCAGAGGTATAATTCTGTCAATGAAAAGATATACACATTTGCATATTTTACTGCATGTTTTCTTAATTATAAGAATGTAAAACGTCCGGTTTCTATGCACTGGGATGTACTGGGAATCTGATGCAGTACTTAATGGTTCATACAGTCAATATTATGTTGGCTGTTTTTAATTCCTAAGAAGTTTTTTGTTTGTTTTTGTTTTGGGTACCAAACAACATACCATTTGTTTCTTCGTAATTCCAAAGATCTACTACGTCTTCTTCACGTTCACCGCTGTAAACTCCAGCTGAAAGTTCTGATGATTCATGCCCCTCTGGACTATAGCCTTGATCAAGAGCCTGAGTATTGTGTGCACATCCATTTAACAGATCTGGCTTATCTGAATGCAGACTGCTGGTTTCTTGCCTCTCAGGCACATGCACTCCAACTTTGAAGGAAGCTCCTAATTAGTCGACTCTTGCTTCTGGGTAGGCAGTGGGTCTCCCCCCCCCCCCCCCCCCCCCCCCCCACAATGAAATCCTGGAACCCACAAGGGAATAACTCCAAAGATGATATACTGTTCTTGTTCAGTTCTGTGGCTGAGTTTATACGTTACTCTGAATTCTTTGTTTAGCTAATTCTGTCTTACACTGTTTCTATTTTTAACCCAACCAGGCTCAAACAATGACAGTTTGAACCCTTTCACCCCGAGAAAATGGACGGACCGGGGCGGGGAAAAGTATTCTAAATATCTGGGGGAATGGGGGGAACTATTTTGTTCTCAGGACATACAGGGGGAAATTCTTCCCATAGTGAAGGAGTGGCCCTGACGCTATCAAAAGAAGCATAGATGGCACTTACAGAATAGGAAAATGTGAATCTTAGAATAATAAGAGCATCATTTAGAACATCAAAACAGAAGGTGAACATGTCAGTAATATAGTTTTATACCAAGAGGTGAAGAAAAGACACTGGCGCTAAATAGGATACACGTTGAGAAAACTTGAGAACAGTGCAACTAGAATGTTTTAGCACTGTAACCCACAGAAGCATATAAAATGGAGAAAGGAGCCAGAGAGTGAAGCTGAAAAGATGGAGATATCATGGAGAGAGCTGCATGCAATAGCAAAGGATATAACAACCTGGCGTGAGTTGGTTGAGGGCCTATGCTCCATTCGGGATTAGAAAGGCAGAAAATCCCAAAAAAGACTAAATGTAGTAACCACCAGCAGTGCCATGAAGTTAAAAAGATGGGGATGTCATGGAAAGAGCTGCATCCAATAGCAAAGGATAGAACGACCTGGCGTGGGTTGAGGGCCTATGCTCCATTGGGGGTTAGAAAGGCAGAAGAAGACTCAGAGAAGACTAAATGTAGTAACCACCGGCAGTGCCCTGTCCCTGTAAATGCCAATATATGGCTATATCTGCACTGACCTGTTTTCAAAAATTGTAAATTCAGTTGGTTGTATGTGCACCTGTGCAGTGTTTAATACGTTAGGATATGAATATAGCAACTAATAATAGCATTATGTGTGTGTGCGAGCGCTTGAACGAGTGTGCGTGTGTATGTGTGCGAAGTGTGTGCGTGTGGTGAGGGAGGGGTGTCCTTATGAACCTAATGGCTTTTTAAAAGCCAATTTGATGTCAAGTTTTCCTGTAAGCCTCAGTGATGGATGTCATGGTATAAGTCACCAGATACATTTTGTTTTTTATGCCCTGGGGAATGTATTCCATTTAAATGCTTTACACTGTTCATATTTACTGATTACCCCTTCATATCCCCCCCCCCCCCCCCCTAAAAAAAAAGTTAACAATGTAGATAATTTTTTATTTTTTTTTACTTACTATTAGTGACCTGCGGAATATGGCGTTTTTTAAAGGATTTTTCTTCAGAAATTCCATTAGGTTAATTATTTTAATTATTTTTTTAATTGCATTTATGAGGTTGAAGGGCTAAAGTACAACTTTTTAGGGGTAGATAATAAAGAAATAAGTGTCTAGAATAACAAAAAAATTAAATCAAATGATTAACAGAATTAACATACTGTTTACCATAGGGAGCTGCGATAGCGCAGTAGCTTTACGCTCTCATACCAGCTGGAAGTTCAAGAGTTCACATCTGGATCAAGGTAGCTTTTTTTTTAAATTAAACTTCTCAGGTCAACTCAGTCTAAACAAACTGGATAATGTTATGGGAAGTAAAGGTGGCCTCATCAAACATTAAGTGCTGGTCTATTTGGTTATAGCCTATAAAAACTTCTTCCACTGCAAAGTTGATCTCTGTAAAACTGATGCACTCATGGTTTTATAATGGTTATTTTCCGTCCACACGCCAAACCCTCTAGTACTTCCGGTTAAAATGGACGCTAGACAGCGGCGCTATTCCAAGCAGAGGCAAATTTTTTGCTTCTGCTGGACGGTGGCCGAAGTATTTTTGCTCCATTTGTAGACTGGATATAGTTTCGTCGCCCAGCTTCTGATTTGAATGCATGGCGTGACCCTGTGAGCTGCGGATTGCATTTGGAATGTATTTTCGACTGTGACCAACGTGGTGGTGTGAATTGTAGATTCAGAAAATGGCGTGATGCCTGTCGTGCAATGTTGGCGGTGCCCGCATCTGGTTAAAATTGATCGCATGGACAACTGCTGAACTGTTGGTGACAAGTTCTGCTATCATCAATGATAAACTGCGTTTCTAATGTTGGACTGTTTGTGTTAGCACTTCAAATGGCTACCATATGCTTTAATGCGAGTGAATGCTAGATATGCTGAGACAGCAGTCTGTCAATCTTTCCACAAGGGACTGTGATAAACATTCTGGGTGTTTTTTGTTGGCACAGGAGCAGAGCAAAGATGGGGCGACCCGTTGCTATGAAGCTGAAACTAAGACTACCAGACTCTAGTACTAAAAGAGTTGTGTGTGTGTGTGCACGTGTGTGTGTGCGTGCATGCATGTTTAATGCTTACCATATTTCCCATCCATTCAGAAACTTTCTCCTCAAACTGGGAAAACACAGTGTCACTGTCTGCAAATGCCACACCTGGGTGAAGGACAGGGCTCACTGTTGTCATAACAACCACATACTGGAAATGGCTCCGTGACACGACATCTCTAATTATTTCCACTGTCACGTCAGTCAATGATGAACTGATGATAAACACTGCTTTCTTTTGAGATTCTTCTGAAGCCTGATAATGATAGCACATAGAAACACTATGAAATACAGAAGAAAGCAAATGCTATTCTTCAGAAAATATAACTTTTTTACTGGAATTGAGAAATGAACAGAAGAAGAATGAGAACAGCTTTCTTGTGTGTTTTTTCCCAACATTTATAGATTCCTGTTTTCCCAATTTAAAACAGTGGCTCTCAAGCTACCCAATGCGACAACACTTGAATACAGTTCCTCATGTTGTGGCGACACTTGAATACAGTTCCTCATGTTGTGGCGACACTTGAATACAGTTCCTCATGTTGTGGCGACCCCCAACCATGAAACAATTTTCATTGCTACATTATAACTTCAGTGAATAGTGTTTTGTTATGGTCTTTCGAGCCACAAAAGGGTTGTGACCCACAAGTTGAGAACCGCTAATTTAAAGGCAGGATTATATCTATTTCTGAATGTTACCATTATTAATGAGAATCGCTGTGGTGTAGCGACTAGATGCTCGCACGGGGATCGGAAGGTCGTGGGTTTGCTCCCTGGCAGATCAGGATTTTCTTTTAAAAATTACCTTGACTCTCAGGTCGACCCAACCTTGAGTGGGTACCGGGTGCAGTCCCGGGAAGCAAAGGCGGCCAGCGTGATGCTGACCACATCACCCATCTTGACCTGTTTGGTCTATAAAAATATAGGTCTAGCCCTATATGCCCTAAAGGTGTGGAAAAGGGTCCTTCACTTTACTTACCATTAATAATGCCATTATTTAGTGGAAACAGTCCTCGTGTGGTCTGGAGCCCCATTTTAGGGGGGAAAAGGAATAGACCTACAGCCCCTAACAAGCACGTTGAAAAAAGGTAACCATCAGAAGTTTGGTGAAATTGGATGCATTGGCCACCTTTTTGAGAGTAAATGCAGAAGTAGAGGAGAAAGAGGATGAGGAAGAGGAGGAGGAGGTGATAGTGGTGGGAGTAGAATGAGAAAGCAATAAAAAAAAAAGGGCTAGCAATTGCATCTGATATGATTTGTAAATTTTCATTTTTTTATGTTGATTAAAATTTAATTTATAAATAAGAAACATATTTAAATCAGAAATTCAATAATGTGGGATTCAGGACTTTGTCCATATGGACAGGCACCAGAGAATATTGAAAACTTATGGTCGTCCCCATGTGGGATGCAATTTTTTGTTATTTGAAGCCTCACCCTGGCTTCTGCCGGGGGCCCTGAATATAGCTGGGCCATAAATGTGGCCACATTGGCTGAAAAGGATTTCTGGGACCTCTCCACTGGTGATCCTCATCCGCATGGTGGCATTTTGTGTCACCGGGTGTTTATCGCTTGTGTGATGTCCTGGTGGGGTACAACAAGCAAGCAAGCAATACTGAACACGTGCTATAGACATGCTCTCTTTATGCAGTAGAGAGATCCCTGGTTTGGTCGGTTGGCATTCCAATGGAAACCAAACTGTATGTATCAGTGGAAGACATGCATCTCACCAACAGACTTCACAGAGGCAAGTAGCCTTCTCATCTGAAAACTACTGTTTGGGAGAAAATTTTAAAAAAAAAGAAGAAATATATGAACATGTAACAACATTCTTCTGATTCTTCTTCGCGTTCACCAGCTGTAAAATCTAACGGAAAGTTCTGGTTGTTCGTCCACTTCTGGACTTTAGTCCTGCTCGAGAACCTGAGTGTTGTGTGTACATCCGTTTTACAGATCTGACTCATATGTATGCAGACTGTTGGTTTCTTGCCTCTCAGGCAAATGCACTCCAACTTCGAAGGAAGCTCCCAATTAGTCAACTCTTACGACATGCTTTGAGGTAGGCAGTGGGTCTATTCTCGTTTTTCCTACAATGGGGCCCCGGAACTTACACTGGGATATTTTTCAAATTAATCAATGTTTTATATTTGTTTTAAAATAATACTTACTTCAAATGAAGAAAATTCCCTAACATCAACTGCTCCTGCAGAAAACAGAATGTCTATTCCACCGGACCAATGAAGCAGTTCTGCCATTTTTGCATCCATGTAGATGATGGCATGTTTGACCTTTAACCTCACTTCTTCCCACCATTCTCTAGTTATATCCCATGCAGATTTGTGCATTTGTAACTGATGGACAAGTAATCAAAGTGGGGAAAGGCGCTCTAGGCTGGTTTCTGTGCAAAACATGTAAACAGCTTTAAACTAGTATAACAGTAAAACCTCATTAACCTGAACTTACTTAAGAAGAACACATGGTTAACATGAACCAAATGTTGGTCCCAGTAGGGATCTTTTGTCTTTTTCCTTGTTCACCGGCTGTAAACTCCTGTGGAAAGTCCTGGTTGTTCATCCATCTAGACTTTGGCTTTTTGTCAGGGCCTGAGTTGTGTGAGTACATGTGTTTTACTGGCTTATTTGAGTGCAGCTGGTTGTTCCTTGCCACTCGGGCAGATGCACTCTGACTTGAAAGAAAGCCCCCAATAAGTCAACTCCTATGACCAAGCCTTGAGCGTTTATTTTTGACATGCACACAATTAGCACTCAGCAGGACACATCAGTATCACCTTTCTCTCAGCCTTCTTTTAACGCAGCTTTCAATGCAGACAATCCACTTTTACTCTTCCTATCTCTGGGGCCCTGTCACAGAATGACTTGCTATTCAGCTGTTTCCCAAGTTATCTCATGTTCCCAAGTCAACTCACAGTCTCATGATTTCCCTCTCTCACACTGACCTCATGCCTTACAACCTGGAGATTTCTCTGATTCTACTAGTCAATCAAACCTCTTACAATATTCCTATATTTAGCATCACTACAATTACAAATAAAAGGAGCTATCCTCCAAATAATGGTCCTAAATTACAGAGGCAGAAAATATACCCTAACAGAGCCTCAGTCACGTGTCAATTGTGCACTTCAGCCGTCTTAAATTGGGCACTTCCGGCGACTTCCGCCACTGCCGAGAGTATCCTCCACGCCGCTCACAAGGCGTGGAGGATACTCTCTGCAGTGGCGGCAGTCGCCGGAAGTGCGCAATTTAAGACGACGGAAGTGCACAAGTGACACGTGACTGAGGCTCTGTTAGGGTATATTTCCCGCCTCGATAATTTAGGACCGTTATTCGGAGGATAGCCAAAAACAGTGTTACAGGGGTGAACCAGGTTTCTGGGACCAGCTCCTTTGGATTCTCATCAGAACACTGGTTCTTTGAGTCACTGGTTGTTAATCCTTCAGGGTCCAATTCTGCAATGTTAAATGACTGCGTCAAGCATGATAGCCCCACAGAGCTACTGGCATGAAAAAGATCCCTTCCTCACTCTATCACCTGCTACTGGCAAAGTGCAAAGTCAAAGTGCATGTTTAAGTTAGTTTAACTGTCAAAACTAGATGAGCGTACTATTTGAATGTGTGTCTGCATTTTAAGAGAAAACCTAACAATAAAACTATCTCTTATTGCAACAACAGAATCATGAAACCAAACAGTTTGTCGTCCCGTCTCTCTCCAATTGGTTTTTATAAAGATGATATAAACTGTTTTTCGTTACCTTTTGTTCCCCTCTGTCCCCTATATTTCTACCTGCAGCAGAAGTCTTGTTTAGCGATACGTCCGCACTTTCATTAGAGTAGGTTCCCTTGAGAGTAACTCTCTCTGGGCACCACTAGGGACGGGGGGGGGGGGGGGTTGCATGACTACTGATATCACCAGCGTGGAAGCTCTTTGCTGGTTGTGAAAGAGGGAAAAGGTGCTACTATGGGCGTGTCTTGAATGCCATGATGTCGAATCATTACCCAGGTGAACCCTTTACTAGTTATGATTTGGGCCATCTTCACGGCATTCCGGACACGTCCATAGGTGCTCAGATTCCCCCTTTAACATATAATACACCAGCGTCCCGCGGTTGATAGTCCCGGTCCTTTGTTGGTTGACAAAACTTCTCGTGCGTTCGGTGTGCTTCTCGTGCCTGGCTGTACCGAACTTTATTGCACTGTTAGCAGAGATGTGGGAGCGTTGCTCCCAAAATCCTCCGAACGTCCTACCTCTCTAATGGCGTTAACGATGTCGGCATGATCCATGAACCTGCCCTCTGTAACTAAGGTAGAGCCGGCTAATCCGTCGGCTCTTTCATTGTCAACAACACCCGCATACCCGGATACAAAGATGAAGATGACCAGAGGGTGGCACAGAGTCTAGTCTAGAATAGTCTAATATATAACACGGAACCTTCTCCCCTGCGTATTTCATTCAATGCTATAAACTCTAGATTGTTATTCAAGGTTTTTCCGATTCCAGTGACTGGTAAACAGTGTGTAGTAATAATATAGTAATATTGGATTCACCGGACTGCAAACATGCTCAAGACCAACTGTTAGAAGATTCTGCATTTCGGATGAACAGGACCTCCTGGACAGATAAGTTGTGGTTACCAAGAATGGCGGTTAATCCTAACACCAAGTGCCACTTTCCTTGGTCCATAATCCTGCAGTTTGGCAATGATGATATTTGCTGCTACTAATAGCAAACCAGGAGTCCGTCTGGAGTAGAGAATGCTTTGCTTCACTATCAAGTTTACTTTGTTTTGCTGAATTCATTTCTGTAATTCTTACTTGTGTTGCACTGATTAGATGATGTTTTGTTATTTTACATTCTGTGGTTAGTGTCCATTCTTCACAGATCTTAAGTTGTCTGGAATGCGTGTTGTAAAGTGTAGTTCATGCTGTACTGTGTTAATTTGACTAGCATAGGATTACTATCTAGTTTGGTGGCTTAAAAGTAGGAGGGAAGTCAGTCCAAGTTGCGCCTGGGAATAGTTATTAATTCTGTAGTGCCATAATTTGAGTCGCCTCATCCCTGAAGTAGGCTGGATGTACTTTGGAGCTGCGGGATACCACCTAGACCATTGCAAGCTAACATCTCAACACTTAAATACTTCAGAGTGTCTTTTTGGTTAATTAGGGCAAACCCTAATAAAGACGCGTGACACCAGCGTTATGTGACTATGTGTGTGCACGCGCATGTCTGTGTGTGCGTGTGTGTTTGCGTGGCATTCACCACCTGTAATCTCTGGTTGAATATTTTTGTTGCTCGTCCACTTCTAGATTTTGGTCTTGTTCCATAACAGACTTGAGTTTTGCGTGAACATCAATTTAAATATCTGGCGTACTTGTATACAGATTGTTGGTTCCTTGTCTCTGATGCAGATGTAATCCTACTTTGAAGGAAATTCCGGGTACGAAACCAACCGGAGCAAATCATATAAACCTTTTTTCAATCAATGAAACAATGCCTATTACTGATTAAAACATTTATATTTTGGGTACCCGACGATTATACAGTAACACGCCCTCCAATGGGTTGTTTTCCCATTTCTCTTTGTCGTTAGATAATTGTTCCCCTCTAGGATTGATTAGCACCTCAAAGATGAGAAGTAGACAGGAGCAAATCCCAGAAAAACCCCGTTGTTTTGACCTAAAACATTTTTGTTCATCATCATAATTCTTCTTCATTTTTTCTTCTTCTTCGTCGCTTTCACCATTTGTACACTCTGGCGGAAAGTTCTAGTTGCTCGTCCACTACTGTTAACAAATGTTAACACTTGGGTGGGTGGGGGGGGGGGGGCTAAAAGGCCCCTCTGCCTGACCCCAACTTGGCGTATTGCTGCAGAGAAGAAACGCTGCTCTTCTTGTCGCTCGTCAACATTGACAGCTGAAGTAAATTAATGTCGCACTTGAAGTCCGAGTATGCTTTACTTTACGCATTGTCGCAGCCGCTCACAAAAACGAACGTGTAGCTCCTCACACGACGCGCAGTATAGAAAGCTCAGAAACATGTTACACTTGTAACATTTGTTAGCGCGTGTGAAAGGTCAACCAATTTTTGTCTGGGCCGAAAAACATTATAGGTTCCGACTTTCATATACTTCAAATAGCAATACAGGATAAGAACAATAAGACCAGGAGTACTTTTCGTTTATTTGCGGTTATTGGCGTAGTAAAGTGCCGTAACTCGCATCCTATTTACTTCCCACTAACATACATGGCGGATAATGGACGACTGTTAACTATTTCTTGGACCTGCTGGAGCGTTTTCTATCTACTCTAACAATGGCTGAAAATATATCAGATGAGAGGCACGAACTTCAGGAAGATGACGAAAAGTTTCAGTCAATTCTACATGAATTTGGTACTGAATTTTGTTTATCCGACGAAGAAGAAGCAGAAGACGATGACCATCTGTTGATAGATCTTGATTATGAGAATGAAACATCAGAGCCAGAGAATGACGGTATTGACGGCGACGCAGTCAGATCATTTAGTAAATGTAAGTCATTAAGAGGTGTTTCAAATTATTTTGGACTATTTTATATTCGTGTCTGCATAATGTGTTTCTGTTTTCCTATGTTTAAAATTAAATTTACGTCTTGTCACCAAACTTAAACTTGCTTTCACTTATACTTATACTTTCAGACTTACTCTAAGCACATAGCACAGGCGTTCATTATTTTATTGCGTGATTTTCAGTTTAAGTTAGCTAGCACGATGATGACTTTATACTCAACTACTGCTCAGTTGTTCATTCATGAGTTATTTTGAGTAACTGTCATGTCCTTAATTTCTCAAATTTAGGCCCTATAAATAAACTTTGGCTATCTTCCGAATAACCGTCCCAAATTATCGAGGCAGAAAATATACCCTAACAGGGTCTCAGTCACATGTCAATTGTGCACTTCCGGCGACTTCCGCCACCACTGAGAGTATCCCCCGCGCCGCTTACGCCGATACGCTCGGCGGTGGCGGTATAGTCCCCGGAAGTTCGCAATTGACACGTGACTGAGGCCATGTTAGGGTATATTTTCTGTCTCGATAATTTGGGATCATTATTCGGAAGATAGCCTAAACTTCTTTCTTTCTCTTTTCTCTACTTCAGGAATATCTCAGGGCAGGAAGGGATCTCTTCTCTTCTGTTTGTTTTACTTTTCAGTTTCTGCCGTCCATAATTTGCAAGTTTGATCTCTGTAAGTAAATATTCATTATCCCCGTGTGGGTTCCGGGGCCCCATTGTGGGGAAAACAAGAATAGACCCACTGCCTCCCCAAAAGCATGTCGTAAGAGTCGACTTATTGGGGAGCTTCCTTTGAAGTCGGAGTGCATCTGCCGGAGAGGCAAGGAACCAACAGTCTGTATTCAAGAGAATGAGATCTGCAAAACTGATGCACACGCAAAACTCAGGTTCTGGAGCAGCACTGCAGTTCAGTAGTGGACGAGCAACCAGAACTTTCCGCCAGAGTGTACAGCTGGTGATTGCGAAGAAGAAGAAGAATATTCATTAAAAAAGTTTAATTCTGGTAGTCAGATCTTCAGTTAGGTAGGCCTGACAGTGACAGAGAAATTTAATGAAACCTTGTTAAAAATATTGAAATTCTTGCGGTCACTTGACATATATGGCTGATTTGATGAATATTTTTTTTTTTGACCATATCATCTGCTGATTGCTAACTGATCCATAACATATGGGGCTAGAACTATATCATACAGTATGATACTATTCCGTATACGACTAACGACCTGGAAACTGGATCTTTAGTTTACTTTTTAATGCAGTGTTTACAAACTGTTTTTAGTTGGTTAATGGTAGCCAACAAGTGTCAAGTTGGTTCTAGAACCAGTAGATTTACTGCCTTTTAATGAGCATGTCATTTGTCATGGCAAGTAACCAGTAATCTGCACACAAATAAGTAAGGCAGATCTGTAAAACAAAAGTACACACACAAGACTCAAGTCTTGGACCAAACACAAAGTCCACAAGTGGACGAACAACCTGGATTTTCCACTTAAGTTTACAGCCGGTGTACACAAAGAAGAAGAAGAGTGTGCAAAGACATTAGAATAATCTGGTTGAGGCCTTACACACCAGGGGGAGTTAATAGTCAGAAAAAGACAGAAAAAAACAAGAGAACAGAGTAATATTAATTTTTTATGTGATAAACAAATATGAGTTTTTCTATTTCTGACAAATTTTCTTATGGTAGGTCTCATTATAAATGACTGTAATTTTATTTTGTAGCTGATTCCATCACTCGGAGCTTTCAGGGCAGCGGCTCACAAAGCCGGAGCAATACAGCTGCAGTAAGTAATATGTTTAATTTATTTTTATTAACTCTTTTCAGTCGCAAAATTGTATATCTGCTGCCTGATCGAAACAATAATGATGATAACGGAAGCATGGGTATACTGCTTCCACAGGGTCCACATACACAGCATAGTGTGGGTGTCTTGTGTTATTGGGTTGATTTAGTTTGCCTGACTTAAAGCAGCAGTTTACAAAATGAAGAATATTTTATGCAATCTTTCTTTGTGAATTGAGACGAGAAAGAGAATTCTTAAAAGCTTTATAAATCCTGTCTTGATATATGGAAGCTAATCATGGACAGTTAGTAAATTAGTGAACAATTATTTGGAAGCTGCAGAGATGGGGTTTTATATACGAATGATGAGAATAACCTGGACAGATAAAAAGAGTAATGAAGATGTCTTGAAAGAAATTGACTGACGAAGAGAACTGATTACACACACACCAAAGAGACACTTTACATTCTTTGATCATGTGATAAGGAGGAGAAAAATGGAGTACATCGTTACAATAGGAAAGTTAGAGGGGAGGAGAGGTAGAGAGAGACAGAGAGAAAGGATGCTGGACAGTTTGACATCATGGTATGGAGGATCATCTGTGTCAGAGTTGATTGAAAGTACACGAGACAGAAGGTTGTGGATAAACAGAGAAGAAGACAGACTTTGAACATGAAGAAGATGTCATCAAGGCTGTTTGTGTTCAGTAGTACTTGCTTCATAATAACCGGTTAAAAACCAAACACAAACATTTCCTGAATTGAATAATTCAAGGTGCTCTTGTGTGGGTTTGGGACCCTGTTTTGGTTTAAGAAGAATAGACCCAGTACCCCCTAACAAGTATGTTGTAAAAAATGACTAATTTGGATACTTTTGGCTAAAATGGCAGATGTTGCAGCCTTGCTGTAAACCACATCAACATCTACCCTTTTAAGGGTGAACACAGAATGATATAAATGCAAGCAGGGCATCATTCCTTCAGAAGTCAGAATATTCTGTGTGACAGATGCCTTTCTGATTAAGTCAGGAAATGAGTTATGGGATGTTAGTTACTTCTCATGGTTGGTTGTAGATTGCTGGGCTCATGATCCATGTAAGATGAATGTTTTATTTTTTAAATACGAAAAATGAGCATTTGGACCTGCACAGTTGGTGGTGTCTGCACTAGCTGTGCAGCTGTAAATCCACAGGCTCAGGTGCATGTAGATGAATTTATTGAATACCAAAGAATCAAATTATACGGTTAGAGTGGAACAAAATCAGCTAGCAGCTAGAGTGTACTGTATGAGAATAGCAGGCTACAATTCAAGAGGTCCACCAAGAAAGAGATGGGTGAATTGGAGTAAAAGAGATACTACAGAAAGGTAGAATAACATTAAAACAAGTATGTAACTTCTAAAACTGATGACCATTTCAGGATGAAGAAAGCGGAGAGGTTGTCCCAAGACCCAGCCTGGAACTCCCATCACAGGTGGATGTTGCTGAATACAGAGCTGATCCTTTGAAGACCTTACACTTGAACAGAGTACTCCAGGGTATTCTGGAGGACCACATCAATGCCATCAAAACTGGTTTGCAGGAAAACAAAGAAAAGCAGGTGAGTAACCTCAGGGGTTTTACTCTGGCTCAGAGCCATGTCTGTTATACGTCCCTCCATGAATTTCTTAGTGCTATGAAAGCTCCTCTTTTCTTTTATATTCATATTTTAATATCTCTATCACCGAGAAGGCGAACCCGGTCAACAAATGCCTGCAGAAGTCAGATGTGTTGGCCGAAAGGAGCAGATATCACAGCCATGCTGTGAATGGGCACTACGCTGTTACATCTTCGGATGAATGCAGAGAAAGAAGAAGATATCTGTATCAGTTCCCCCATCATTCTTTAATATTCTAGCGTCTGTGTAAAGAAAATGAGTGACTTATTTGTTTTGTCTTTGCCATTTATAAAGTGAATTCAAATTTTTACTTTACTTGAAAACTACCATGCATTTAGTTTTACTAGGGATAATAGTAAAGTCATTCCTTCTACTGGCATGCTTCTACCACCTCTACTAAAGTTGTAAAAACCTTACCTGTTTGCATATACCTGCATGTTTGTGCATGAATCACGCACTGCTTGTGTCTGCCACAACCTTGAAACAGTCCCAAATATCTTTAAAAAATCCCTTTAAAATATTGTAGAAAAGTTTGTGAATTCGGCTACTTACCCAGTGGTTGTTTCCACCCTTACATTTTTCACCCACAAGCCTGCTGCTATCTGAAATTTGATCACCTGAATAGTAAAGAATGACATTTTTGTTGGCAGCCCAACAGTATCTTGTTCAACCTCCAAAGACTCCATGATGGTTTTGGAGCCAGTTGGGGGGGGGGGGGGTGGTGAGATATCCCCCAACACACACATGCATGTCATAAAATGTGCCTCATTAGAGATGTTCCCTTTGTAGTCGAAGTACATCTGCTTGAGAGTCAAGGAATCAGTAATCTGCATTCGAATCAGCCAAATCTTTAGGACAGATGTGCACACAAAGCTGAAGATCTGGAATAAGACCAGAGCCTAGAAGTGGACAAACAACCACAAATAGACCAGAGCCTAGAAGTGGACAAACAACCACAAATAGACCAGAGCCTAGAAGTGGACAAACAACCACAAATAGACCAGAGCCTAGAAGCGGACAACCAACCACAAATAGACCAGAGCCTAGACGTGGACAAAGAACCACAAATTTCAACTGGAGTTTGCCACCAGTGAATGCTGAGAAGAACCTCTAAATAAATTATAATTGGGGCACAGTAATGCCTATACCACCCCACTGTAAATGCAGTCTTCTGTGGGTAAGGACAACGATGGGTATGTCAGTTCTAATTTGATTGCAGTTGCATTTAGTTTTCCAAGTTCTTGACTACAATATTTTTTTTGTTGTTGTTGATTGATTGACAGAGCAAGCTAGAAATAGACACTACTACAGATACTACTACAAAAGCAGAGAAGAAAGGCATATATGCTGGAGTATTTAGAGCACCTTTCTTCAGACATGTACATTCTGTGAGTATATGTAGTTGCTTAGGTTGCTTTCTTCCATTTCTGCCCCCCCCCCCCCTTTTTCAGCCTCTAAATTAGTAATGATTGGGGCAAATGCAGTGGCTGTACCCTCCTGTGTAACCTACAGTCTGTCCTGTGCAAATCAATCAGGATTACACAGTTTTAATTATCATTTTGGTTTCTACCTTGAGTCTAATTTTAGTCATTAAACCACCCTTGGAGTAATCAGGTTCCTCTAGGGGGGACAAGCATCAAGGAATATGAGGATGAATGTGATGACCTTGTTTTTAGTTGTACCTCAGTGTCATAAGCCCGACAGAAAGCCTGTTTAAGGATACGTGCAGTACAGAATACCTGAATGAGAAAAGACAAGAACCACATTCATCATCAGTGGGAAACCAGAAATCCAGTGATATGGACTGTCATTTGATATTTTTCAAATGATATATGTATAATTGTTTAACTGCGAGTGTTCGTGATTGGGATTAGTAAAATGGATGTAGAGGGCAAATGTGCATGTATTATTGTAGAAACAGATATATGACAGAGATACACTTGACATAATAGCGGCAGCACCATACTTGGTTTATTGTTCGACAGTGTTATGAAACAGTTCATGCATTTCACATTCGGATTCAGGGTCCCATATTTGGGGAAAAAGAAAAGACCTACTGCCCCCTTAACAAACATGTCGTAAAAGTATACCAATTAGGAGTGTTTCCTCGGAAGTCGGAGTGTGTCTGCCTGAGAGGCGAGGAACTAACAGTCTGCTTACAAGTAAGCCAGACCTGTAAAATGGAATGTGCACACATAACTCGAGTTCTTGAACAAGACTAAAGTCCAGAAACAGAAGAACAACCAGAACTTTCTGCACGAGTTTGCAGCCAGTGAACTCAAAGAAGAATAAGAAGTTTATCCACGTTCTGTGTGTTGTGAGTGGATAAGCAGTGGAATAGTTAGGCAGCATCCATTAATTAAGCCACAAACAAAGTCTGCAATGAATAGAGACACATGATGCTAGTCCAGAGCACTTGAAAACCCATACACGCTTACGCCAGTTAGAATATGGTGATCTGTATGAATATCCACAGATTGTGAACCCAAACCAGATGGAAACTAGAATTATTGCAGTGTCATACGGAAGTTTATTTGAGGCTGATTAACCCACTGACTACCAAGCCCTTTAACCCTTTGTATTTTTGCTCCAAATTGAATGGAGAACACATTTCAAGAAACATTTTTAAAAATTTGGTTTCACATCACCATGTGCTTGTAGATTGGTGCAAAAAATGGCAGCTGGAAATCTTTTATATAACTATATATATTTATATATCTTTTCATAGCTTCACAACCATTCAACATACACTTTATCACATTTTGTATTTTTGCTCCAAATTGAATGGAGATTACATTGCAAGAAACAAAAAATGGGTTTATTTTGTTAGACATCGTCATCACGTGCTATAGATATGGTGAAAAAAGGCAACAGAATAACAGATATCTTTGTCCTCTGAAGACATTGCTCTTTCTCCTCACCACTTACTTTTCCCTGTTCGGTTCTCTGAACTCTTTTAGCTTTTTATTGGTTAGCTTAATGCTCTGCTCCTCTACCAGCTCCTATGTGTCTGCTTCATCAACTTTCAAATCTGTGGTCTTGTTCACAGAGGCAACAACAATGTCAGTTTCACTCTAAAATCTTTCCAGTGCAGTTCCTTGGACACAGTTAGGCTTTATATTTTTTCTACACCACTTGATGTGTCCTGATATTTGCCGTGTAGTAACAACAAACACGGACGCACGCACAGTGCATCGGGATTTAAATCTCAAATCTAGATTCATTTGTAAAGGTCAAAATAGGATATGCAAAAAATTCAAATGTAGAGCGGTTCATAAGTTGAGGTATCACTGTATTTCAGGCAGGATAGTCTGCCAAGAAATTTAATATTTCACTGACTGTTAATCCGTGGCTTTGGCAGCTAGACGCCCGCCTGCGAATCAGAAGGTCGTGGGTTCGCGCCCTGACGAAGCCGGACTTTTCCCCCTTAAAAAATTACCATGACTTTCAGGTTGACCCAGCTTTGAGTGGGTACCAGGTACAGTCCTGGGAAGTAAAGGCGGCCGGTATGATGCTGACCACATCACCCACCAAGTGCCGATTGGTCTATAAACATACAGGTCTAGCCCTATATGCCCAGTACGGCTAAAGGCGTGGAAAATGGACCTCACTTTTACTGACTGTTAGTAAGTGCTTAAAACTGGTAAATGGTATTTACTGTTTATACCAGTCAGCCAGATTGATTGATTGTTACTGACAGTAAATGACTGTTTTCCACTACAGTATCCACCACCTAATGAAGACATGATACTGAAAAAAGCCTCTGGTGACTATGACATTGTGACTCCCGACTCGGTGAGAGATCTTCGCCGCTGTAAGTATATTTTATAGTAGGTCTTTATCATCATCATGCGGTGTGCCGATAAGTGTAGGCTGTCATATTTCGCTGTGTCACATTATTACCAGGATCACAGATTAAGTCAGTGTTCTTGTCTAGCTCCTTTTCATTAGTCTAAGCCAGGTGTTTTGTATTTCCCTGGCTCTCTTTCCAGCAGTCTGACCAAGTTCTTGAGTCCTCGCGTAATGTGCTGAAAACACTGCACCTAATTTAAAAAAAAAAAAAATCATTTTGCGACTTTCATATGTCCTTTCCCCTTCCACCTCATGTGGTTTTCTGGGCCCTGTTATTTTGGAGGTTGGCGGGAAACATAAGAATAGACCCACTACCTCCATAACAAGCATGTTGTAAGAGTTGACTAACTAGGGGTTTTCTTCTAAATTTATTGCAACTGCTCAATAGGCAAGGAACCAAAAGTCTGCCTACAAATAAACCACATTTGTAAAACAGATGTGCACACACAACTCAGGTTCTGGAAGAAAGTCCAGATGTAGACGAACAACCAGAACTTTCCACTGGAGTTCACAACCAGTGAACGCAAAAAAGATCTGTCTCTAGGAGGTATAGTCACATAGCCAGTCAGTTAATCAACCACTGGTCATTTTCATTGTGAAACTTAACTCAATTGATCATCAACAATAACATCTGCCTCTTGCTTATGAACAATGTTGTTCGTCCATATTTCAGTATGATATTCCTGTTTGTGGTGTTGCTGATTTCTCACACAGTAAATCTGTCATATATTAATTAGTGCCTGCCTGCACAAGATAGAGGGGATTAAATGGTATGATAGAATCACTAATGTAAACATTTGATGGAGAACTAAACACCCCAGTGTGGATTCCGGGGCCCCATTGTAGGGGAAAACAAGAATAGACCCACTGCCTCCCCAAAAGCAGGTAAGGTTCGACTAATTGGGGAGCTTCCTTTTAAGTCGGAGTGCATCTGCCGGAGAGGCAAGGAACCAACAGTCTGTATTCAAGAGAATGAGATCTGTAAAACTGATGCACACGCAACACTCAGGTTCTGGAGCAGGACTGCAGTTCAGTAGTGGATGAACAACCAGAACTTTCCGCCAGAGTTTACAGCTGGTGAACACGAAGAAGAAGAAGAAAAACTAAACAAACTAGTGAATCAGGAGGTGAGAAAAAGATTCTGCCGTTGAATAGAACACATTGAGAATATCTTTATATAATAAAACTAGAATGTCTTTGCACTGGAACCAAGAGAGTCAAAGGAATAAAGGCAGAAAAAAACAACAGAAAAAACCCAGATTTGTAAAATGGATGTTCATGCACAACTCAAGCTCTGGAACGGGACTAGTATCCAGAAGTAGAAAAACAACCAGAATGTTCTGCATGAGTTCACAGCCGGTGAATGTGAAGAAGAAAAAATACAAGCACTGACCAGATCATGCCAAGCTCTGTGTAGACTTGTTCATTTTTGTTTGGATTTCATAGGTACAGTTGTCTACGATTTGAGGTAGCTATTCTCACACCAACCCTCTTTAGAGAGTCATCTCTTATGACATGCATGGTATGCTGCAGTGTTCTATTCTTTTTTTGTTGTCTCCCTTGCGGAGGCTGTAATACATGGGCAGATCCTGGGAGTATCTGCCAGATATTTCTCTGGTAAAGAAATCAAATGGTTTGGTCATCTATTCAGAATGGAACAAAGTCAGCCACCAGCTAGAGTATACTTCATGAGAACAGCAGGCTACAAAGGCAAGAGGCCCACCAAGAAAGAGATGGGTGAATGAAGTAAAGAGACGCTACAGAAACGCAGTATGACAACTCAAGCTACTTAGCTAGCAAAAGACAGGAAACTACATCTAACTGCTCTCTGTGACGCTTCACGGCGTATTCAGTAGGGCAAAAGAAGCAGAGGAAAGAATTGTGAAAAGGAACTGACTACTCTAATACTTGATGCTGTAAGCTGATTTTGCATGAAAAAGGGTCAATTTAACCCCAAAGGTAACTTTTAACATAAAACTTCACATCAAACACTGCAGCAGATGGTTTAGAAAAAGACCATTCTTATGGCTTTCCAACAGAGTAAATGAGTCACACTGTAAAAGAGGTTGAGGCCTCACCACACAATGTTTCCATTGACAGCAGTGGTTGGCCATTACCATTGACTGCAGTGATTGGCCATACATATTGACTGCAGTGATTGGCCATACCTATTGACTGCAGTGATTGGCCATACCTATTGACAGCAGTGATTGGCCATATCCATTGAAACTTTGGCCATACCCATTGACTGCAGTGATTGGCCATACATATTGACTGCAGTGATTGGCCATACCTTTTGACTGCAGTGATTGGCCATACCTATTGACTGCAGTGGTTGGCCATACCTATTGACTGCAGTGATTGACCATACCTATTGACAGCAGTGATTGGCCATATCCATTGACAACTTTGGCCATACCCATTGACAGCAGTGATTGGCCATACCTATTGACAGCAGTGATTGGCCATACCTATTGACTGCAGTGGTTGGCCATACCTATTGACTGCAGTGGTTGGCCATACCTATTGACTGCAGTGATTGGCCATACCAATTGACAGCAGTGATTGGCCATATCCATTGACGGCAGTGATTGGCCATATACATTGGCAGCAGTGATTGGCTATACCCAATGCAACCAAATTCTGATGTGGAGATGGTGCACATTTTCAAACATAGGATTCTTGTTACTTTCTTCATGTGTGTTCCTGGCCCTTGTTTGGAGGGGGAGGGGGGAATGGACACACTGCCTCCCTATTAAAGATGTCATTGAAGGCAACAAGTTAGGGATTTTTCTTCTAAAGTTGAAGGGTATCTCTGTGAGAGGCCAGGAACCAACAGTCTTGACAGTCTGCATACAAATTAGCAGATCTATAAAATGTATGGACATGCAAAATTCAAGATTGAGAACAAGTCCCGAAATGGACGGACTACCATTTTACTTTCTGCTGAAGTTTACAGCCGGTGAATTTAAAGAAGAAGAAGACTTGTTACTTGTATTCAACAACATGCATTTTGTTTAAATCTTCCCTTGCTTCTTTCAGTCAATAAATCAGCAAAACTGTTGCTCAAAGACGCAGTATATGAGGATTGTTTGAAACAGGCTTTGAAACCACTTGTCGCAAGGTAAGTTTTTACATCCCACAGTATAATTATAATGGGAAGCTACTGTGATGCAATAGCTAGATGCTTGCCTGCCAACCCAAAAATATTGTGTTCAAACACTGGTGTTTCTCTTGGCCAAAAGTTTTGCCTTTATATGTTGATATTTTGAACATGGTCTTCAATTCTAATGTTATTTCAATTCTAACAATGCCAGAGAAAGTTGAACTACCAAAGATATGGAACAAAAGTTAAATGTGTTTGAAAACAAATGTCATGACAAAAATCTTCAACATAAAATGGGATGAATTAAAAGAAGAAAGTGAGGCAGTCAGAGAAATGTCTGGACAAATACATGTGTGGACGGCATTAAGACAAAGAAAGTGGAGATATATTGGACACACTCTGAGACAAAATGAACAAGAAATTACAAAGGAAGCACTAAAAGGGGAAACAAATGATCTGAGAAAAAGAGGACATCCAAGGAAAACATCCTGTATTGGGTTTATTCATCTTCTTTGGCTTCTTGTATGCAATTCTTGTTTGCCCCAATCCTTTCAACTTTCTGTTTGTGCAGTCCGGTCATTATTGCAGATTTACAGTCCTCACTCGATTCACACAGATGTAATCCTGACTTCTTGACAGTTTTAATAAACATTTGTCTTCAACAGAATGGAGATTGAGATTCAGAAACGTGATAAGTTGGTAGATGAATATGAAATCATGTCCTCTAAACTGGAGACTGAAAAAAGCCACCTGAATCAGTTTCTGAAAAGTGATGACAGAAAGGACTGCGAGGAAATGGTCGACGAAGTTCAAAATACAATACAAGAACTGAAGAACAAACTAGCAGAGAAAAGGTATGAATGTAATATCTGTTGTGAGTAATGTTTGTTGATTAAACACAAGTTTATCTACTGTCTGTAAAATATATCCCTATCTTATCTACTGTCTGTAAACTATATCTCCTGTATAAGGCCTTTTAACTACAGACACAGTTTTCTACCCTGATTATCCTTGATCGGGGCTATTCAACTAAATTTATCCAAGGGCCAACATTTTGAAAATGAGAATCATCATGGGCGAGATATCCAAGTTGTTTTTCATGTGGAATGCCTTTCATTTGTGCACTGGTTGTCTCGTGATAATCAGTGTGGCCAGTTTACATGCCAGATGATGAAATACCTTATGTAATAATTCTTGAGTTGCGTTGAGTTACCTTATGTAATAATTCTTGAGTTGAGTTGAGTCAAGAATCGGCATCACAGCACTTGGGGCATTTCCATGTGTACTCTGTCCTCATCTTCAGCAGCCAGCGCAGAGTTCCAAAACTGATGGTACCGATCACAATCTGGTATGTAATAATTCTATGTGTGTATAGCCAGCTTATCGTGCCCGACTACTTCCGTGAAGGACAAACTGCATTTCTGGTGGCAACTGTTGGCTTTGGCCCCCTTAGCAACTGCCATATGCATTTACTGCATGTACATTTTTCTGGATTTTTCCTGGACTAATTGTTTGTTCACCATTTTTTAAATGAGACAGTGAGGGATGTTTCATTTGATTTGCACTGGCACAGGAATAGAGCAAGTATGGGGAAACCCGACTAGTGAAGCCGAAACCTTGACTGAGACCATTCATTTCTCTTGTTTGGCACTTCTTGTCTTGTTTAGTATTTTCTCTTTACTCGTCTGATACTTTCAGGCATAAGATGTGCAACAGGAAAGGTCTTGTAAGTAAAGGTGGCCAGCCACTTGATAATGATGTTTGAATGGTTATTTGTTATCTAATTTTCTTCTTCACATTCACCTGCATTAAACTTTGGCAGAAAGTTCTGGTTGTTCATCCACTTCAGGACTTTAGTCTTTTCCCAGAACTTGAGAGCTTTACGTGCACTTTGTTTTACAGAAGTGCCTAATTTGTATGCAGTCTGTTGGTTCCATGCCGCATAGGCAGACGTACTTCAAATTTGAGGGAAACATCCCTAATTGGTCGACGTTTGTAACATGCTTGTTAAGGGCAACAGCTGGTTAATTTCTCCCCCCCCCCCCTCCCCCAACGGGGTCTCGGAACTGATGTGTGGGAAATTTCTGATATAATAATTGAGCGCATCTCATGTTTGGCAAACTGATTTTGTGAAATGTTTCTGTTATTCTTTGCAGTAAAGCCATTAAAACACACAAAGATGAAATTGCAAGGCTTGAGAATCAGATACAGGCTAAAAGGTATCATTTGTTTAAAACATCTTAATGGTGTAGGTAAAAATAAAATGTCTCAACTGTGTGGATAAAAGTGACATGACTGTATGGGTTTATGTCATTTGGGTGTCAAGTGTCTTGACTGTATGGGTAAAAGTGTTTTGACTATGGGTTCATCCTGACTATGGGTTGAAATGTCTTGACTGTGTGGATTAAAATGCCATAACTGTATGGGTTAAAATTTATCCATCATGTGAGTTACAATAGCATGGTCATTTGGGTTACAATTTCCTGACTGCATTGAAATGTCTTGACCCTGTGGGTTAAAATGTCTTGACTGTCTGGGTTGAAACACCTTGACTGTCTGGGTTGAAACATCTTGACTGTGTGGGTTAAAATGTTTGACTGAGTGGGTTGAAATGCCTTGACTGTGGGTTGACATGTCTTGACTGTAAGGGTTGAAATGCCTTGACTGTGGGTTGACATGTCTGGACCCTGTGGGTTGAAATGTCTTGACTGTGTGGGTTGAAATGTCTTGACTGTGTGGGTTGCAATATCTTGACTATGGGTTGCAATATCTTGACTATGGGTTGCAATATCTTGACTATGGGTTGCAATATCTTGACTATGGGCTGAAATGTTTTGACTGTGTGGGTTGAAATATCTTGACTATGGGCTGAAATGTTTTGACTGTGTGGGTTGAAATGTTTGACTGATTGGGTTGAAATGTCTTGACTGATTGGGTTGAAATATCTTGACTGTGTGGGTTGAAATGTCTTGACTATGTGGGTTGAAATGTCTTGACTGTGTGGGTTGAAATGTCTTGACTGTGGGTTGAAATGTCTTGACTGTAAGGGTTGAAATGTCTTGACTGATTGGGTTGAAATGTCTTGACTGTAAGGGTTGAAATGTCTTGACTGTAAGGGTTGAAATGTCTTGACTGTGTGGGTTGAAATGTCTTGACTGTGTGGGTTGAAATGTCTTGACTGTGTGGGTTGAAATGTCTTGACTGTGTGGGTTGAAATGTCTTGACTGTAGGGGTTGAAATGTCTTGACTGTGGGTTGAAATGTCTTGACTGTGTGGGTTGAAATGTCTTGACTGTGTGGGTTGAAATGTTTGACTGTGTGGGTTGAAATGTCTTGACTGTAGGGGTTGAAATGTCTTGACTGTGGGTTGAAATGTCTTGACTGTGTGGGTTGAAATGTTTGACTGTGTGGGTTGAAATGTCTTGACTGTGTGGGTTGAAATGTCTTGACTGTGTGGGTTGAAATGTCTTGACTGTAGGGGTTGAAATGTCTTGACTGTGGGTTGAAATGTCTTGACTGTGTGGGTTGAAATGTCTTGACTGTGTGGGTTGAAATGTCTTGACTGAGTGGGTTGAAATGTCTTGACTGTAAGGGTTGAAATGTCTTGACTGTGGGTTGAAATGTCTTGACTGTGTGGGTTGAAATGTCTTGACTGTTTGGGTTGAAATGTCTTGACTGTAAGGGTTGAAATGTCTTGACTGTGGGTTGAAATGTCTTGACTGTGTGGGTTAAAATGTCTTGACTGTGTGGGTTGAAATGTCTTGACTGTGGGTTGAAATGTCTTGACTGTGGGTTGAAATGTCTTGACTGTGTGGGTTGAAATGTCTTGACTGTGTGGGTTGAAATGTCTTGACTGTGTGGGTTGAAATGTCTTGACTGTGTGGGTTGAAATGTCTTGACTGTGTGGGTTGAAATGTCTTGACTGTAGGGGTTGAAATGTCTTGACTGTGGGTTGAAATGTCTTGACTGTGTGGGTTGAAATGTCTTGACTGTGGGTTGAAATGTCTTGACTGTGGGTTGAAATGTCTTGACTGCATAGGTTGAAATCTGCTGTTTACTAAGACAGTTGCAAGTTAACTGCTAAGTACTTAATGTGCCACTGTGATCACGTTGGCTCTAGTTTTGTATCTTGATTGTTCTCTTCATCATTCTCTGTTCTAATGGGACTGTTGTGACTTTTTTTCCAGAAACACACCAGAAGATGAGATCCTGGCAACAGTTGACCCAGAAAAGGTGGACTGGATGAAGATATCCAAAGCACATGTACGTTGAAGAGTAACTTCATTGAAGCAGATAGATTTACTAGTAACAGTGTATGAGAGTCATAACATTTAAGTATCTCTAGTTAGTTAATGTCTTGTTCAAAACTTAGGCGAGTGTAAAGGTAAAGTCAAGAGATGTGAACCAGCGTTACTGCACACGGTTAAAAACCATAAGTGCTCTGCGGACAGCTGATAAGAAACTGTTACCCTATAGTGTTAACTCTGGTACCCTCTTACCTAGAGGCTGGGTAAACCCCGGGAACCACCCGCTTTTGAACGCCGGCCATGGGCTGCAGTGAGTCGCAGCTGGATTTAAAAGCAAGTCTCCTATCGACTGCGCTAACGCGACCCCCCCCCCCCCCCCCCCCCAAGGCAAGGCAAGTGTAAAACAGACCGTAATCAGCCAGGGTTGGAATTGGAGCTGAATCAGCTAACACCTAAAGCTCATGAGGACGTTAAAACAGCAAACTCCGTGCAAAGTTCAGAAAGCATTAAACCCGTGCCCAGCCACTCTTTTAAGGGTGAACAAAAAAGAAGAGAATCCCTGCTCATCATCATCATTATGTGCCCTGCCAATTGGCGTAAGCGCTCATGCATCTCTACAGATCACGATCCCTGGTTGCCTGGAACAGCTCTCTTGATGATATTCCTCCATGCCATTGCTTCAGCCCTTCCAGCATCATCTCATCTCTTTCCACTGATCTTTCTAGTTGTCACAATGTTTTCCAATGCCTCTCTTCTCATTACGTGGCCAAAGAACAGTGTTTGTCTTTTTCTTATTTTTCTATTTAGAGATATACTTTCATTAGCTTCTTTCAAGGAGTAGATTAATTGGCTCTACTGGCAAATTTGGCCGGTAAGCTGGACTGCTTCGGCCGGCTTAGTGGGGCTTCGTGGGAGTTACGTCCCTTGGCCAAACTCGAAACAACTCAAAACAAGTGGCGGAAAAAGTCACGAAACAAATGACATACTTACCTATCATCATCCGGGTGCGTGTAGGGTTGCCTAGGGTGTCTATCATCGTCCTACGGTTGCGTGTAGGGCTGCTTATTGCGTGTAGGGGGTTAGGGGTTAGGGTTTAGGGTTTAGGGGTCTGGTTCGATGTGGAAATTTTCACGTAACAGGTCGAAATAGTGGCCGACAATCTGACGTTTGTGGGAGTGGCGCCACTGAAACTCTGTCAAATATGACGACGGCAATAGCGGGCGGCTGGTGCCCAGTCGCTGGCGAATTGACCGTTTCACCAACATCCACAGACCCTCGATTGTTTGTGTGTGTATGTGACTGTGCGCGACGTCGACGAAGTTGGTCTGGTGGACTACTACCTCGTGCAGATAGATGCCATGCCTTAAGTTTGCGACGTTGCTGTAGCCTCGCGAAGCGTCAGTGACGATGGTCGTTCCCGGCAGTACGTGATCTTTTATAATCCTCTCCAATGTCGCCGCATCTCGTTTTCGCACAAGCTCCAAGTAGCAACGGCCAGTCTCACACTCTACTAGCCCGACGATCCAACGACCGTAACGGATGCGACCGCGCTGATACTTTCGTCGGAAGAAGTAGCTCTCTGTCTAACTGCCATTTTGCTGTTGTGATTTGATTCGTGACGACTTTTTCCGCGACTTGTTTTTAGTTTGGCAAAGGGACATAACTCCCACGAAGCCCCACTAAGCCGGCCGAAGCAGTCTAGCTTACCGGCCAAATTTGCCAGTAGAGTCGATTAATTGATTGATTGAGATTTTCCTTTACAGTCTGAGTGCATCTGCCTGAGAGGCAGGAAACCAATAGTCTGCATACAAATAAGCCAGATCTTTCACATGGATGTGCATGGAGAACTCAGGTACTGGGATGAGACTCAAGTCCAGAAGTGGATGAACAACCAGAATCTCCCCGGAGAAATATCCGACACATTTCTTTGGCATTATAAGAGGCTTTTGTGAATTGGCTTTCAGTGTCTTCCTTTCTCCCTCTTTTGTAGTTTATTTCAGTTTTTTATCTTCTTGTGATGTGTTCTTTTAATCTTAAAGGAACTGTTCAAAAGCTGTGTTTAAATATATGTATAGATGCCTTATGCAGTTTCTGACTATCCACAGTTTACTGGCCACAGCACATGGCTGGACTGTCAGAAGGCTTGGGAGAACTTGGTCTCTCCAACAATCAACACAGGACCTTGGACACAAGAAGAGGAGACAAAACTCTTAGATTTGATTAAAAAGTCTGCCACCAATGACTGGAAACAGATAGCGAAAGATCTTGGGGTGAGGTATTCTCTGCAGTATATTTTTGTCTGTTTTTGAGTGTTTGGGGAGATTGTTATGTTTAAATTCATGTTTGTGTCATTGACAGATTTGTCAGATAATTTTGATATCAGAATTTTCTGGTCTTGTAAATGTTATTACTAATCTCAAAATTTGTTTCTTCTCCGGAGAAGGTGTCTCCACACCCCCCCCCCCCCCCCATCTTCTCTTTGCATCAAAACAGCCTGTTTAAAGTCAAAAGGACTAAAAATTGAAAATGGTGCATTTTACGTTTCCTGGCCTAGGATGAGAGTGGCTTCCCTTACCATTCATAAATCGCTGTGTACAATGTTGCTGGGGTGTCGTGCTTAGTGTCCAGCTGCCAGCTTGTAACATTTTACTAGTTGTCACTGGCCAGTGATATCGCATGTTGTATATTCCAGGATGTGAGCGCTTTTAACGGTTGCAGAACTGGCCCTAACCCCTACCCCCCAGCGTCCGGCGAGAGAGCGCAGCCAATGTCTCACAAGAGAGTCCAGCCTGCATCTGGCGACTGCATGCAGCCTAGGTCGCATGACTGTATGCAACGTATATTATAGGCCACATGTAGTTGACGGACAAAAGCTGCATTTCTCGTGGGACGTAGGCTGCATTCTCTCATGGGATGTTTGGGGTTGAGGCCAGTTCTGCATGTTTTGAGACCGTATTGCTGGCCAGGAAGAAAGTGCAACACAGGGGCATCATAGGACAAGCCCTGTGACACAGAGATTTTTGAATGGTAAGGGAAGTCACTCTCACCCTGGGCCGAGAAACGTAAAATGGCCTTGAAAATATTCTGTAAAAAAAAAATAAAACGCATAGTTATCCGATGATGTGTTTTTATTAGTTGACGGGAAAGCGCGTTCCCCTATGTTTTTTTTAGTTATTTGTATTTTCTCATCTGAATATGTACGAAACAGTTAAATAAAATTGTTTATTTATAAATGTTCTGTTGTTATTTTCTTCTTTATTTAGATTGAGCATCCAACATTTCATTGTTTATATGTGTTTATTTAAAAAAAAAAATATTATGTAGATGTCTTTTCTCATGTTGAAATAGGTAAATTCAATTGTTTTTTAAATAGATTTTCTGTTATTTTCTTCTTGATTTAGACTGGGCGCACAGCATTTCAATGTTTCAGTCACTATCAACAAAAGTTTAACTCTGCCCTGAAGCCAAGGTAATTTTGTTTTTCAGTACTGAAGTATACAATGTATCACACATTTCATTGCCTAGCATGTTTTTTGCTGTATCTGGTCAGGTGCATTACTAATTTACATCAACATATAATGAAGTATAAAATATGTATACTTTCCATTGAAATACTCGGATCACATTGTTTCTTGTTCGATTACCTTTCACTAATGGAAGTCCAAGATTAACCAGGTGATTGCAACTCAGTAATGCATCTGATGAGATGCAGCAAAATATACCACACATTTGTTTCTTTTACTGCATATTGTATCATTACATATAATTTGTTTCCTGATTGTTAGTCAGCTAAGTTTACTCGGGGGCCAAAATGTTAAAAATGGGGATCGTCGCGGACCAGCGGCCCGAGCCCCAGCATAAATAGTTCATCAATACAATGCAACTGGCAATGATTCACGTGCCACTTGCTAGGTCTCCGTGGGCCGCCAGTTGAATAGCCCTGGTTTACACTGTGAAAAGGCCCGTCTCTCTAGCGTAGTTGGCTAAACCGGATTGCGCGGTGAGCGGGTGACGAACTCCTTGTGGTCCGGGTTCACTCCCGGGGGTGGGCAGAAAAGCCACATTTCTCCCAGATTTACAGTATTTAAAATGGAATCAAGGCCGAAAGGTTGCGATATCCATAATACTGAGCCTAGGGTTAACAACTCATGGCTTCTGGATACTAAAACAAACACTGTTAAAAGCAATAGCAAATGTAATATATACTTTTAAAACCATAATTTGATAACAAATGCTGAGGTTGGTTTGTAATAAATGTTATAACTTTATGATTATTATATTATACACATTTTGTCAATTTAAAAAAAAATACCCAGTTTAGGCTGTTTCATCCCAAATGGCTCAGTCTCTGCCTGCAGAACAGCTAGCTGCCTGCTGAGAGCATTGCACGGACCATGACCTTCGTAGCTCCGGCGATGATCTCTAGGGGTCTCTGTTAAAATTACATTTGTAAACTAAATAAGCATGTAATAAACAGTGAATAATTTGGCACTTGCTGAAATCAGTTATGTTGGTCAGATTTGACAGCTCAGCTGTAAACCGCAAAATGGCATGCCATCAACCTTTTTTAAAGGTGTGCTCCGTCCTCATCTTCAGCAGCCAGCGCAGAGTTTTAATACTAATGGTACCGGTCACAATCTGGTTATATGTTCATCTTGCCTTTCCTCTGAGTGTAGTGAGCCGGCCAGACCCTCTGGTTACACCCAAGTAGGTGCTTCATTCTCTCCAGGCCATAATAATCTTGTTTCTCTACTGATTCCGTTGCTTGTTCCTAAAGGGCCTTGATCACATATGCCTTGTCATGTATCCATTCACCACCAAGTGGTGCAGATCCAGCCTCTGTCAGTCTGTTCATTACCCACTACGCCGGCATGGCCTGGAGAAAAGATCCAAAGTATGCTCACTTCCCGTGACCTTACCAGTGAAGCTTGAATGAAGGGATGATCTTCATGTAGGAGAATTATAAAGTGATTTTAAATAATTCGGAAATCAGTTGCATGTACTTTACCAGTATCAACCCCAACATTGTTTTAGCTGTTTGCAATTTCACCAGGCAGTGTTACATTCAGTAGTTCCCTATCGTCCTCAAAGCAGTCAGCTCTAGACACCACTGTCAAAACTAGTGCAAGGCGGTCTGCTGCCACATTGCTTGCAGCCAGGATTGAACCCGGCACCCTCCAATTATGATAAGCAGTTGCAACAGCTGAGCCACAGATGCTTTCTAATTATGAAGGAAAAAACATTCTCTGGGCGACAGAGTTAAGGCAAATGTAGAAAAGGAAGAATGTTTAGAGAATTTGAAAGTGTTTTGTTCCGGATTGTTTGCATAAATGATGGTTTTATTTCATTGATTTTTGTTTGTTTTAATTTTAGGCCATGGACACAAGAAGAAGATGATACATTGGTGAGAGTTACAAACAACGTCAAGGATAGTGTTGGGTTCTTCAACTGGGCCAAAGGTCAGTAGTCTTCCATTTATCAAATTTGTATCATTATTTTCCTCTAGGCGGCTACTGTGACTATATGGTCACCATCGTCATCATTTAGCAGGTCTGTTGCAGAATGTTGCTTTCATTATGACATGTTGGAATGAATTTGATCTTCTGCAGCTCTCTGATGCATTTACGACCCAAGTCTTTTAATATTCCTTGTCAACCTTTTTTGCTGGTCAACTTTCCTCAGATTCCATCAATCTCTCTTGAGCCACCAATGTTTAATTAACTGATTAAGGGTGTTTCCTTTGAGTGTATCTGCATGAGAGTTCAGGAACTAACAGTTTGCATACAAATAAGCCAGACCTGTGAAACAGATGTGCACACAAAACTCAGGTTCTGATCAAAATCCAGGAGTGGACAAACAACCAGAACTTACCCTGGAGTTTACGGCCGGTGAACGCTAAGAAGAAGAAGGAAATGGTGCCTGGAAAAAAAAACTATAAAAAAGCTGATAAAACAATCATACAAGCCACCCGAGAAGCTCAACAGACATACTGAAAACCATGATGCTGTGCTTCTACCTCTGCCTTTTATCCCCCCTCCCCTCCCCATGGAGCATAGGCTTTCAACCAAGTCGTCCTATCCTTTGCTATTGCATGCAGTTCACCTTATGTCCTCCCTTTGTTTTTAAGTCTACTCACTAACTCCCTACTGCATGTGTTTTGTGGGTTCCAGTCCAAAGGCTAGTTACACTGTTCTCATGTTTTAATTTTCAAATATTTTCTTAGGGATTCAAAGTTGTAATCACTGCCCCAGTCGGCATATGTGCGAGTAGCTGCACCACTCAGTTATATCCATGCCACATCAATCTCTAGACTACCACTGCTATATCCATCAGTCTCTAGAATACTGTCACTGTTATATCCATGCCACATCAGTCTTGAGAGTACTGCCACTGGTATATCCATGCCACACCAGTCTCTAGAGTACTACTACTGTTATATCCATGCCACACCAGTCTCTAGAGTACTGCCACTGTTATATCCATGCCACATCAGTCTCTAGAGTACTGTCACTGTTATATCCATGCCACACCAATCTCTAGAGTACTGTCACTGTTATATCCATGCCACATCAGTCTCTAGAGTACTGTCACTGTTATATCCATACCACACCAGTCTCTAGAGTACTGCCACTGTTATATCCATACCACATCAGTCTCTAGAGTACTGCCACTGCTATATCCATACCACATCAGTCTCTAGAGTATTGCCACTGTTATATCCATACCACATCAGTCTCTATAGTACTGCCACTGTTATATCCATACCACATCAGTCTCTAGAGTACTGCCACTGTTATATCCATGCCACATCAGTCTCTAGAGTACTGCCACTGTTATATCCATGCCACACCAGTCTCTAGAGTACTGCCACTGTTATATCCATGCCACACCAGTTTCTAGAGTACTGCCACTGCTATATCCATGCCACACCAGTCTCTAGAATACTGTCACTTTTATATCCATGCCACACCAGTCTCTAAAGTACTGCCACTGCTATATCCATGCCACATCAGTCTCTAGAGTACTGCCACTGCTATATTCATGCCATATCAGTCTCTAGAGTACTGCCACTGCTATATCCATGCCACATCAGTCTCTAGAGTACTGTCACTGTTATATCCATGCCACATCAGTCTCTAGAGTACTACCACTGTTATATCCATGCCACATCAGTCTCTAGAGTACTGCCACTGCTATATTCATACCACATCAGTCTCTAGAGTACTGCCACTGTTATATCCATGCCACATCAGTCTCTAAGAGTACTGCCATTGCTATATCCATGCCACACCAGTCTAGAGTACTGTCACTGCAGGAGAGAGACTGAGCCGTTTGGGATAAAACCCGATGCAATGAAGTAGATCCTCTCGACTTTAACCTTGACCTTTATACTTATTTATAATTGTGTTATAATTTTCATTTCCTTGTATTCCTGCATTCTGAATACATAAACCGTTACTGTTTCTATCTAGTATCAACACTTGTGGATTCAAGGAGCCCTCTTGAATGCATGTATAGATTCACCAAGGTCGACCCCTGTCAAGCCCGAGGCCGGTTTACACAGTTAGAAGACGCAGTGAGTATAGAATAGTATTTATTTCACAATTATTTTTGTAATCCATTTTCTTATGAATTCTTAATGGCAGTAAACTCTTTTGTCAGCATCTGTGTCTAGGCATTGTGAGTGCACTTCACAACTTCGAAAGACCTGGTTCGATTCAGCTTCAGACATTTCTGCAGCAGACAGCAGACCTACACTGGTAGGTGTAGACAGGGGGTCAGCAGCCTGAGGATTTAGGGCCCTATGGTTAGTGCTGTCGCCATGAACTGTGCAGGTTAGGATGTTTACTTTTGCCTCCGCAGAAAAACTCCCATCATCTTACGGGGGGGGGGGGGGGGGGGGGCGTCGAACTCGTGTCTCCAGCATGAGAGCCTGACGCTTTAACCGCTTCTCTTTTTATCAGCAGAGAATACTGGTCGTTCATGCTCATTCATGTTCCTCCTGATATTTAATTCAAGGTTCCCGATTGGGGGGGGGGGGGGGGAGAGAAGTGTGACTCACTGCACCCCTAACCAGCTTGTTGTGAGAGGTGACCAATTATGGGTGATTCCTTCGAGGTCAATGTGCATCTGCCTGAGAGGTGAGGAACCAACAGTCTGCATACTGATAATCCAGATCTGTAAAACAAATGTGCACCAAAAAACTGAATTTATAGAACAAGACCAGAAGTGGACGAACAGCCAGAACTTTCCACCTGACTTTTGCAGCAGCAACAGGAGAAAATTCATTAGCAGGGGTCATTCAATAAATCCCCATTGCGCCCAGAGCAACATAAGGCAAACTGTCACCACTCTGTTGAATTCTGAGCTACCTCTTCTTCTCCAGTTTTGTCTTTCACCTACCTAGCATTGAGTTCAGCCTCAAAGGTTTGCCTGCAAGTCTCTCTGGGCCTGTCTCTTCCTCGATGTCTTTGTGGTGTCCATTGCATTGCTTGTCTTGGCTGTCTCTCTTTCTTCAGTCTGAGGTCGTGTCCATCCACCCCCATCTTCCTTTTTTTAAATTTTTTATTTCTAAATATACACCTTCTAAGTCTATCATTTGTTGTTATCTAGAATTGCTAATTTTATTTTCGCATGTGAACGAACAAACTTTATTTTTAAAGAGTTACAAATTGGGTACACAGGCCCTTCTTACATTTGGCTCTTCCAAACACCGTCTTTCACACTGCAGCTGTATTTTATCAATAAGCATGTAATATTTATATGATAATATGCATATTATGAATATAAAAAAAGAGAGAAAAAAACACACAAAAGCATGGGTGGTAAAATGCATGCACACACACACACACACATACACTCACACACCCACAAACCTTAACACACACATAAGCACACCCCATTCACCCACATACAAAGCTACATATCCACACATACAAACATACAGATATAAACACAGAGACACACACATAGAAACAAATGCAGACACATACACACAAACAGACATACGCGCACATACCCAATCACACACAGATACACACACACAGACACACACATGCGACACTCACACACAAACCAGCACACACACACGCAGACACACACAGACACATAATCACATACACATGCAGACCCAAACACACACAGATATACTCAGAGACACACAAACACACACACAATCGCAGACACACACACGCGCTGATGCTCACGCAGACACATACGCAGACATACATATACACAGTCACACACGCAGATACAAATACACACATGTTGACACATCCAGAGACACTACACACAGAGATACACACAGAGACATACACAGATATATACATACATAGACACGCATATACACAGGCAATTATCCACACACACATGCACATCAGGTACATACAAAGACACACCCACAAACACAACAAAGACACATACATACAAACACATGCATGCAAACATACAGCTACATACTCGTGGAACACACATACAAGCAAACACACGCACAGACACATGTAGACACAGATACACATACAGACACATACACACAGTCCTACACGCGCAAACACATGCATACACACAAAGCAGGGTTAACAGAGTTCAAATGGTTATTGATGAAGGTGTGTCATAGACAAATTGGAAACACAAGCTAGGTTTTTGTTTTGTCAAATGAAATATTATAATGTCAGTATATATTGTTCTACCTCTCTTGACTTGATGTTTTTTCTTACAGAAACTTTTGGCAGCAGTAGAAATGATTGGACCAAGCTGGTCAAAAGTAGCTAAGTTCATTGGTACACGTAATATGGTGCAGTGTAGAGATAGGTGAGTTGATCATAACGTGGTCAGTTATTATAATGACCCCGTTTGGGTTAGGGGCCCAATTGTAGGAAGGAAAAAAAGAAATAGACTTACTGCCTCCCTAACGAACAAGTCTGTCATAAGAGTCGACTAATTAGGGGATTTCTTTGAAGTCAGAGTGCATGTGCCTGAGAGGCAAGGAACCAGCAGCCTGCGTACAAATAAGCCAGATCTGTCAAATGGATGTGCACACACAACTCAAGTTTTGGAATAAGACTAAAGTTCAGAAGTGGACGAACAAGCAGAACTTTCCGCTGGAGTTTGCAGCTGGTGAAGGCAAAGAAGACAGAAGAAGGTAATGATTGTTGAAGTGTCTTTGGGGTGTTATCCTTGAACTCAAACTGGAGCTGCCTCACAACACCTTACAGCAAGGTCTTAACCATCACAAAGAACATAACAATGTGTTCTTCTGGTGCAATAATACACAAGACCAGACAATTTAGTATGAACACAAAATTCTTCTTCCTCCATCTCCTCTTCTTCTGTTTCTTCTTCCTCGAGTTGAGAGCTAGCCTACGAAATCTGCACCTTTCGGCCTAACTCATCTAATTTTAGCAAACCTTTAATTAATCATCATTTACAACTTGTTTGTTAAGCATCATTGAGATCATTCTCTCTCCCCCCCTTCTTTTTAAAACCACATCTTTAAGGCCTCAAGCAATTAATTGGCTTGTTTATTTGCTGAAGCTTAACTAACACTTCCTAGAAAAATATTATTGTAATGTTGATAAGTAAATTTGAAACAAATTTAGTAGGGACCTGTGAAAAAAAAAATATTTGTTTTTAAGGATTTCTTCCTAGAATTCTAACGTGATCATGACTTTTTATTTTGTTATTTTTTGTTTTTTGTTAGTGTCCCCAGGGCAAGAGGGTCACAGTCCATTTTCATTAGTCATCATGACTGTACACAACCTTTAGTCACGTAGACTTTTTATATATTATAATTTTGTGTGCATATTTCTGGACTGTGTCGGGACTAATTGTTCACCAGTTTTTCAGATGGGATAGTGAGGGATAGTTCATTTGATTTTTACTCACACAGGAACGGAGCAAGTATTGCGAAAACCCCGATTGCAGTGAAAGTGAAACCTGGACTAAGGCAAAGATATATACTTATATACTTTACGGTAGCGAGAGCTCATAATCTGGCCCAGTTATCTACATTCTTTCATCAGTAAAGGGTAGATAACTTGGTTATATTCCCCCCCCCCTCTCCCCCAGCATTAGGTTATTTCCCCTCAAGCATTAGGTTACATCCCCCAAAGGATAACTTTAGGTCGTTGGAGATAGAAAACCAGGACCACTCATGTCTGTCAGATTGGCACCTGATGAGAATGAGCTGTAACTCTTTTTAAGCTCTATGTATCCAATAATTTATCATCGGCACATGAATGTGTTCCAGGTACTTGAATTGCCTGGCACCAAACATCAACTTCTCTTATTTTACCTACGATGAGGATGTAAAACTTCTAAAGCTCCGCAAGCAACACGGGCAATGTAAGTTATACAGTTGTTGTTATTGTCATTTTATCAGGATAATCATATGGGGGTTCTGAGCAAAGCAAGAATAGACCCACTACCTCGCCTGCAAGCATGTCATAGGAGTTGACTATTTGAGGGCATCCTTTGAAGTCGATGCCTGAGAGGTAAGGAACCAAGAGTCTGCATGCAAATAAGCCATATGGATGAGATGAATGTGCATGCAGCACTCATGTTCCGGAACAGCACTAGAGTCCAGAAGTGGATGAACACATCTTTCCACAAGAATTTACAGCCGGTGGAATGCGAAAAAAAAGATAATGATAATCCTGTGAGGGTTCTGGGTCCCAGTGTAAGGAGAGACGCGGTGAAAAGGGGTCAGAAAACAAGAATAGACCCACTGCCCCAGAACAAGCATGTCATACAGTCTTGAAATTTAAATAATTAGATGTGGTTTTCAGATAGTAATAAGAGAGTTGCTCCGTAGAAGAGATTTGGCTCTCACCACATAAATATTTCCAAAGACAACAGTGATACACTAGCCAACCTTCATTGTGGAGACGGTACAGAATTTAAAAAAAAAAAAAAAAAAATTTTTTTAATTGCCCCACAAAAATAGCCATCCATGAAGCAAAGCATGACATCCAAACAGGCACCATTAATCTGTGATCTGACAAAATAGAAACCCGGTGCCGATCAGCAGATGATAAGTAACCCACTACTTTTTTTTTAGCTAGTGAAAGTTGCACCATTACGCATGCAGCCTGTTGACAAGGGTGAAAATTAATTATGTTCCAAATTCGGAAAAGTGCTTTTGAGACAGTTGAACTGGTGAGATAAGTTGATGACGATCAGTATTTATCAGTTTCAACATCATAATCATCTGTCATCATCCTCACAGTCAGACATTGGTATTCGACTTTCCTCTTTCTGACTTTGGCAACGAGTTTGTCACTATAAACATAAATTTGATGTCCTAGCTCAGCTTCATCTTCCATCTTTTTCTCACTGGCTTTGAATTGTGAAAAGAACCTCAAATACGAGATAAACATTAAGTAAGCAAAGTACCCTTTTCTCCTTCTGGCACTTCTGGCATAGAGTACTAGACCTGTATTTTTATAGACTGGTCCGCACTTGATGTGTGACATGACCAACATCAACCTGGTCGTCTTGATGCAGATTAGAACTTCTGACCTTCAGGCTGGCAGATGAGTGTCTAGCTGAGAGACAAGAAGTTAAACTAAGAATTAGAGAAACAGAGTTATTGTAGAAATGATCTGGTAGATAGCGTTCTTTGGATATTTTCTTTGGGGCAAGACGGCCATATAGCCAAATTGTGACAATATTACCATCAGTATTGAAACTGCGCTGGCTGCTAAAGATGAGGACGGAGCACACATGGGAATGCCCCGAGTGCTGTGATGTCAATTCTTGACTCAACTCAACTCAACTTTGGGGCATGCAGGTTAGGTAATGAACAGGCAGACAGACTGGTTCTGTATCAAAAGGTGGTCTGCCGCAAGGTTCCACCTTTATAACCGATAGTTAGTTAGTCTTTCCTCTTGAGCCTAAAGCAGTGCATAGGGCAGAGTATCCCTGATACTTTTAACCATGAGAATCACAGGCAAGCAGATCATGGAAGCGGGAAGAACACTGCCCTATTCTGATGATGTTTTGATTTATCATCAAGGCAGGTTGCTGAAAATCTTCAGGAAGGGGGTGGTGCGATGATGCTGTAGTGGTAATCAGTGTGTCAGAGTCAACAATGACATGGCTTTCACTAAATAACCATATCATTAACAAACCGCCAACTGTAATTCTATGTTTGGAGATAATAAAGAGAACTCCTACAATGAAGTACCTAGGAGTGTGTTTTGATCGGAGTCACAATTTTTATGACGCCAAGAAGTGCGGGTCAGAAGATGGGTGTCGCCAGACATGAACGCTGTAGAGAAGCCAAAAGAAGAATAGTAAACCAGTGATTGTTAATATTATATTATTTCTTTTTTTTTCCTCCCAGTCTGGTCAAAAATGGTTCCAGAGTTTGTAGGCCGTACAGACGGCATGTTATTGAACCGATATCGCCAGTTGCAGAGATGGAAACGCCAGAGTGAATGGTTTGATCGACAAACGGTGTGTTGGTTTTCTATCATAAGTATTATATTACATTTCACATGTATGTGTATTTTTAAAGTGATTCTGGTTGTAGTTCCCCAGCAAATAGTCTCCTGTTGGCAGTAAAATGATAGATATTCAATAATCTAAGCCATGATCTAATGAAGTTTGCAAGCCTCTCTTCAGAAAGAGACAGAGCCCTGTAAGGTAAACCTGCTACAAGGAAATTGTTCTTCTTGCCTCAACTCTTTCAGTCCAGACATGTTTAACTTAACTCATTATTTGCGAAGAACAGAATAACAGAATAAGTTAGGAATTGTGAGGGCCCTTTGGGAACGGGTGAACAGTGCCGAAGGCGCATATAGATAATTACTGTCTGAGGAGAATAGCTCTGCGAGGAGTTACCAGTTGATCTAGCTGATGCTCAACGCTCAGGGGAAGGATGAGACGGATATACAATCAGATAGTTACTGGTGCCATTGGAATTGGAACTCTTCGCTTGCTGCTGAAGATGGGGACTGAGCACTTATGGGAGTGTCCCAAGTGCTGTGATGTCGATTCTTAATTCAACATCAAATTTTTTTTTTTAACTTATCTCCTGGCGGTTGTTATTTCATAAATAAACTGTTTAAGTTTAATGTTGTCTAGTGCTTTATCCTATGTATATACTTCTTTCTATAAGTGCTGATCAAAATACAGTCAATCTGTTAGTATACTATTTCTACAGCCTCAATGGTTTCCTGTCTGTTTATGGATAGACCCAATGCCTCGGGCATAAAAGTGGCTTCCTTCGAAGTTGGAGTGGATCTGGCGGAGATACAAGAAACCAACAGTTTGTATCAGATAAGTCAAGTCTGTAAAGTGATTGTGCAAGCAAAACCTAAGTTCAGGAGTTGATGAACAACCAGAACTTTCTACCCGAGTTCACAGTCAGCGGACTGAGGAAGAGAAAGAATCAGGAGTGCTATTAAAAAGTAGCAGACTTGAGGAGTATTCTGTATAAATGAAATCAGATCTGAATGACCAGGAGATCTGGTCAACACGTAGATAAAGGCAAACTGGACATGCTATCAAACTACTACTGGTACCACTGAAACTGGAAATTTTTTGCATCTCTGCTGAAGATGGGGATGGAACACTTATGAGAATGCCCTGATTGCTGTGTTGTCATTTCTGACCTCACTTCAACTAAATTTACTATTGACTTTTCCAGGATGCAACCAAACGGATGCTTCTGGGTAAATCACTGACGGTTGCAGAGAGGCGGCAGTTCCAAGCAAGAACTGAGGAGTATATGAAGACGCAGCTTGGACTTGGTCCTGAAGACTACAAGAGACAGGAATTGGACAAACAGAATAATGTCGGTAAGTGAATTTTTGGGGGATTAAATATCAGTTGTCTAGCTTGTTCCTGAACAGGCAGATGTTGGTAAGTGAATTTTTGGGGATTAATTATCAGTTGTCTAGCTTGTTCCTGAACAGGCAGATGTTGGTAAGTGAATTTTTGGGGATTAATTATCAGTTGTCTAGCTTGTTCCTGAACAGGCAGATGTTGGTAAGTGAATTTTTGGGGATTAATTATCAGTTGTCTAGCTTGTTCCTGAACAGGCAGATGTTGGTAAGTGAATTTTTGGGGATTAATTATCAGTTGTCTAGCTTGTTCCTGAACAGGCAGATGTTGGTAAGTGAATTTTTGGGGATTAATTATCAGTTGTCTAGCTTGTTCCTGAACAGGCAGATGTTGGTAAGTGAATTTTTGGGGATTAATTATCAGTTGTCTAGCTTGTTCCTGAACAGGCAGATGTTGGTAAGTGAATTTTTGGGGGATTAATTATCAGTTGTCTAGCTTGTTCCTGAACAGGCAGATGTTGGTAAGTGAATTTTTGGGGGATTAATTATCAGTTGTCTAGCTTGTTCCTGAACAGGCAGATGTTGGTAAGTGAATTTTTGGGGGATTAATTATCAGTTGTCTAGCTTGTTCCTGAACAGGCAGATGTTGGTAAGTGAATTTTTGAGGGATTAATTATCAGTTGTCTAGCTTGTTCCTGAACAGGCAGATGTTGGTAAGTGAATTTTTGGGGGATTAATTATCAGTTGTCTAGCTTGTTCCTGAACAGGCAGATGTTGGTAAGTGAATTTTTGGGGATTAATTATCAGTTGTCTAGCTTGTTCCTGAACAGGCAGATGTTGGTAAGTGAATTTTTGGGGGATTAATTATCAGTTGTCTAGCTTGTTCCTGAAAGCTACAAGAGACAGGAATTGAACAGGCAGATGTTGGTAAGTGAATTTTATTTGATAAAAAACTATGAGATGTCTGCAGCCTGCCCCTGAAGACTACAAGAGACAGGAATTGGACAAACATAATAATTTCAGTAAGTGAATTTAGTTTAACTTCCAAATGTGGGTTCTGCTGCCTGTTGTGGGGGAAACCGAATGGACCACTCCTGGTTCCCCAGATATGTTGTAAAATTTGACTAATTAGGTGGTTCCTTCAGAATCACAGCTCATCAGCTTGTGAGCTAGGTACCAACAGTCTGCATACAAATAAGCCATATCTGTTAATCAGATGTGCATGGGATAAGACTGAAGTCCGGTAGTGGGCAACAACCATAAACTGTCCGCAGAAGTTTACGGCCAGCGAGCACAAAGAAGAAGAAGTTAGATGAATTAAGAGGCACCTGCAGCTTGAGGGTAATTAAAGCAGTTTCATAATTCTGACATACTGACTTTGGTTATAAAAAAGATAGATCATAAGGTCTGAATAGAATGGCACTGCAGGGAGTTACAAGGGAATCTGGCCGACGCTCAGCACTCAGGGTGAAGGCGAGACGGATATGCAGTCAGACAGTTACTAGTACCAATGGAATTTTAACTCTTCGCTTGCTGCTGAAGATGGGGACAGAGTACCAATGAGGTTGTCCCGAGTGCTGTGATGTCGATTATTAATTCAACATTCAACATTTTTATGAAAAAAGGGCGGTTTAGTAGCGGACTGTGTTTGATTGATTTCAACAATAGTATGAGCATTAACCACTAAAAGGTTAAAAATCAAAATTGCAATGGGAAAACCACAAACACAGCCAGAAAATGCCAGGACTGACTTGTGACATTTTGTAAAGCAGCGTTACTCAACCTGTTTTTTAAACACCTGCGGCACCCAACTAAAACAGGGGAATTTGTTTCACGGCCCACTTCACCCATCTAACCAAACACTGGAACAACCACATGTAGACAGTTGTTTGTGTGTTAAATCCAGTGTTGTATGATGACAAATTTCAACATCTTTTGTTGATTATCTTAATTAGGATGTTCAGTCTACAGACTGCAATCTTTGAAGAAAGAGGAAAAGTACCCATCCGACCTCGTTATCAGATTTTGAAGACACTTTTGGCGGCCCACCTGGACTTTGGGGAGCTGCCATGGTGTAGCGGCTAGACGCTTACTTGTGGATCAGTGGGTTCAAGTTTGATAGAGCCGGACTTTTTTCCCTTTAAAAAAAATGACCTTGACTGCCAGGTTGACCCAGCCTTGAGTGGGTACCTGGTACAGTCTTGGAAAGTAGGCCACTGGCGTTAAAATTCCAATGGTACCAGTAATCACCCGCCGATTGGCCTATAAAATATACGTCTGGCCTTAGATGTACAATACACCTAAAGGGGTTCAAAAGGATTCCTTTACTTTGCTCTGCACCTAGACGGTTGAAAGACGCTATTGTAAAGGAAATAAAACTAACTGTTGTTGTGTTTTTTTTTAAATATATAAATATATATATATTTTTTTAAATTTCAAATCTGTGATCCCTTAGTCTTAGTCTTTAGTCAAGGTTTCAACATCACTGCATTTGGTAATTTACCCATACTTGCTCCCTTCCTGTGCCAGTGCAAATCAAATGAAATGTCCCTTATTGTACCATTTGAAAAAGTGGTGAACAAACAACTAGTCCAGGAACAATTAAGAAATATGCGCACGCAGTAAACGCAAATAGCAGTTGCTAGAGGCGCCAAAGCCAACAGTCACTACCAGAAATGCAGTTTGACATTAATGGAAGTAGTTTGGCATGATAAGTTGGCTATACACACATAGAATTATTACATAAGGTATTTTACCAGCCCACATTTAAACCGGCTACCGGCCACGTTGAATACTACAACACAAACCGCTGCGCAGATGAAAGGCATGCCACCGGAAAAACACAGCTCACAAGGCTGCACCGAGCTAAGATGAGTATTCTTGATGTTTTTAATGAGACTATCCCCCTGTAGATTTTGTTGCCTCATTTTATGGAAAGGGATAGACCCCCTGCCTCCCTTTCAAACATTTTGTAAAAGGAGACTAATTAGGGATTTCCTTCCCGAAGGAGCTCATCTACCTGAGAGGTAAGAAACCAACAGTCTGCATACAAGTAAGCTAAATCTGTCAAACAAATGTCAGGCAAAATTCAAGTTATGGAACAAGACTAAAGTCCAGAAGTGGATGAAAAGACAGGACTTTCTGCCAGAGTTACAGTCAGTTATCGCTAAGAAGAAGAAGAGTGTTTACCTGCTGACAAAATTAGCTGTATTTTCTCCATTGATGTTCCATCCCAGACCCAGACATCATACCACCCCGGCCGCCCCGCCACCTCAGGTGCTACTCTTTTGGCACCTCAAAAAAGGGAGCAAATTTGAGCAAGTGGTCACAAAAGCTGGACATTCACAACAGGCTTACTGAAAACGTGCAGAAGTTGCTGCAGAAGGAGATCTCCGCTGGTGCTGGAGAACATAAAGGGTATGTTTTTTTTTCTCCTCTCTTGCTGTTTGAAAATGTGGCCTTGGTCCTTATGTCTGCCCACAGTCTTCTGCCTCATGTTTATGGCATTGTGGTGCTGGGGTGTCTATGGATTGCCTACCTCCCCGGACAGCAGCCAGAAGTGCACTGTACCAGTTCTAAAGAAAATATGGGTTGTGTTTCTGCCTTCCACTTTATAGCTTAGGTGGGGCTCATAGTGTGCTCATTCCCTTCCACCAGATTGCCTGCTGGTTTCACTAAGTTCTTCTTGGCTCTAAGCGTGAGTAGTCTTTTTCTGGGGAGGGGGTTAAGCATGCTTGTTTCCACTACTAAGACGGTTCAGCACCCCTCCGGCTGCTTCCATCCCACAGAGGGCAGTACATTGTTGCCTTCAGCCTCAGGTACTGTCAGTCATGTCTTATACAAATGTTCTATGTCAGTGTTTCCCATGGGCAGGACATGGGGGAGCTGCACGCAATAGCAAAGGATAGAATGACTTGGCATGACTTGGTTGAGGGCCTATGCTCCATGGGGGGGGGGGGGGGTGTAGAAAGACAGAAGAAGAAGAATTATCCCTAAGGCTGAGATATTTAGGCCATGTTAAACATCGTAGTGGCCTGCAGAAAACGGTGGTGGAGGGTAGATTTGACAGAAAACGATTCTAAGGCAGACCTCTAAGAAGGTGGGTACAAGACACTGAAGATGCATTGGCTATGAAAGCACATTGTTCTTGGTCTCTCAGTGAGTGACTACTGGGCATTGTTCTTGGTCTCTCAGTGAATGACTACTGTGCATTGTTCTTGGTCTCCCAGTGAGTGACTACTGGGCATTGTTCTTAGTCTCTCAGTGAGTGACTACTGGACATTGTTCTTGGTCTCTCAGTGAGTGACTACTGGGCATTGTTCTTGGTCTCTCAGCGAGTGACTACTGTGCATTGTTCTTGGTCTCTCAGTGAGTGACTACTGTGCATTGTTCTTGGTCTCTCAGTGAGTGACTACTGGACATTGTTCTTGGTCTCTCAGTGAGTGACTACTGGGCATTGTTCTTGGTCTCTCAGTGAGTGAATACTGTGCATTGTTCTTGGTCTCTCAGTGAGTGACTACTGGACATTGTTTTTGGTCGCTCAGTGAGTGACTACTGTGCATTGTTCTTTGTCTCTCAGTGAGTGACTACTGGGCATTGTTCTTGGTCTCTCAGTGAGTGACTACTGGACATTGTTCTTGGTCTCTCAGTGAATGACTACTGGGCATTGTTCTTTGTCTCTCAGTGAGTGACTACTGGGCATTGTTCTTTGTCTCTCAGTGAGTGACTACTGTGCATTGTTTTTGGTCTCTCAGTGAGTGACTACTGGTCATTGTTTTTGGTCTCTCAGTGAGTGACTACTGTGCATTGTTTTTGGTCTCTCAGTGAGTGACTACTGGGCATTGTTCTTGGTCTCTCAGTGAGTGACTACTGTGCATTGTTCTTGGTCTCTCAGTGAGTGACTACTGGACACTGTTCTTGGTCTCTCAGTGAGTGACTACTAGGCACTGTTCTTGGTCTCTCAGTGAGTGACTACTGGACATTGTTCTTGGTCTCTCAGTGAGTGACTACTGTGCATTGTTCTTGGTCTCTTAGTGAGTGACTACTGGACATTGTTCTTGGTCTCTCAGTGAGTGACTACTGGACATTGTTCATGGTCTCTCAGTGAGTGACTACTGGACATTGTTCTTGGTCTCTCAGTGAGTGACTACTGTGCATTGTTCTTGATCTCAGTGAGTGACTACTGGACATTGTTCTTGGTCTCTCAGTGAGTGACTACTGGGCATTGTTCTTGGTCTCTCAGTGAGTGACTACTGTGCATTGTTCTTGGTCTCTCAGTGAGTGACTACTGGGCATTGTTCTTGGTCTCTCAGTGAGTGACTACTGGGCATTGTTCTTGGTCTCTCAGTGAGTGACTACTGGACATTGTTCTTGGTCTCTCAGTGAGTGACTACTGGACATTGTTCTTGGTCTCAGTGAGTGACTACTGGACATTGTTCTTGGTCTCTCAGTGAGTGACTACTGGACATTGTTCTTGGTCTCAGTGAGTGACTACTGGACATTGTTCTTGGTCTCTCAGTGAGTGCTACTGGGCATTGTTCTTGGTCTCTCAGTGAGTGACTACTGGACATTGTTCTTGGTCTCAGTGAGTGACTACTGGACATTGTTCTTGGTCTCTCAGTGAGTGACTACTGGACATTGTTCTTGGTCTCAGTGAGTGACTACTGGACATTGTTCTTGGTCTCTCAGTGAGTGACTACTGGACATTGTTCTTGGTCTCTCAGTGAGTGACTACTGTGCATTGTTCTTGGTCTCTATGTGACTACTGGATGTTGTCCTTGGTCTCTGTGTGAGTACATGCTGTTTTCCTTGGTCTCTGTGTGAGTCTCTGTGACTGTTGTACATTGTCCTTGGTCTCTGAATGACTGCTGTACATTGTCTTTGGTCTCTGTGTGACTACTGCACATTGTCCTTGGCCTCTGAATGACTGCTGTACATTGTCTTTGGTCTCTGTGTGAATGCTGTGCATTGTCGTTGGTCTCTGTGATTACTGCTTGGTCTGTATGTGATTACTGGATGTTGTTATTTTAACAGAGAAAGGTCATTGCTTGTTTGTTAGGAGTTAGGTTTCTGCGCAGAGTTGGGATTACCAAGATTAACAAGTTTTGGTATTCTTCTTTTCCCGCCAAAACTAAATATTATTGACGTCATCACTTGTTTGTCAGGAGATATAATTTTGCTTATTAGTTAATGAGAAGGAAATCAACAACTCTTAGCAACAATATTTTGTAAATAGTATTTGACGTCATTATTGACGTGCCCTTTCAGAGAGAACGTAGAAGTACTTGTTTTTTAGGAGTCCCTATGACGTCAGCTGTCATTTTAACTACTAAATCTGTGCATAATAAGATGATGAAATATGATGCAATCGAGATATTATTAGAAAATCCCATGTGAGAACTTACTAGAATATTCTAGAAGCAGAAAAAGTGAGAAGAAAACAAATAACTAGCATTTCAGCATCTAAGTATAAAACAATGCATGAGAAATCCCTAGGGTAATTCTTCAGTCCACAAGACTCAAGAGAGGAGGGACCAATTATATGTACCCTCAAAGCCCCTTCACTTGTAGAGATGTCAGCTCAACTCAAAGAATGCCTCCAGTCTACAAGACTTAGGAAGAGAAGGGACTAGTAACATTGACCCTCATAGAGCAATCACAGTTGTAGAGATGCCAGCTCAACACTAGAAGGAGAGGAGCCAGTTACATAGAGCCTCGAAGACCGACACTAGATACGAGACGTGAAACAAGACATCGAGCTTCAGAGACAACAGACAAGATACATGGATTCATAGTTAACCGCGACACATTAGATAGAAACACTGTTGAGATGTTAGAGTCAACGATCAAGCCGTTAGTACCAAACAGCACTGGAAGCCAGGTGGCAGTTAAAGACACTAGAACCAGTTAAACAAAGTAACTAGAGATGGAAAACACAAAGCGAACTCAAGAGTTAGTAGCCATAGAGAGAACACAGCACCTTTCAGAATATCATTGATGTTATTTGTGTCATTGCTGAAGTACGACAATAAAGACAGTATAGACGAGAACTGTTGTTTCCAGACATTTTATTATACAAGCATAAGAGTCACGTGAGAAGCATGTAGCAAGCAAGACATCATTATCATCATCGCCATTATTGACACGACCATCCTCCTCGCCTATAATCTTCAAATCGACTCCTCCTGTAGCAAACCTAAAGACGAACCTGGATGTGACATCAACATACGCAACAAAGAAGAGAGCTGTGCAACATTATTACTGCTTGGTCATCCCATGATTACGGGATATTGTCCTTGTTTTCTGTGTAATTATGGGCTGTTGTCCTTGGTCTCTGTGTGATTACTGCTTGGTCTCTATGTGATTACTGCTTGGTCTCTATGTGATTACTGCTTGGTCTCTATGTGATTACTGCTTGGTCTCTATGTGATTACTGGATGTTGTCCTTGTGTGGTTGGTTCTGCAATGTCCTGTAAAGGATATGCAACTAACAACTTTCTTTTTATACACGTTTTACTGTTTCATTTATAGTTTTTATTGGTTATTTTATATTTTTAAAAACAAATTTAAGTATACAGTTCTTCCTGGTTTTTCCCCGGCAATGTTTACAGTGAACGGCGTCGCGCTGTGTCAGATGAAGTAGCAGCAGAAATTGTGCAGAAGTCTGCAGAAGAAACACTGAAAGGAAACAACAGATTCAAGCCTAAATTTAAAACAAAGGTAAGTTTAGTGACTGGAAAAGACTGGGAGCTCACCACATAATATTCCAATAGTTAGCACTATAAAGATTGAAGCCAGCCTTCAGTGTAGGGGCAGCACCATTTTGATTTTGTTAAAGTTTAACGTTACGATTCATTCAAGAAAGTTTGAAAACACCATGACTGGTCCAGAAAACTGACTGTGGTGTATTTAGTGCTTTTAGAAAAATGATGGGATCTCAACCTAAATATGAACACTAAAAGTGCACTGTCCAACACACTATTCTTACCAGAGCTATGATGTCAGTGTCAGATATGGACTTTGTCCATAGTCATGGCTGAAAAGAAATGTTTACATATAATGGTGTCTTCTTCTTTTGGCTCGTCGAAGTGACATGTATGTGTTGTGCCTGTTTACAGTAGAGTTGCGACTTCATCAAGCATTTGTGGACCAGGTTAACTTCCCGGGTAGCTTTGTGGGACAGGGACATGTTGTGGCCTTATTCGTATGGTGTACTCTTTGTCATCCTTAGGTGTTGCCCCTAGAGATCCTGTCCAAGGCATTGACGTGTAGACAGAACGGCCCTGAGGGGAAGGCAGGGGCAGATTATGGGCATTCACCACCATATAGGGAGGCTTCCATAAATGCAGAGCCGACCCATGACACTCTGGTCCTGGGTTCACCCAAGAAATTGTCACGTCCTGCACATAAATGCTTAATCTCACATACGTGTGTTAAGTTTTCCAATCATAAACTGGCCGCGCCCTTCGGAGATCAGCATGAAGCAGCCTGTAGGTCCGGGATTTCAATGGCCACTCAAATAGGTACATTTTTTCGACACGTTAGACAACCTTTAATGTTGCTTCATCTAGAAACTTAGTGAGACAGTACACCAAAAGCATACATCCGGCATGGCTTGCCCTTTTAGATCCCATCACTCTGGCGAGTGGGGCCAGTGGGAACATACATGGGGACCATTCTGCCAGTTAGTAGGACTTGTTTGTTTGGTCGGACATTCTGGACTTTGTTTCTGGGCCATAGGACATGTATCAGACGATGTTTATGGTATACCAGCACAGTGACAGTTGCAGATTGTCATGAGTACCTCACAGCGGTGTCAGTGAAATTGAGGAACAGCAGTTGATGTATGGAGACAGTACTGTTCTGCGAGTTAGATCCTGCAAGAGATGTTGCTCGTCTTGGCTGCGAGCAGAGTATTTCTTTTTCCTCCTCCTCCTCCTTCTTTACCGGCCGTGAATTGTGGTGGAAAGTCCTGGTTGTCATCCGTGTACCAGAATTGTAGTGTTGCCTGCACATCCTTTTTACAAGTCAGGCTTATTTTTGTGCAGACTGTTGGTTCATCGCCTCTCAGTCAGAGACACTCAGACAACAGGAAACATGTGTGGTCAAGGTGCCCCATAGGTGACCTGTTTCTAGGATGAGCTTGCACTTAGGGCCTATAACTACCATAGCCATTCAGACATTTCAGTTTCATTATTCCCAAAAGTGGTGCATGATGCCTCTTAGTCCATGAGACATCAATGTCCAGCATACCTTCCTCTGAATAGTTTTTGTTATTGTTACATTGTATTTATTGTATTATTTTAATGCTTATTTTATTTCATATTGTTACTTTATTCTGTCTCTTATCAGTACTATATATGGATCAATAACATTTGTATTTCTACTACCCTTTTATTCCTACTATTATCATCATTACTTCTTATGAATATTTTTCGAGCTTTACCTTTGTTTTATTTTACATCATTTATTCCACATCACCTTTTATATAGTTTTTCCCATGAAATCTTAGTGGTTAGAGTACTCTCCCCTTTGTTATTGCTGTGTAGTTCAGTTCATGTTGAGAAGGCCCCGGCCGAAATGTCGATTTATGTTAAACTGTTTTCTGCACATTCTGCTTCCTAATTCCGTTAAGCTTTTTAGCCACAACTCACTGGATTAGTTCCTTCATAATTACAGCACACCACGGGGGCTCAATGGCCTCAAATCATGGCGTCTGCCTTGAGTGCTGGAGGCCCCAGTGAAGGCTAGGATTTTTTTTTTTAAAGTTGACTTCTAGTAATTTTCCTGGGTCTCTGGGTAGTAAGATCAGACACCCGTGTGTATTGTTGCGCAGGTAAAAAAAAATCCCTTTGCCCGTGCAAAATTTGGAGTTGAGGTTTACCCAAAGTATTTCACGATCCTCGCCGGTGCATCAGAATTTGTGCACTGCACTGATATTCTTTGAACTCAGCTTGAATTAGAAGTAGAACGGAGCACTTATTAGTAACTACCCTTGTGCCGTGATGTTGGTACATTGTATAAAACCAAACAAACCCAGCACACCAGGGCTTCAAGTCAGCTGCTTACAATCTGGCAGTGGACCGCTGTGCATTGATTACAACTGGTTGAGTCAATCAGAAGCAATAGCAGACAGCAGAACATAAAATTGTCTGTTAGAATCACAAATGGTCAACAAATGCTGGGGTCTGTTCACAGTATTCTGAACAAAATGTGCAGCTAGCCTTTTTAAAAAAAAAAAAATTTATTGTTTAAAAAAAATCTATTTCAGGCACAGTTGAGGCAATTGGAGGCAGCACTCAACAGGGCTTTCCTGACTTCCGGTAGAGTTAGTGTCCAGGAGTTTCTGAAATTATCAACATTTGAGGTTTGATATTTTTCTACACTTGTATCTGTTGGTGCAGTTGCATCTATTTTTGCATTTGTATCTATTGAGGCAGTTGTAACCATTATTGCAGTTGTATTTATTGATAAAGATCACACAGAAGTGTAACAGGTGGTCCTGTACGGACAAATAACAGTTATGTTAGGCAGATTTGATCAGAGTTTAGTGTATATAAATGTAAGTAAATGACCCATTTCCAATCATTTCCAATCTTCAGGCGTATTGGGCATTTAAGGCTATACCTATATTTTATATACCAATCGGCACTTGGTGGGTGATGTGGTCACAATCATGCCATCTACCTTCACTTTCCAGAACTCCACCTAGTGCCTATTCAAGGCTGGGTCGAGCTGGGAGCCAAGGTTATTTGGGAAATAAAGTCTGGTACCATCAGGACCCGAATCTACAACCTTCCGATCTGCAGGCGAGCGTCTAGCGCCGCTACACCACTACGTCTCACTTAGTGTATAAAACATCCTTTAGATTATCTTTACTCCGGGTAAGGATTTTGGTGCCCCTTGGAGGGTGTGTGTGCAGGGTGGGGGGGGGGGGGGAGACAACAAGCATGTCGTAACAAGTAAAACATGACACATCAGCTGCCATATTAAGGTCGAAACACAGAAGAAGAAGAAAATGATCACTTTGTTGATTCCAGAGATTTTTTTTCTGTTGATATGCCAACAGCAATAAATAACCTTCCTGAACTGGAGAAAGCAAATACCACACACATCACTCTTTGGTCAACTGTATTTATAGCAGATAACTTACTTCCGCATAGCAGCATTACGGTGGTGGGGGTTATGGCAGTAACGCAAGCGTTCGCGTGGCTTGAAACACAAAATACACCCGTACCTGTCTCCTCAGTCATTCAGTGTGTATGATCCGGATGGTTCCGGCTTGAATCATTACAAAAGTCACCTTTATTTTCGTTTTGGATATGCAGGTTAAATGGAAATGAAAAAGCTGATAGGTTGGCTGGATCCGCTATCACTACCATCAGTCAAGCTATGGATCATGCTGATATTATTAATGCCCTCCGGGCAGGGGACTTTGGTGGCAGCGAATCCACATCACTCGCCAGATTGATTTAGAAGTTAAAATCGGCGTAGCAAAAAATTAGACGCACACCAGGCACATCAGAGGACTTGTTAATCAACATAGAACTGGTATTAATAGCCACGGGACACTGGAGTTCATACTGAGGGGAGGATCTGAGCACATATGGACATGTCCGGAGTGCAGTATATTAACCCAACTAACTAACTAAGCATCCCTGCATTCCAAACCAATGTTGGATGTTGTTGAATTATCAGTAGTAAACACCCTGTGGACTGAATTGCTGCAGTATATGCACTACACACATTCATCTTTCCTAAGTGGTCATTACATCTGTGTATTCTGTCACTTTGAAAGACAGCTTATCTACCACAAACTGCAGTTCTCTATATATTTCTGTTCTGTTTCTCCCCTCTGTGTAGACTTAAGGCATCGTCGGCAAAAGTCTGCATTTTTTAATTATATTTAACAGTGTGTAAAGATATGTAAAGGGGCAATTAATAAATATCAACATAGTGAAGCATTAAATGGGATACGTTCCCCTTGGGACTAAAAAACAAAACAAAAAATGTGCATGGTGGGGTCATGCCGTGACCCCATGACCTCAACCTGGCTTACGGGGAAAGTTTGACATTAACTTGCTTCCAAAGGCCCTTGGGGTCATAAGTATCCCCCCCCCCCTTTTTTCCCCTAAATGCTATTTTTAGTTACTATATTCGTATCCTGGCCGGCTAAACACTAGGCAGGTGCACAGAGGACTAGTGGAATTGAACTGTGCTTTTCAAGACAATGTCATTGTTGACATGGCCATATAAATTTTCATTTACGGGACTGTGTCACAACTGGACATGACCAGATAAAGTCTTCTCGGAGCAGCAAGGTTAAAGATTAAATATATTTGATAAAGATTGTTTCAAACACTAAACAAATTATTTACCCATTACAGAAGAAGCGAGTCAGAAAATTGGAGAAAAGTCACATGATTGATTCGGAACTGAAAAATATTTTGCGCACAAGAGGCAGGTATCTGTCAAAACTAGGAAGAGCACGGCGGTTCTTTGGTAAGATTTCATTGTATCTTGTTGAGTTAAGAACTGACATAGCACTCTGACATTCCCCTAAGTGATTTGTTCCTATCTTCAGCAGCCAGCGCAGTAGCAGTCTGAGTGTGTACCTGTCTTGTAAAGCAAAGAGGCTACCATTAGCACAACAAGGCCTTGTATATGATAGCGTGACATCTTGTTTGAGAAGAGAAATGGAGGCAGTCACTGCAGCATTCCGGTGGTTGAGACCCAGTTGCACACTGTTGTGTGTGTATGTGTGTGTGTTGATGTTTTCATCAACTTGAGATGTAAGAATACAGCAGCCAATTACAGTGAACCAAGCAATGGGTTATTAAAATGATCATTACTGCCATAGTAAGCAGTAACAGTCCATGCCATTGTGAAGGAATTCTAATGATCTCTTCCATAATCTGAAATAATGACCATGCATGCCATAGAAGCGGAAAAAAGAACGATAGAAAAATAACAAGGCACCTTTGGTTCCCTGCCTTTCTTATGGCTGTTCATAAAGCATGCTGGTGGTTACCTGTTTGTCCAGTGGGTTGGGCAGTTGTCACCTGAGAGGGCATCACTTTAACCATTTGGCCAACCACTCCTCTTCTGTGAGTAAAAATTGAATTTTCTTAAAGATTTTTCCTCAGTGAACTCGTATAGTTTTTCTTAGGTAACAGTTCAGACTTAACCCTCTATTAAACCTAGCTCTTTCAGTCCTATATCATGTGTACTGGTTATTACTTGTGTGCGCCAGTCCACATTTTGTGTGTGTTTTTACATCTTAAGTTTAGTCAGGTAAACTAAATTAACACAACAACACAGGTCATCCATACATTTTAAATTTAGTCAGGTAAGCTTAATCAACAAAACAGAACAATTTGTCTTACATCTTAAGTTTAGTCAGGTAAACTAAATCAACCCAACAACACAAGTCATCTGTACATCTTAAGTTTAGTCAGGTAAACTGAATCAACCCAACAACACAAGTTGTCCGTACATCTTAAATTTAGTCAGGTAAACTAAATCAACCCAACAACACAAGTCATCCGTACATTTTAAGTTTAGCCAGATAAACTAAATTAACCCAACAACACAAGTCGTCCGTACATTTTAAGTTTAGCCAGGTAAACTAAATCAATCCAGCAACACAAGTCATCCATATATCTTAAATTTAGTCAGGTAAACTAAATCAGCACAACACAAGACATCCATAAATCTTGAGTTTAGTCAGGTAAACTAAATCAACCCAACAACACAAGTTGTCTGTACATCTTAAGTTTAGTCAGGTGAACTAAATAAACCTAACAACACACGTACATTTTAAGTTTAGCCAGGTAAACTAAATCAATCCAGCAACACAAGTCATTCGAACATCTTAAGTTTAGTCAGGTAAACTAAATCAACCGAACAACACAAAACATCCATACATCTTAAGTTTAGTCAGGTAAACTAAATCAACCCAACAAGACAAGTCATCCATACAACTTAAGTTCAGTCGGGTAAACTAAATCCACCCAACAATACAAGTCATCCGTACATCTCCGTGATCTCTGTACTCAGTAGGTGTTGATTGGCATTTCTCCTTTCTTTGCCTAGAGGGGGTCTCCATGGCGAAGTGGTTATGTCATTTGCTTCGTGCTGTGAAGGTCGTGACTTTGTTTCATGGCGGTTTATGCGTGCACTTTTTATGGAGATTCCTGAGAATCGTTGCTAGAGCTACAGAGGCAGTACTCTGTGTGACACTCTCAGTGGTCAGCTAGCTGTTCTGCAGGCAGTACTCTGTGTGACACTCTCAGTGGTCAGCTAGCTGTTCTGCAGGCAGTACTCTGTGTGACACTCTCAGTGGTCAGCTAGCTGTTCTGCAGGCAGTACTCTGTGTGACACTCTCAGTGGTCAGCTAGCTGTTCTGCAGGCAGTACTCTGTGTGACACTCTCAGTGGTCAGCTAGCTGTTCTGCAGGCAGTACTCTGTGTGACACTCTCAGTGGTCAGCTAGCTGTTCTGCAGGCAGTACTCTGTGTGACACTCTCAGTGGGCAGCTAGCTGTTCTGCAGAGAGAGACTGAGCCATATGGGTTCAAACCCGGTGCAGTGAAGTCAATCCTCTCACCTTAACCTTTCTTTGCCCCACAACCAGTTCCTTCATGTGTGTCCTTATTTAACACCTGTTTCCAACGGGCAGTTTGATTGTAACTGAAAGGTTGCATACTTCTTAGTAGTCGGAACTCGAATCGTGCGACTTCGACTCGAGTGTGACTCAAGTCCCACAATTAAGGAATTGTGACTCAACTTGGGTTTTGTCTCAAGACTCAGCTTACGACTTGAAGCTTCGACAACTCATCAGGATTCGTTCTTCGTGCCCAGCCACCATGAGGTTTGGTGATCAACGCCGCAATTTAAAACGTCTTCTGTGTTGATTTATCAAGCTTTTACGTTAGTCATCCATTTTATATATATGTCAGGAGTTTCTCACACGGCCATTTACAAACAGTATCAGAACCTATTGTTGGCTGTTGTTTTGGTATTATAGGGAGAATAGCGCAGCAGGGAGTTACCAGGGGATCTGGCCAACGCTCAACAATCAGGGGAAGGATGAGATGGATATATAATCAGACGGTCACTGGTACCATCGGAATTGGAAATCTTCACTTGCTGCTGAAAATGGGGACTGAGCACTTATGGGAGTGTCCTGAGTGCTATGATGTCGATTCTTAATTCACCATTCAACATTTTTTAGTATTATAACAGACCAGCTAGTTTAATCCATAATCATCGTCCCACGACTTGCAAATGACTTGTTACATAAAGTGACTTGACTGGGGACTCGACTTAAAAGAATTCTTGGTGACTTGGGACTTGGTTGCAGTGACTTTGGACTTAATGGCAGTGACTTGGCACTGTGTGGCAGTGACTTGGGACTGTGTGGCAGTGACTTGGGACTTGATGGCAGTGACTTGGCACTGTGTGGCAGTGACTTGGGACTTGGTGGCAGTGGCTTGGGACTTGATGGCAGTGACTTGGGACTTAATGGCAGTGACTTGGCACTGTCTGGCAGTGACTTGGGACTTGGTGGCAGTGACTTTGGACTTGATAGCAGTAACTTGGCACTTGGTGGCAGTGACTTGGGACTTGGTGGCAGTGGCTCGACTTGGACTGGATGGGTGATGACTTAAGCCCAGCCTCCGCTTGTTGTTTGCATGGTCGTGAGTTCATCATTAGCTTGTGATTGATCTCTCCTCCCCAGAGAGAGATACAAGGCCAAGGAAAGTGATTGAGGAGGAGTTAGATGAATGTGACCAGTCTGCACCATTAATGATAATGAAGGTAATATGTCAGTTAATGTTAACACAGTTAATTAATAAGTCTGTCCATTCGTATTAACGCTTTCAGTTGCAAGCAGGTTTTATTTTAATCTCCTTCTATCCCAGAGAGTTGAGCTTTTAAGCAATAAATATTGATGCATGAATGACTTCAGGGACAAGCATGGGACGAGAATAAACTAACAATTCAGAAAAAATGGGTTAATATAACACTTGTCTGTGATCAAAGAATGAGAAGAATATTAACTTTGAAATAATCAAGAAATGTTTGGCTAGTTGTTGGCCACTAAAAGAGTTATTGAAGGCAGTCTATCTATTCATGTTACTGAAGGTAATCTATCCATTCATATTAATGAAGACAGTGTGAAGCTAATCTGTCCATTTGTGTTGATGTAGGCAGTAAGAAAGTCTGTAGTGGGTTCTTTAGAAAAAGACGATTGTCATGACTTTCAGTCAATGGTAACAAGCAAGCTGTTTAGAAGAAGACCATTCTCATGACTGTCAGTCAGCAGTAACAAGTGGGCTGTTTAGAAGAAGACCATTGTGATGACTGTCAGTCAGCAGTAACAAGTAAGCTGTTTAGAAGACCATTGTGATGACTGTCAGTCAGCAGTAACAAGTGGGCTGTTGAGAGAAGGACCATTGTCATGACTGTTAGACAGCAGTAACAAGTAAGCTGTTTAGAAGAAGACCATTGTGATAACTGTCAGTCAGCAGTAACAATTGGGCTGTTTAGAGAAGGACCATTGTCATGACATGAAAGACAGCAGTAACAAGTGAGCTGTTGAGAGAAGGACCATTGTCATGACTGTTAGACAGCAGTAACAAGTGGGCTGTTTAGAAGAAGACCATTGTCATAACTGTCAGACAGCAGTAACAGGTGGGCTGTTTAGAAGAAGACCATTGTGATAACTGTCAGTCAGCAGTAACAAGTGGGCTGTTTAGAGAAGGACCATTGTCATGACATGAAAGACAGCAGTAACAAGTGGGCTGTTTAGAAGAAGACCATTGTCATAACTGTCAGACAGCAGTAACAGGTGGGCTGTTTAGAAGAAGACCATTGTGATAACTGTCAGTCAGCAGTAACAAGTGGGCTGTTTAGAAGAAGACCATTGTGATAACTGTCAGTCAGCAGTAACAAGTGGGCTGTTTAGAGAAGGACCATTGTCATGACATGAAAGACAGCAGTAACAAGTGAGCTGTTGAGAGAAGGACCATTGTCATGACTGTTAGACAGCAGTAACAAGTGGGCTGTTTAGAAGAAGACCATTGTCATAACTGTCAGACAGCAGTAACAGGTGGGCTGTTTAGAAGAAGACCATTGTCATAACTGTCAGACAGCAGTAACAGGTGGGCTGTTTAGAAGAAGACCATTGTCATAACTGTCAGACAGCAGTAACAGGTGGGCTGTTTAGAAGAAGACCATTGTCATGGCTTTCAGTCATCAGTAGCAAGGGTCACATGATATAAATTATTTGGATAATATTCCTATAATTAGCAGTGGAGACATTTTCTTTCTGACTGTCTTTTTTTTTAAAATCAATTTTTGTGGTTAGTTTCTTTTATTGACTCAAAGTTTTTATATCCAATATTTCAGTTCCTAGGTACAAGCACTCAGAGCTTATGCACATCTGCTCGACATAATTGTCTCGACCATCAAGAAGAGCTGTCCAACCTGCCATCATATGAAGACGATCCAGACTTTCGAGAGGAAGAAGCTGAAACTCAGAAGACCATTCAAGGCACTGTTTCAAAGAGGCAGGTGAAGATTCTCAAGAAAAAGCTGAGATCTTTGCGAAAGATTTATCAAGAAAAGATATACCTGAAGAATAAAATTGTGGAAAATAAAATCAGTGCATTTAATGACGATATTGAGTATTTGGAAACACTGACTGACAGAAAGGGGGAGGTTAATAAAAATATATCTCTGATGGTCTGCAACCCTCCTGGTATTTCTAAAACTGCTTTTGATGCAGAGATAATTGAGGAAGGCTCACCGGTTTTAAGTGCAGCACCCAGTTTAGATGTCCAGGTTACCTTACCTAACTCTTGTTTAACACAGAGTCAGTCATCACAACAGACTACATCTGGTAAAAGCACTTTATCTGCTTCAAAAACAGACCACAAGTTTGCAGTTCCACTTGCGTCTCCAGTAAAGCAAAGCAAAAGACGGAGTTCAAGGTTTTTGTCAGATACCGATGAACCTTCGGAAAAAGTTTTTAAGGTACTCTCAAAGGAGGAAATTGTGACTGAGAGGAACCAGTTGCCAAGTTCAAAGAAGAAAATATTCACCAGTCTTCCACTTTTACCTCCCAGTTTGAGTACGCTGTTAGGCCTGAGGGCATTGTTTTTGATGAAAGACGAACTCAAGGAGAGAACAGATCGGATTCAAAAACAGCGATATGAAGCTGCTCATCCACCTGAGACCACTACAGGTCAAGAAATACTCAAACAGGAAGACAGCCCAGTCATTGTTGATAAAGAAGATGAATTGCAGGTTCAAGACACAGCTTCCTGGTTTTTGAACCCAAGTGTTGACAAGCTGGGTGAACAAGCTAGGAAGTTCAAACCTTACTGCCGTCTTGGGAAGGTCAATGACACAAGACCCAAACATCATTTTCAGACTCTTGGCGAGGCAATGTTACCTTCAGCGTCGCGGACAGAGGACGAGAATTCTGTTGCATTCGAAACTGGAACATTCATGTATCCGCTGGAAGAAAGGGGAGGCCGCCTGCCAAGCTACGTCAACAAAAGTGCACTTAGTTGTTGTCGGGATGCCAAGCTGGGGATTAGCAAACCCAGAAGATCCCCAGTCAGACAGTGTAAAGCAAAGCCTCCTAGTACCTATGAAGTTGTTATGGGCGTCACTGGCATCCCTGCCAGTGAATGTGTGTCTGGGGGAACTGCAAAGAAGCAAACAGACATGAAATATAAGTCTGGGAGCAACCATCCTTTACTGACACAGGTGCGCGTGACCAGAAATAACCCCTCAGTGGTCCCTGTGACAACGGGTAATTTGTCCGTGGTTCCCGTGACAGTGGATAATCTGTCACAGATTCCAGCCACAGAGATTAAATTGGAGCCGGATACCACAACAGTTAGTTATAACCAGAGTGATGAAAGGAACAGAAGTGTTGCTGGTTCCAGCTGGGGTGTACAGGATAGCAGCCTGACCAGGCCGGATGCTGTTTATTCTGTACATGCTTCGGGTCAGAGTGAACATAACATTGATGATGATGAGGATGTTGTAGCTGTCATACATTTAGACGACGATTCTAGTTTGACGCCAACTCTTATTAACATATGCAGCAGTCAGTCAGACATCCTCAAGACAGAAATTTTTGACAGCAAAGATGACGAAGGTGTCATTTTTTCTGAGAATGTCAGACCGTCTCAGTTTATGATCATCCCACCTGAACCTTCAGCAGCTGAAGTCAGGGAAATGACTGAGGCCAACAGAATCTCCGAGGCCAACAGAATCTCCGAGGCCAACAGAATCTCCGAGGCCAGCGAACTGAGTTCTCTACAGTTGCCTGAGAATTGTGTTAACAGCATCATGGGAAACAAAAGATTAAAACACTTAAAATCCAGAATCGTTGTGGTTGGAGTTGACGAGTCCAAAAGAATCGTTCACTTTAAATCAGAAGATGACAAGTTTAAAGCCTTTGAGGTAAGCAAGGATGATTCTTTTCTCTTTTTTAATATTTTTTTTTAAAGATATCTGAGATTTTACTAAACAGAGGGCAGTACACCACAGTTTTTAGAGTAAGAACAGAACACTGCAGACTTAAAGCATACATGCACATAATAAAGGCTGCACCATTTGCCTGCCAAACGACACACCAACCATCCGAGCACATAGTGCTGACCTGCCCTCTAGAGCAAAACCTGCCAGAGACCAAAAGTCATCCAGGACAAACTTTGGGGAACTCTTGGAGACTTGCTGCTGATGATCCGGTTCATGGAAGCAACACAAATGATAACCTAGATATATGAAGAGGTTTTTGAAGTTTTGAACAACGAATCAACATCATGGTACACGGGTGTAACCCATAAGTGCTTCATTCTTCTACTAACTCAAGTCTGAGTCCAAAGAAGCTCAGCACAATGCACAGGCTCTGTAGCACCGGCAAGGATCCTGGAATACTTTGGGTAGATTTTCAACTCTAAACTCTGCCTGGGCAGTGTCGTTAGGCTACTCTTTTTGATTTCCAACTGCCAAAAGGATTTTTTTTAAAGTGCGCAACAATGCACACAGGTGTCTGATCTCACTACCCAGAGACCAGTGGGAATTACCAAAAGTCCAAGTCCACGTGAAAAAATCCTCGCCCTTACCGGGGATTGAACCCGGAACCTCTAGCACTCACCATACCTTGAGACCACGCAGCCTCTATATAAAGGTGTGAAAACAGTTTATTTAATGAATCCTTTAAAACTGCTGAAGAAGTTGAAGGGGAAGAGAGTTGAGGGAGACAAGAGCAAGGATGTTGGATAGTCTGGCATTATGGGATAGAAGAATATCTGTTAGAAAAGATTGGCAGTACATGAGAGGTGCCAGCAGGATGTAGACCACATCATAGACTGAGTGATGGTTTTCTTTTCAAATTTAGGTCTAGCATTTTGAGCCGGATGGGAGCCACCCTGGTGTAGTGGTTAGATCCAAAGGTTGTGGGTTCAGGACCTGACAGAGCCAGATTTTGTTTTTTCAAAAATGACCTTGACTCGCAGGTCGACCCAGCCTTGAATGGGTCATTGATAAAGCCTGCCGGCGTGATATTGACCACATCACCCATCGAGTGTCATTTGTTCTATAAAGTATAGGTCTAGCCCTATGTGCCCAGGATACCAATATACTTTATTATGAGCCCCATACGCCATAGAGATGAAAAGGGGATGTTCCAGTGGGTCATGAGTTGAGGAGGAGACTTTGCAATTAGATACGACACAGTGAGAAAACCTGAAAACAGTATAACCAGAATGTCTGTGCACTGGAATCCACAGAGTAAAAAGAATACAGGTTAGCTGCATATCCTTTACAGGACGTTGCAGCCCCTGGTTGTTGTGTGGTTTCTATATGCAAATTTACATCAGTAGTTTGCCATTGCCCTGAACGGTCGGCCCCCTGAAAAAAAAAAGAATATAGACAGACCAACAAACAAACAAAACATAAAGAAAGGAACTAGAGAGGGAAGTTTAAAGGTGGAAGGACACATGGTAAATGCCCCTAATAGCAAAAGATTGGATTACTTGGCATGTGTTAGTTGAGGATCTGTGCTTCAGTAGAGGATAAAGGGCAAAGTAAAAAGATTGAATGAAAACAGAAATTAGAGAAATAGAAACTGGAAAAGCTATTGTTGAACTTGTGATTTTTGATCTCAAACACTAAACTTCTTCAAGTCACAAACCAAGAAACTCTAGACAGTATGATAACCAAGAGAAGATGGAAATGGCTTAGCCATGTTATGAGAATGAATCCTGATATACCTGCCAAAACAGCTCTCACATGGACACCAGAGGGAACAAGACAAAATGGGGCCCAAAAACAACATGGAGACGAACGATGGAAAGTGACCTGAGTGCGGCATCTCTGACATGGAAAACTACCATGAAGATTGCACAGGACAGGAAAGCATGGAAAGTCCTCTCTGAAGCCTCATGTGCCACTAGGCCTAAAGAGAATTGATGATGATGATGTGATTTTTGGCCTGACACTGTCGGTTTTAGCAAATTTGTGGTTAGTTTCCTTTTGTGACATGCTTGTTTGGCATCAGGTGGTCTACCACCCGACCCCTAATCCCTGCACCCCAAAACTCACACAAAGCTTGTTTGGCAGCAGTGGGTCTACCACCCAACCCCTAATCTCCGCACCCTGGAACTCAAACAGATAGCTTGTTTGGCAGCAGTGGGTCTACCACCCAACCCCTAATCTCCCGCTCCCCAGAACTCACTCAGGGAGCTTGTTTGGCATCAGGTGGTCTACCACCCAACCCCTAATCCCTGCACCTTGGAACTCAATCAGGGAGCTTGTTTGGCAGCAGTGGGTCTACCACCCAACCCCTAATCTCTGCACCCTGGAACTCACACAGGGAGCTTGTTTGGTATCAGGGGGTCTACCACCCACACCTAATCCCCCGCTCCCCAGAACTCACTCAGGGAGCTTGTTTGGCAGCAGGGGGTCTACCACCCAACCTCTAATCTCTGCACCCTGGAACTCAAACAGGGAGCTTGTTTGGCATCAGGGGGTCTACCACCCAACCCCTAATCTCCGCACCCCGGAACTCACACGGGGAGCACCTTTGCTGTTCTGTGTACATTAGCTTCTGATTTGAGATGTAAAGACAGATGATGCTAGTCAGAACTGGTGTTATTAATGATCACCTACATTGTTTTGTTTGTACTAGATAATACCAACTGCAGTAGCTGAAGACAACGTTGGTCATCGCAGAGGCCCGCGGTCATGCAATTCAGAGGACAATAGAAAGGTTTTCAGCATTGCAGAATGTATGAGAGGACTCAGAAAGACCGACGAATATAAGCTGTTGTTAGCGAGGTATGTTTGAATTTGAAAGTACGTATTTATGATGTCATTTCTCAGCTAGGACACATAGATGCTGAACCACTAAGGTGACCAGACGTCCTGTTTTCACCGGGACAGTAATATATTTTTTTTTTAAATAGGTGTCCCCCGGTGTCCTGTTGGCACTCCAGACAAGTTCGCATTCACCAGCTGTAAACTCCGGCGGAAAGTTCTGGTTGTTCGTCCACTTCTGGACTTCAGTCCTGTTTCAGAACCTGAGTGTTGCATTTGCATCCGTTTGACAGATCTGACTCATTTGGGCGCAAGCGAGAGACTGTCTGTCTGCACACACACAAAAAAGTCAGATTGGTAAAACTGATGTGCATACAAAACTGAAGTCATGGAACAAAACCAAAGTCCAGAGATGGAGGACAGCCAGGACTTTCTGTTAGAGTGTTTACAGATGGTGAGAACAAAGAAGAAGTTTTGTGAGCTGTTATAAAGGTGTGTATGAAGTACTTACCCCATGATTGAGTTAAAGAACATATAAACACGGTTGCTACACTCATAAAGTTGAGAACAAGAGGACGCCCATGGAGAAATATTGAGACATTATACATCCACACAGAACAAGAATAGACAGTGCTGCTCATCATGTATTGAACCTCAAACAGCATGATGCTTAACGGTAATGATGATGATTGATGTCAGTAAAAAAATTTTCTCTGATTATATGAATGAAAGCAGATATGGAGTGTTTTTATGTTTTCTTTAATGTCCTGTTGCCGTCAGCTTAATCTTGGGACTACTACTACTTCTGAATTTTCCCTTTAAAAGAGCTATTCACACCTTGTGGTTTACAGCTTGGCTGCAAAATCCGTGCCTTTCGTTCCAACCCATCTGATACCAGCAAAACCATGTTAAGTCACCTTTTATAACATGTTTGTTGGGGGTGGAAGGGGGCAGTGGGTCTACACACCCCCCCCACCCCCACCCCCTTTCCTATCCCAAAATGGAGCTTGCACAGGGAATTCATGGGACACTGAAATAGCAGTTTCCCTTTGCCTTCCATATCCACCTTTGTGATTTCAGAAAATATTAAACAGCATGTCTTCTTTCTTCTTTGATGTCAGAAAAACTTAAATAACAGGAGGCTGGTAGACTTAGTGAAAGCTATCATGCAGTCCATATCTGTCTGTACACAATACAGCTTTGTCTTCATTGTGGTTGGAACAGGCCAGATTCTGTCTCTGTTTGCAGTATTCAGTTGACAAACTGCATATTTTAACAAAAAAAAAAAATTTTTTTTGTTTTAATGGGTAACAATTGAAGAGAGAAAAAAAGACGAATACTTTAAAATACATATCACAGTTATAACCTAAAAGGGTTGGACAAGACATTGTTGATATAAATACTGACTCCAAACAATCCATACCTCAGTCATGGGACCTAGATGTTACATGAAGGAATCACACACAGTATGTCAAGAGGTAAAATTAGTGGCTCCCATAAAAATGCCCATTACTCATGATGATGTTCTTGCAAAGCTGTACATCTTCAGTTCATTCTCCCACCCCCACTCATTGCATTTTCTTCAGTATGGCTGCTGTTGACCCAACGTTATTGGTATTAACTTGATCGTGTGTCTGAAATCTAACACTTTGTTTGTTGTAGTGTCGTCATGATAAGGAAATATTCTGGCGAGGAGCCGAGTGACTTTCAGCTGGGCTATTATGATAAGAGCCAAACATAACTATGAGTGCAGAGAAACAGATTATAAAAAAAGCAAATTCATTCCAACATTGAGCTACAAATTGCTTGAACACCTACTAGATTCATTGAGAGACAGCAGATCAAGTGGTTTTGCCATCTCTTTAGAATGCAGCAACAGGGCTGCATCAAATGCCATCACAGACGCTACATCTCAGAAGATCAGCTACAAGATCAAGAGGGCGGCCACAGAAAATGGATAGACAACATCAAAGACACTTTACGCCCTCACAGCATGACAGAAATCAGTGCCAGTCAGCATGCACTAGATTACAAATTGATCCTGCGCATGACTCTTAATGGCAGAAATGGTTTACGATGATAATGTGCTGAGAACAACATTCTATAAAGGACCTACCATGTGATGATGATTATCATGATTATTTTTCTCGTATTTAGAAGAAAAAAAAAATGTTTTCTGCGTTTCTATGGCTATTCCAACATCCCGTACTTGATTCAGGTGCAGTCGTTTTTTTCTTTTTTCGGCAACAGGATTTGCATTCACCTTTCAGAGGAACAATAGCAAACTCATCCCGATCATGTAGCAGGTTCTTTGCAGAAAATTGTTGTCATTAAGGTCTGCTTGAAAGAAACTGTCTCTTGCTAGCTCTCCCGCCTTGTGTTCTTTCATATTCAAGGAGTCACTTATATCTTGTGTCAGTCGTCATGTTGGTCGGCCCCTGCTCCTCCTTCCTGGTACCGTGCCTTCTGCTACTATTTTTCCAATCTGACATTGCGCTTGATATGACCAAAGTATTTCAGCGTTCAAGTCAAGATATTGTTTATTAGCCAGTCTTCCTTGATGTTCAGATCTTTTAAAATGTCAGTATTTTTTTTCTCTTCTTTGTCCATGTTATTCTGAGAATCTTTCTATAGCTCAAAAGCCCCTGTTTTCTTTCTTAATGACTGGGAGATAGTCCAAGGCTCACATCAGTATGTAACTGCAAGGAAGATGCATTCTTCTCTCAAAATTTTGATTTTCTTGCTTTTGCTTAACCATAGACATAGATATCAAGCTACTAAATTTAAAAGTACCTAGTAGTTAGGCAACCGTCAGTCCCTGGGGACCATGGAGTTGTTCAGTTGCTTTTGGGAACAGCGTCTGCTATGACTGTGAAGTCCAGTGTGGGAGCGGCAGTCTCTGCCACACAGTCTACATATAAATGCTGATAATTTGTCATTCTGAGGCTGGTTTTCTCTCACGTATATCCTGTCTGTAACTTGCTGCGTGTGGCCTCTTTCAAACCTCCACAGACGGTCTTTTACTGACTGCCTCCAGAGGAGTCTTTCAGCATCTGGTCTCTCCTAAGTGCCTTGTAAAACCAAAAGCAGCCAAGGTTTTCATCGTCCTGTGCTGAATATGTCACGAACCTTTATCAAACAAAATTAAAGGTAGAACCAGTTGTGTTCACATTATCGCAAACACAAACGACAAGTAAACAGAACCTTCATCAGCACATGGCATTAATACACAATACCTAAAATACAAACAAGAATACACAGAATTACTTAACTGAAGTATTTTCAAGAGAAATCACATGTGAGTCCATCCGGTTGAATCTCTGGCGCCCATGTGACCACCAGAAATTAATATTAACCAGGAAATAAAATGTGAACATCAAGGGCCGTCATTACTCCGGCCACATACGAGTCGATAATATGAAAAGCAAACGAACGGAAACATATAAGTACTTGGGTGTAAACTTCAACTGCTCCAAAATGCTGAGAGAAGAAATACAATCTAGAATAAAATCTAGAAATAAAGTATTCTATGCCCTTGAACATCTGCTAAAGTCAAAGTGTCTGTCTCGCAACACCAAGGTCAAAATATATTAAACATTGATAAGACCATTAATGTTATTTGGCTCTGAAACTTGGAGCACAACTAAATGAGATGAAGCTTGAATACAGGTTTTTGAAAACAGAGTTTTACCAGGAATCTTTGGATCCATCAAAGATGCAAACAGCGGGAAATGGAGAGTGAGAAGCAATAACAAAATTCACAATCTGTTTAAATCACCTCTGATCACTGGCATCATGAGAGCTAATAGACTGAAATGGTTGGTACATATTGAACTAATGTCAGATGACAGAGAAGTAAAAACTATACACAAGGGAGATGAATGGTCATAGACCACGAGGCAGACCAAAAAGAAAATGGAGAGATAATGTTCAGACAGACCTGCAAACACTTGGTGTCATCAACTGGAAAGAGAAGGGCAACCAGAGAGATGAATGGAGGCTGGTGATATCTGCAACAATGAACGTCAAGGGCTTGGAATGCTGAAGAACAAGAAGGGCCGTCATTAAAACAAGTTAGATGAAACTATGTTGGATTTTAAGACCCATAGGCAAGTATTTAATATGAAATTAACTTTATTTTTATTTTCTGTTTCCAGGTTCCGTGCGTTGTTTATGTGGCCAGTCTTCATGTCAACAACCAAGCCCAGTCCCTTGAATGATGGCCCATTTCCAATCAGGTTGAGAACTCTCAAGCCAGTCAATTTAAAGCAAAAAGAATTGACCAAGGCGAAGAATAAAAAGAGGTTTGGGTTTTCCTAATAGTTCTTTAAAATAGTATTATTATTATTTTTCCTTCAAAGTCAGAGGGCATCTGCTTGTGAGGTGAGAAACCTGCAGTCTGCACACGAATAAGCAAGATCTATAAAACGGATGTACGCGCTAAACTCAAGTTCTCTGGACAAGACTGTTGGCTCTCAGAACGACTATTGGCTCTCAAGGACAAGACTTATGGATCTCAAGTCTCAGGACAAGACTATTGGCTCTCAAGTCTCAAGGACAAGACTATTGGCTCTCAAGTCTCAAGGACAAGACTATTGGCTCTCAAGTCTCAAGGACAAGACTATTGGCTCTCAAGTATCAAGGTCAAGACTATTGGCTCTCAAGGACAAGACTATTGGCTCTCAGGACAAGACTATTGGCTCTCAAGTCTCAAGGACAAGACTATTGGTTCCCATGACAAGACTGTTGGCTCTCAAGTCTCAAGGACAAGACTATTGGCTCTCAGGACAAGACTATTGGCTCTCAGGACAAGACTATTGGCTCTCAGGACAAGACTATTGGCTCTCAGGACAAGACTATTGGCTCTCAAGGACAAGACTTTGGCTCTCAAGTCTCTAGACAAGACTATTGGCTCTCAACGACAAGACTATTAGCTCTCAGGACAAGACTATTGGCTCTCAGGAAAAGACTATTGGCTCTCAGGACAAGACTGTTGGCTCTTAAGTCTCAAGACAAGACTA